CATACAGATACACAGGTAGACATACAGATACACAGGTAGACATACAGAAACACAGATAGACATACAGATACACAGGTAGACATACAGAAACACAGATAGACATACAGATATACACAGGTAGACATACAGAAACACAGATAGACATACAGATATACACATGCAGACATACAGATACACAGGTAGACATACAGATGTACACATGCAGACATACAGATACACAGGTAGACATACAGATGTACACAGGTAGACATACAGATACACAGGTAGACATACAGATGTACACATGCAGACATACAGATACACAGGTAGACATACAGATACACAGGTAGACATACAGATGTACACATGCAGACATACAGATACACAGGTAGACATACAGATGTATACAGGTAGACATACAGATACACAGGTAGACATACAGATGTTTACGGGTAGACATACAGATACACAGGTAGACATACAGATGTACACAGGTAGACATACAGATACACAGGTAGACGTGCAGATGTACACAGGTAGACATACAGATACACAGGTAGACATACAGATACACAGGTAGACATACAGATACACAGGTAGACATACAGATACACAGGTAGACATGCAGACGTATACAGTAGATATACAGATACACAGGTAGACATACAGATGTACACAGGTAGACATACAGGTACACAGGTAGACATACAGATATACACAGGTAGACATGCAGACGTACACAGGCAGACATACAGATACACAGGTAGACATACAGATGTACACAGGTATACATGCAGACGTATACAGGTAGACATACAGATACACAGGTAGATATACAGATACACAGGTAGATATACAGATATACACAGGTAGACATACAGACGTATACAGGTAGGAATACAGATACACAGGTAGACATACAGATGTACAAAGGTAGACATACAGACGTATACAGGTAGACATACAGATACACAGGTAGACATACAGATGTACAAGGGCAGACATACAGATACACAGGTAGACATGCAGATATTCACAGGAAGACATACAGATACACAGGTAGACATACAGATATACACAGGTAGACATGCAGACGTATACAGGTAGCCATACAGATACACAGGTAGACATACAGATACACAGGTAGACATACAGGTACACAGGTAGACATACAGATATACACAGGTAGACATACAGATACACAGGTAGACATACAGATACACAGGTAGACATACAGGTACACAGGTAGACATACAGATACACACAGGTAGACATACAGGTACACAGGTAGACATACAGATACACAGGTAGACATACAGATACACAGGTAGACATACAGATACACACAGGTAGACATACAGATACACAGGTAGACATACAGATACACAGGCAGACATACAGATACACAGGTAGACATACAGATACACAGGTAGACATACAGATATACACAGGTAGACATGCAGATACACAGGTAGACATACAGATACACAGGTAGACATACACATACACACAGGTAGACATACAGGTACACAGGTAGACATACAGATATACACAGGTAGACATGCAGATACACAGGTAGACATACAGATACACAGGTAGACATGCAGATACACAGGTAGACATACAGGTACACAGGTAGACATACAGATACACACAGGTAGACATACAGGTACACAGGTAGACATACAGATACACAGGTAGACATACAGATACACAGGTAGACATACAGATACACACAGGTAGACATACAGATACACAGGTAGACATACAGATACACAGGTAGACATACAGATACACAGGCAGACATACAGATACACAGGTAGACATACAGATACACAGGTAGACATACAGATGTACACAGGCAGACATACAGATACACAGGTAGACATACAGATGTACACAGGTAGACATACAGATACACAGGTAGACATACAGATATACACAGGTAGACATACAGATACACAGGTAGACATACAGATATACACAGGTAGACATACAGATACACAGGTAGACATACAGATACACAGGTAGACATACAGATACACAGGTAGACATACAGATGTACACAGGCAGACATACAGATACACAGGTAGACATACAGATATACCCAGGTAGACATACAGTTTGTTCGTTTGTTTGTTTGTTTGTTTGTTTCTTTCTTTGTTTAACGCCACACTCAGCAATATTCCAGCTATATGACGGCGGTCTGTAAATAATCGAGTCAGGACCAGACAGTCCAGTGATTGACATCATGAGCATCGATCCACGCATTTTGGGATACGATGACATGCATCAACAAAGTCATAGGTAGACATACACATATACACAGGTAGACATGCATATGTACACAGGTAGACGTGCAGATGTATACAGGTAGACATACAGATGTACACAGGTAGACATACAGATGTATACAGGTAGACGTGCAGATGTACACAGGTAGACATTGAGATGTACACAGGTAGACGTGCAGATGTACACAGGTAGACATTGAGATGTACACAGGTAGACATACAGATACACGAAGGTACGCCTTTCTAGCAGTATCTAATTAACCATTTGTATGTAAAACTTGATCTTGATGTGTAAACGCTGCACCTTATGGTGGTCTTATTACCTGTGTTACTTAAAATGCTAATCCATGGTATCGGATTAAAGATTGCTGGAACCACACTCAATAACCGTAACTGTCCGCTTCGGGTGAAAGACTAGCGAGCTGAGGTGGACTACTCCGTCGTTCGCGCCTTGTCGCCCCTCAAGTATATAGGCTTAATGCTATATAACCTCCTTGCCCACGTTGGAGTGTTTGGCAACTAACACGCAGACAAAGCAGCCAAATCAGCACTAAAATTTGAAGAAATAAGCCTCAACCCACCAATATCAAGAAACGAAACTAAAGTATGACAAAGCAGAAAATCTTCCAAAAGTGGCAAAATAACTATCAGAAATCAGACTGCAAACTAAAACACCTGCTACAAAAGCAACTAAAAAAAATCCATCATAAAACCCAAACTACGAACAGGCCACACTAAATTAAACTCCCACATACATCAAACCGGTAAATGCCCCCACTGTAACTTAAAAGAGTGAGTGAGTGAGTATGGTTTTACGCCGCTTTAGCATTATTCCAGCAATATCACGGCGGGGGACACCAGAAATGGGCTTCACACATTGCACCTATGTCGGGAATCGAACCCGGGTCTTCGGCGTGACGAGCGAACACTTTAACCACTAGGCTATCCGACAGCCCCTCAACTTAAAAGAAACTCCTCAAAACGTAATACTATATTGCATACATTACCAGCAACACAGAACAACACTCCAATCCAAACTAAATTGCAACAATCAAATGACACAAGCAACGCTACTAAACCCCCTAAATAACTTACAAAACTATAAAGCACTAGGCATCTATCTTATCAAACAGGTCTACTCGGCCGCATCTAAAAAACTACAACAAACAAGCTGTCTATAACCCTAATATTCGAAACCTCTAAAAACACACAGCCATACAGCCTCATCAAAAACTCCATTTAGTCTCCCTATCTTCTGCATGGCATTTTTAAAAACTCCAAATTTGTTCTAAAAAATTAAGTAAGCAACACTAAAAGCCCCACCAAGATTGCCTCACCTTTTCGGACATACCATTTTCGACCACACACCAAATGGCCTGGCGGGCCCGTGCGCGAAATACGCATATGTCGCACGTTAAACTCCCAATTTAAGTGAGTAAGTAAGTAAACTCTGTGAGATTGTCACGAACTTCAGTTCGTTGAGAATCTGACAAGTCACTATCAGTGCTGCTGGTGTGTGGCTAATTTGTTGTTTTCCGAGTTCATGCGAGAACCACACTGAACACCTACAGTTACGATTGTGATTGCCAACTCATCTTTGTAACTTCTACTGTCTATGTATGTATGTATGTATGTATGTATGTATGTATGTATGTATGTATGTATGTATGTATGAATGTATGTGTGTGTGTATATATATATATATAAGCGTTGATTTAATTTATTCCGATGGTATAGGGTATGTGCTGTTCTACTTTCAATACAACATTACAGGAGGGTGGGTGGACAACGACACCCCAGACACCATCATCACCTGTGAAGATCCGGGGTAGAATAGGTCTTCAGCAACCCATGCTTGCCATAAAGGGCGACTATGCTTGTCGTAGAAGGTGACTAACGGGGTCGGGTAGTCAGGCTCGCTGACTTGCATGGTTGATGCATGTCATCGATCCCAATTCCGTGGATCGATGTTCATGATGTGGAGGCCGCCGCTGACGAAGACGAATATTCAGAAAACGACAACGTCCAGATACCTCCCTACCTTGAGAAGGGGGATCACCTGTCGGTTAAACAAACGTTAATAGAGACTAAAACACTTGCTCCTGAAACTTGGACTTGGAGATGAAAAAACATATTCGTGTCAACTAAGACAGGCCACGGTAAATCACTTTCATACGAAGGTGAACCAGTCGGTGGATGTTGATTTTGTGAAACGTTCTCTGATTGGATTATCGATATGTGCGATAGTCCAATCATATTTAACACAGGAAAGCGGGCTTGAAGGGAGGAATCAAGAGTTTGATAATAAGGCTGGTGAACGCTCTTGCCTCGGGGAGATGGTGCTGGTCAGCTGGGTTCTCGTCCAGACGTCCTGCTGCGAGACCACTCACCCGCCACCCACGTGCCACCCACGCGTTATAGTGTCCAGTTATATAGGTGATCATGCAATAGTCGTGCTGAGTATATCATTGCCTCTTCAAACTCTCGGTCTATGAAACCGTTTTATAATTGTTTGTACTTCAAAAGGTAAATAGTTTATTCCAAAGAGAAATTATACACAGTACGTTTGTTACATGTGATACAATAGCCATCAATAACTCCTGATGTTTATGGGAAACCCGAAAAACAGAAATTATTTTATATTGCTCGTTTCACCCATCACTGGAACATCAAACATTTTAGATCACTGACTACTTATAAGGCAGATAAACAACAAGACATTTCATGTTTCTTATGATGAACAATAATTTAATAAAGTCACACAAACAATCACAAACGTATTATGACAATCTATAAATATGCATTGTGTTAATGCAGATGGACGATAAAATTACTGGTTTATATCACAGTTAGCTGTTCCGTGTTGAATGTCACCCTGCTTTGATAGATAGATAAATATATCTCACAGTCAGCAGTTTTAAAATTTGATATTTTGCATCAGAAAACGTACCAAAGCTGAATGACAAACGGTAACACTTCTCGCGAAAGTTCTTGATTTGAAAACACGTTCACAGTGAGTATGTGCACAGACATGAGTTCTTCACCGATTCGTCTATTGGGGATCAAGAAGCACATCTTGTGTGACGCCATATTTGAACCGTAGCTCCCCGGAAATTGGCCACTGAACGGTTTTGCCATTCAACGTGATGGCGTCTGGACTTGAAGTGTTGTATTTGATCTTCCGCCTCTCCAGCTCATCTTTCACAATGGTCCCAACGTCATTCTCAACTACCTTTATGAACGTACCAGTTCGTTTGTCCGTGATACGCAACACCACCTGACCTTTGAATATAACATAAGTGGAAAAATCACATTGAAATTGTTCCGCGCTAACCTGTAATCGAGCCAATATTTTGGACTTTGGCGGAAGTCGAATGTTCGAGTTTGTTGTCCACGTCAGTGTGTGTTCCACAGTATTCACCTCGTCGGTCTTGATGCTCACCTCGTGGCCGAAACCGGAAGTGGCATAAGCGACCTCTGGTGGGATTGAAATCTTGATACCGGTGTCCATACCTCGAGTGAAGCCTCGTGTTAGTAGAGTTGTTGCCTTGGCAACTGTAGTTCTTGTTGTTGAGAAATTCTGTTCCTGTACTTCTGTCGTGTTGTTGCTGTAATTCGCCTTGAACACGATCTGGGAGTTAGTAGGGACAGGGCCCTGTTTTAACCCAAACGCTGGTTCGCTGGTGGAAAAATGAACTCGGTCCCAGACGATGTCAATATTAACATCAGACAAAGCAGGACTGCCTTTTGATTTGTAAGCAGCAGTTTTGGAAAACACTGTCCATGCCCAAGACTTCAAGAATTCTTCCAAGTCGATGACAGGAGATTTTGTATTTTGGGCGCCCATAATCAATCTGTAAGTAGACATAATCGGAGTTAACACAGTTTCATCAAACAGTTCGTGTATTCACAACTCTCCGAAAGTATTTAACAAAACATTAATTTTCAAAATCTAGGGAAAACAGGTAAAGAAATGCTTTTTTTTCCTCTTTGTTAAAAATCCATGATAGAGGACATCGGTGACTAAGTTTGGTATGACGCCGCTTTAAGAGCTAATTCTTTATCTTATCAGAGGATCCTGGTAGACTAAGGGACGCAACACTGGACAGAAAATAGCGGCTCCTATAACTACATCATACCCCACGAAATCCACCACCCTCACAGTCATACCCACAACACATGCGCCACCCTTACCTCAAAGTACAAACCCTACCCGGAAACCCGGAAACCCACAAACCCACAACCACAGGCCCCATTCCCACCCCACAATACTAACCCTACCCACATACCCACAACCACAGGCCCCACTCCCACCCCACAATACTAACCCTACCCACAAACCAAAAACCACAGGCCCCGCTCACACCCAACAATACTATCCCTACCCACAAACCCACAATCACAGGCCCCACTCCCCACCCCACAATACTAACCCTACCCACATACCCACAATCACGGGCCCCACTCCCACCCCACAATACTAACCCTACCCACATACCCACAATCACAGGCCCCACTCACACCCCACAATACTAACCCTACCCACACCCCCACAACCACAGGCCCCACTCACACCCCACAATACTAACCCTACCCACATACCCACAATCACAGGCCCCACTCCCACCCCACAATACTAACCCTACCCACATACCCACAACCACAGGCCCCGCTCACACCCCACAATACTAACCCTACCCACATACCCACAACCACAGGCCCCGCTCACACCCCACAATACTAACCCTACCCACATACCCACAATCACAGGCCCCACTCCCTCCCCACAATACTAACCCTACCCACATACCCACAATCACAGGCCCCACTCCCTCCCCACAATACTAACCCTACCCACATACCCACAATCACAGGCCCCGCTCACACCCCACAATACTAACCCTACCCACATACCAACAATCACAGGCCCCACTCCCACCCCACAATACTAACCCTACCCACATACCCACAATCACAGGCCCCGCTCACACCCCACAATACTAACCCTACCCACACCCCCACAACCACAGGCCCCACTCACACCCCACAATACTAACCCTACCCACATACCCACAATCACAGGCCCCACTCCCACCCCACAATACTAACCCTACCCACATACCCACAACCACAGGCCCCGCTCACACCCCACAATACTAACCCTACCCACATACCCACAACCACAGGCCCCACTCCCTCCCCACAATACTAACCCTACCCACATACCCACAATCACAGGCCCCACTCCCTCCCCACAATACTAACCCTACCCACATACCCACAATCACAGGCCCCGCTCACACCCCACAATACTAACCCTACCCACATACCCACAATCCGGGCCCCACTCACACCCCACAATACTAACCCTACCCACATACCCACAATCCGGGCCCCACTCACACCCCACAATACTAACCTGGCCCACTCACGTTACCTTTCATGATTCGGACACCCCCGTTATAAAAGTCCTCAACAGCATCACAGTATATACTGAAAGAGTGAAGCCGCGATGTAACTGGAACAGTGTTAAAACTCACTAACTGAAAGAGTATATCTCGGTATGTCACAAATGTCTTGCATGTATACAATATATGTACGGAATAACATCACAGAGCAAATGAGTTAATTCTTGGATCAGACGTACCTGCAACAAGGCTCCCCAGGGGCTGAATATACTTGTGATATCCAACTTGTCTCGCCACAAACGTTAAGTGAAGCACGGGGTAAACTCTGTTATATGTATACCTAATGATTTATTAATAGATCGGAAATTTCATGATCGATTTACCATTAGAGTTTCACAACATCCACATAAACTAAAAATAAGCATGACATCCGTACTTCCCCGACACTAACCTTAGTGCCAACTAGTGACAAGATACCGTGTCCCAGGTGTTTCGCTTTCAGTCAGTGGGAACCGCCTGTTTTCTGTGAACCCTGGACAGGTGACAACAGTCAGCCCCGGATATAACTACTGGTCGTGGGGAGTCAAGGTCACCTGGGGCACATTTGTGTAGTCTATCCCCTTATATGTAATTGATTTTTAATCACCGTAACGGATATATCATTTAATAATTGGTTGGTAGGAGTCTAATTGGTCGGAGCCTGTGAAACAAGTATGGCAACAATATCATGCCATGAAGTTTAAACAGAACCCAAACATGGGATAGTTATTGTCTATTGCAGCAAGGTATATTATAAAGCTCTCACTATTGTGACTGGTGTTAGAAATGTGTTTATTTACAAAACCAACATAGAGTGGCCCCATTCCCTACGATCTACCTATACGGGGTGCGTGTGTGGGGGGTGGGGTGGGGTGGCCGTCAGTAATACGCGTTAAATTAATAGACTATAATATGCTTTGTTTCTAAATATGTAATTTAGAAACGCCAATCAAAATATGTCACTAATGGATATTTTACGTGCGCCTCAGTCTCTCAAACATTCTCATCGTCCGGGTTTTACTGAGCTCCGTACAGAGACCCAAAGAAGCGTTTTATGTCAGTAATAACGGTACACGCTTAGTAAGGAGTTATAAGTGTGGACATGTACACAGATAACCACGTGGGTTTCATGGAGTGAAATGAGCACCGGCAGACAAGATGGCATCCCCAGTGAAGAAAACAAGGACGACTTCCGAAGAAAGTGTAAAACGTAAACCAACAAAACAGAAGAAAGATGTCTTTACTGAAGTCGAATTTAAATTCCAGCTGCGCGATGCGAACACAGCCTTTTCAGGTGAGGACATGTTCACAATTCCTTGTACAGTTTTAGATATTTAGCTCTCTTTCAATGGAGTCCACCAAAGTCGGTGACAGTCGCACTGACAAACTCATCAGCAGAGTGGTAGGATTTGTACTTAACTGCTAACAGGCTGAGGGAGTGAGAAACCGAGGCCAAGTTGGCGCAGGTACACGTGGGTCTAGAAGTCTGCGGTGATTCCGAAGCCAAAGTATGAGATGTTAGTCTTAATAGTTCGCTTGTATCCCGTGTCTTGAGATCTGGAACCACTGTCAGTGATTGTCATGTGGTTAAAATTTGTGATAGGGATAGTTGCTCATGCTGTCAACCACTATTTTGCCAGACCAAGCGTTATTTTACTATCTTATTTCAGCTTTGGAGAAGTTCCTTGAAGCAGCAGAGAAGTACCCGGATGAAGCGAAGTATGACATCGTGGGCAAGTACCTGGAGACATCTGAGGAGTGTGGAGAAATCTTCAAGCTGTTCGAGGAATCCATAAGGAAACCAGGCGAGGTAAACATTAAGAGACATGGTAAACACGAGGAGAGGTGAACATAAGGCGAGGTAAACATGAGGAGGAGAGGAAAACATCATTTACATGAGGAGACAAGATAAACATGATTATGTCGGATTAACAAGTATGTAGTCAAGTAGTCTCAACATTCGTGATCGAAAATCTGACAACTACACGATAGATAACGATACAAACATGTAGTAAAAAAAAATATGAAGTATTCATATTGTTATGTTACACTGTAAGCCGAATATGTTTTCATGCAACCTCAAAGCTTAACGCAAAACAACTATTACTGACTGTATGACTTATTCAAAATACTTTAAAAAGCATAGCCTGGAATGGAAGTCGCAAGTTTGAAACTGGTACCGCAAAGCTTAAGAAAGCTGCTTTCTAAGTGGCTCACGTTGACTTCCTGTTAGTCATTTCATTGGTCGGTCATAGTTCACGAAAGGTTGTTCTTACATGACCTGTAATGGGATGTCCTCAGCGATAGCGAGAACTTGTTTCTGATTTTAATGAGATTGAGGCAATCTAAGCATGTGATTTATTCCTGTTTTCTTTATTTAAAGCATTAATTGTTTATTGTTAAGCAAGTTTATCTCTGCATCCGTTGGAATATGTAGCTACCAGCCGACTCGTATCAAAACACGGGCTGTGTACTCGCGGGCAGATGACCATGGAGTACACTGATCACTGTATCGGATTAACGAGACTGATTAATGAGTGATTTCAGTAATTTGTTGCAAATTAGGTTTGTCAGAGTCGGGTCTAAATTAACGGGTCTAAATAGCACTGATTTAATCGGTTCCCATCATTAGTGTCAGATAAAGCTGATTATCGGATTAACGAGTGTCTAATTAACGAGACTTGACTGTATACATTGTAGATAGATAGATAGGTAGTCTAAGTATGTACATGTATGTTTGCAATCATGCTTTTTATTCTAATATTTAAATACTCGTAGCTGATGAATGGCTTTCTTTGCCAGATACTCACACTCTTTAGTGTGTTAGAATGTGTCTTCATCCGATTGGCTGATGCCAATGAGAGGCTCCAGCTGATTGGTGAGAACATCGTACAGCGGATCCTGGCGTCCCACCTGCGCGTCATCTACTTCAGTCTCAGTCTCAACAACAAGAATCAGCTGATCAAGAAGACATTACGTCTGCTGACACGCATGGTAGCGTTCTCCCCGCTGTCGGCCCGAGCGGTACAGATGCAGTTTGACTTCAGCCATGTCAACGTTCAAGTGCTCTGCCAGAGGCGGGACATCAAGGTATAACAGCCATGCATATATGTGGCGACTATGTACACATTGGAAACATCTCTTCTTAATGTACATACTTCACTATATGTGTGTGGTTCATCTTCCTTTTAGGGTGATAAAAGTTAGGTGGTGATCAAGTGAATTTAATTCCTTTGCCCCTCCCATTGATCAGGGTCATTAGAACGGAAATAACAATTCTGTTTATTCATTCCTTCTCCTCCTCTCAGGATTCCCAGGATGTGCGGACCTGCTTCATCCACTTCATCATGGCGTTCCTCCTGATCGGGGACGAGAACGTGGTGAGGCAGATGGTGGAACAGAGGGGTAGGTCGGCAGACATTGCTTCAGTACGAGAACATCAGAATGTATTACACTAGGGCAGTGTCGTAGCCGAGTGATTCAGCTTTCACTCAACTTGCCGAAGGCCCATGTGAATCTAATGTGTGGAACCCCATTTTGGTATCTCCTGGCATTTATCTCTGGAATTCTGCTAAAAAAAGTGAATACTCACTCACATTTACCAGCGTTAGAAATTGGCACTAGTCCTATAGTCCTTGCCAAACTGCCAAATGGTAAAGGTATCCTAAGGATTAGTAGACATTTGCCCTTTTTAAGGGTTTTGCTTTATGTTATCATTATAAGGACTAGTGGACTAAAACTGTTAGTTTCTAACCCTGTTTACTGATGGGCTGCTATCTTCCTCACGTTGATCTGCAACACGTGGGGAATATTTTGAATTCCAAGGACAGAAAAGTATTGATTTCAGAAATATTCCTCCTGGTTCCCATGCAACCCGTGTTTTATGATGTCCCCACTCTGCCTATGAGGCATTAAATACTTGTGATACGAGACATAATTCAGATATGTTAGAGGATGCATGATTCGTGACTGTCTCATTCCTTTTGTTTCAGTCATGCTTCAGAAAATACTCCACGGCATTGTGTCGGACAAGGTGGAAAATGTTCAAATCATCTTGACAACACTTTTGGACAAGGTAAGCTTCTATCCGACTTTGAGCATGGGTTGTTTTCTACAAGACTACAGGTCATTATTCAGAATTATGTCCCTTGTCTGTGCCAGGATCCTCTGGTTGTCGTTCTCATCAGAACCCTGCAGAACCCTGCCTGTCAGAACCCACATTGTGCTTGCTGAACCTGTTGTGGTGGCACGTGGAACTGTAAATAAACCCAGGTCACAAGTGAGGTTGGATGACCATACTCAGTATGCCTCACTACTGAGGGTTTCTAGGGCTTGTTATTAGACATGTGGTTTCTCCTCAGGCAAGTGACTGTGTTGGAGTTAATCCAGCTGGATGAGGTTTGACTGTAGAACCTTCATGCTCCTACAGCCGCCTCGGATGGTATGCTCCTAGGGAAGCTGAAAATGAAATTTGAGTAGACACTGAGCAAATGACTATGGTAGTCACTGTGTAGTCATGAGCTTTAGGAAAGGGGTGGTTACTGCACAATTTTTATTTTTTCTTATCAATGATGTCTACACATTGTCTAATGTTGTCTACACGTTGTCTAATGTTGTCCACACATTGTCTAATGATGTCTACACATTGTCTAATGTTGTCTACACATTGTCTAATGATGCCCACACATTGTCTAATGATGGCTTCAAGTTGTCAGTTGATGTCTACACATTGTCTAATGATGTCTTCACGTTGTCTAATGATGTCTACACATTGTCTAATGTTGTCTACACATTGTCTAATGATGTCTTCACGTTGTCTAATGATGTCTACACATTGTCTAATGTTGTCTACACATTGTCTAATGATGTCTACACATTGTCTAATGATGTCTTCACGTTGTCTAATGATGTCTTCACGTTGTCTAATGATGTCTACACGTTGTCTAGTGATGTCTACATGTTGTCTAATGATGTCTACACGTTGTCTAATGATGTCTACACATTGTCTAATGATGTCTTCACGTTGTCTAATGATGTCTACATGTTGTCTAATGATGTCTACACATTGTCTAATGATGTCTACATGTTGTCTAATGATGTCTACACATTGTCTAATGATGTCTACATGTTGTATAATGATGTCTACGCATTGTCTAATGATGTCTACATGTTGTCTAATGATGTCTACACATTGTCTAATGATGTCTACATGTTGTCTTATGATGTCTACACGTTTTCTAATGATGTCCACACATTGTCTAATGATGTCTACACATTGTCTAATGATTCTTAATGATGTCCGCAGGTTGTCCAGAGTTCGACCATCACCAAGACGGCCAAGGTCCACCTGTTTGCGGAGAACATCCTGAAACAGCTGAGTCAGCTGTATTGGTGGCAGGGCCCCCAGCACTGGAAGGAGGGCAAGGGCAAGAAGGACGCCCCCAAGGTCAGAATGGTCATCACCCTAAAGTGATTCTCTGATATACATGTCACCTTATACAGGATAATACACTTATACTCTCATAGTTTGTGTTGGGTCAATGGATACAGCTTGCTTTGTGTTAGGTTAGACAAACTTAATTAGATTTTCATACATATTTGTGTGGTTAATATACCTACTCTACAGACTGTATTGGCTGTATTCTTCAGTTCACAACTTTATATTTTCGTGTAAAATATTTGATTTATAGATTAATTAATTTGACACATGTATATCTTTTTGTTATTTTTGATTGACCAGTTTAGTTTAGAATCAAGTGTTCTATTTATAAATCACCCTATACTGTGGGAAGTCTGGGGTAAAATAGGTCCCCCCCAACCTGTGCTGGTCGTGAGAGGCGACCAAATGGACCGGGTGGTTCGTTTAGTGATTTGGCTGATTGTGTGTCATCATATCCAAATGGTGTGGATCATTGCTCACAATATCAATCAATGGATTGTCTGGTTCAGACTCAATTATTTACAGGCCACCGTCATATAGCTGGGATATTGCTTAGTGCAGTGTTAAACAACACACTGTATATGTATATGGTAACTTTGGAACTGGAAGGGGCACCAAGATAAACAGTAGTGTCTGCCCGTCAAAATGAAATAAAATTAGTTTCAAACAATAATGATAGTAAACATCAGACCTGGTTCCTGCTTTATCCTAATTCATTATTAATAGCCTTGAGACAAGAGTTGGTCAAGGTCAGTCCTAAATCACAGCTTTTAGACTAAAGCTGAGGGAAAGTTCAACTCCAAGGAGAAAATGACCCCATGTTGGTCGACACCCCTTTTCTACCCGTGTGGATTTTGATGTTACAAACTTGACCTTGACTGCATTTTATTATATAATGGAAAGATTTCCCCACATTCATTGGTCGAGAAGCTGTCACGTGTCATTTAACAGTAGCACATATTGACTCAAAGTCAGGTCTGATAATTTACAGAATTGACTTGAGTTACTAAAATTAGAATGGGAATTACCTAGAAATGGTATTCCCAAAGTCTAAACAAATCAGATGCCTCCATGTTTTGGAACCTCCAAACCTGATTGTAGCTAACATAGTTTGATATGTTGAATCTGCTTTTGTCTCTATAATATATATTTAATTTTTTTTGGCCGAGGTCAATACGTTTTTTGGGCTCCATAAAAATGACCTCCTATGAGTCTCTAGTCGTCTCTCATTGAACAATGTCCCTGCTTCAGACGCCAGTGAGCCAGGAGGAGAGGGAGCTGGTGGGTCAAGCTGTCCACGCCTTCCTCACTGACCTCTGCTGCTCCTTCAAGACTGGCATCAACTTCTACGACAGCTCCCTTGGAACATCGGGAAAGTGAGTCATGTTGATACTACTACCTTGAGTTACTATGGCGACTGGGGCTGTGGGGTAGCCCCAGAGATAAAGTGTTCGCTCATCATGCCACAGCCTCAGGATTCCCCACATGGGTACAATGTGTGAAGCCCATTTATGCTGAAATATTACTAAAAACTCACTCACTCACTCACTACAATGTGTGAAGTCCATTTATGCTGGAATATTACTAAAAACTCGCTCACTCTCACTCTCTCACTCACTCACTCACTCACTACAATGTGTGAAGTCCATTTATGCTGGAATATTACTAAAAACTCACTCACTCACTCACTCACTCACTCACTCTTGTAACTACAGACTATAGCAATAGGCTAGTGTTTGGGATATGACATATGAAGATGTTATATATATGTTTTAGGGAGAGAAATATCTTAATGCCTAACCACAAGAAAACATTGTAAAATTTAAATAAAATTTAGACTCAGAAATAATGGTAAATAAAGATTTGCTTTCTTTTTAAGATATTTGAGAATATGTCTGTTGTTATCCTCTTGTACTGAAGATGAATATCATTTGATTCTTATATGTCAACATTTCTAAAATATTTTCATTACAATAATGTATGAGAATGTAATCCTAAAATGAAAATAGTATTGTCTGTAATTATTGTTTAGATGGAGGATTAGATTATGCATTTGACTTTTAAAAAACACATTGTCTCTATAATCTATTATTGGCACTTACTAGAGATCAGTGCATTGATACAAGGAATTAATGAGTCTTCGATGATAACCAATCATCAGATCATCACGACCAGCAACATCCATGATTTCAGGGAACAGCTATGTAATAGTTAGTTAATCATTGCAGTTTGCCTTATGTAATCACTGTGTCTGTCGGTCCTGTTAAGCCACCATCTGTTACTGTCAGTCACCAGCAATCTTCTTAACATGATTTTCTTGACCTTATTCTTCTTATTGTAATTATTTTCCAGGAATCAGAACCACATCCTGACTGGCTTCCTGTCATCGCTGCAGAAGGCGTACACTCACCCCTTGTCTGCAGACCTAGTCACCAGTGTGCTGCGAGCATGTCCTGACCAGTTGCATCACTTCCTGTTGTCAGTAGCACCGTCACTCAATCCCAGGCCTTCCACCGCCTGGGTCTCCAGCATGGACTTCCTCATACAGGTGCAGAAATAGTGTAGAAACAATGCAGAGATGGTGCAGAAATAGTGTAGAAACAATGCAGAGATGGTGCACAAATAGTGTAGAAACAATGCAGAGATGGTGCACAAATAGTGTAGAAACAATGCAGAGATGGTGCACAAATAGTGTAGAAACAATGCAGAGATGGTGCACAAATAGTGTAGAAACAATGCAGAGATGGTGCAGAAATAGTGTAGAAACAATGCAGAGATGGTGCAGAAATAGTGTAGAAACAATGCAGAAATAGTGTAGAAACAATGCAGAAATAGTGTAGAAACAATGCAGAGATGGTGCAGAAATAGTGTAGAAACAATGCAGAGATGGTGCACAAATAGTGTAGAAACAATGCAGAGATGGTGCACAAATAGTGTAGAAACAATGCAGAGATGGTGCAGAAATAGTGTAGAAACAATGCAGAGATGGTGCAGAAATACTGTAACATCGCATCCAAGATTATTGCTCTTATATAGCAACGAGCATGCAGTTTGTGTGTGTGTGTGTGTGTCTGTGTTTCTGTGTCTGTGTCTGCTTGTACTAGTCAAGACTGATGCCGATTTTATAGTGCTAGCCCACTGAGATACTATGTCACAGTTTAACATGACTACCACACTCAGAAACCGTATGCTGACTCCAAGTGAGCCTACTAATATGTTTTACATCGCATTGATGAATAATTAGGTAAAAGAATAATTAGGTGGAAGTTGATGTCAACCCAGTCTTACTACAGCTACTTAATACTTCAACTTGTTGTTTCAAACCTGTTGTTTTACTTTTATGCAACTGAAAAAAAATAATGAGTGAGTACTGTATCCTGTACGTTTTATGAACAACACCTTTCGGAAAGAAGACGACCCCAGTTTACTTCATTCTGTCTAAATGTTTCAGATTTATGTGGCCCAGCCTGATGAGCTGAGCTTCCTAAACAACAAACTCCCGAGTTCGGACCTGAACCTTGTCGCGATGTCTCTGGTGTTTATCCTGCCCCCAGACAAGGTCATGTCGTCCTTCACCTGGGGTCTCAAGGTCAGAGCTGCTAATACAGATATTTTTCATGTAAAATACCCTAGCCTGGGGACTATTAGTGTAGTTTTCCTTCTGTTGAGTAAGAATACTACCACCACCTATACACCCAGTTTCCTCTTGTCACCTGCAAGGCATTATGGGTAAATGTTTTCCTATTGCTCCTTCCTACGCGTTGGCAGAGACACAATGTTAACGTTCGTACTGCACGTTGAAACTCTGATGTGACACATCTTGACATTGATATTAATTCATGTTTTGAATGGTAACATTTTTTACATGAAGAAAAGACTTTTTATATGCCAAAAAAGGAGAGAGGTGTCTGCCAATACACCATATGTGATTTAATAAATGCAAACAAGAAAGTTCATAGAATTCTTGTATTGCTTTGGTGCTTGTAAATCAAAATGTTAAATGTGTCTGTTGCCACAGCAACCCTCTCAGCCAGTGTGACACAAGATCAGTTCATGAAATGCCTGTATTGTTTTGGTGCTTGTAAATCAAATATTAAATGTGTGTGTTGCCACAGCAACCCTCTCAGCCAATGAGACACAAGATCCTGGACTTCCTGAAGGTGGCGCTGCAGAGGGCGCTGCACATCCTGACACATCTCCGGAGTCTGGCGGACTTGACTGACCCCTCCCTCGCACAGCTGGGCCCTCGCCTCAGGGAGGCTCTGTTGAAGGTCAGTTGAAATAACTGGCTGCCGTGAAGGTGTCTGAGGTGTCTTGCTGTACGCACCATCTTCCCTAGGCAAGGGAGATATCTGACTTTAGAAGTCCAGCTTCCACACTTGCTGACCTAAGCTGGAATTATGGAGAATTATTTTGGCTGGACTAACGAGTTTATTCAAAGTCCAATCAAAATCGTGTTACAAAATCGACATCCGGGATGTAAACTGCCATGCAGATTTCAGCCGATTGTAGGATTTGCAAAGCATGTGTTCCGACAACTTAGTGTCAACAGATATTTTCCAAATCTTTTCAGGTTTTTAATCGAGGTGCTCATGTGATTTGACCCTTTTTATTACAATAGATATTGTGATTATCGATCAGATCGTCTTCACTGAGCGACCCATTTTTTTTTAAGCAAATGCAAGTCATACAAGAGGAGGAATCAATAGGAAGGACTCAGATGGGACATAATTCGTAATAGCCACAGATGGGACATAACTCGTAATAGCCACTGATGAGACATAACTTGTAATAGACACTGATGGGACATAACTCGTAATAGCCACAGATGGGGCATAACTCGTAATAGCCACTGATGAGACATAACTTGTAATAGACACTGATGGGACATAACTCGTAATAGACACAGATAGGGCATAACTCGTAATAGCCACTGATGAGACATAACTCGTAATAGACACAGATGGGACATAAGTTGTAATAGCCACTGATGGGACATAACTCGTAATAGACACAGATGGGGCATAACTCGTAATAGCCACTGATGAGACATAACTCGTAATAGACACAGATGGGACATAAGTTGTAATAGCCACTGATGGGACATAACTCGTAATAGACACAGATAGGGCATAACTCATAATAGCCACTGATGAGACATAACTCGTAATAGACACAGATGGGACATAAGTTGTAATAGCCACTGATGAGACATAACGCGTAATAGACACAGATGGGGCATAACTCGTAATAGCCACTGATGAGACAACTTGTAATAGACACTGATGGGACATAACTCGTAATAGCCACTGATGGGACATAACTCCTAATAGCCACTGATGGGACATAACTCGTAATAGACACAGATGTAACATTTTAAGATGGGAATTAACTCGTAATAGCCACAGATGGGACATAACTCGTAATAGACACTGATGAGACATAACTCGTAATAGCCACTGATGAGACATAACTCGTAATAGACACTGATGGGACATAACTCATAATAGACACTGATGGGACATAACTCATAATAGACACAGATTGGACATAACTCGTAATAGACACTGATGAGACATAACTCGTAATAGACACTGATGAGACATAACACGTAATAGCCACTGATGGGACATAACTCGTAATGGACACTGATGAGACATAACACGTAATAGCCACTGATGAGACATAACTCGTAATAGACACTGATGAGACATAACACGTAATAGCCACTGATGGGACATAACTCGTAATAGACACTGATGAGACATAACACGTAATAGCCACTGATGAGACATAACTCGTAATAGACACTGATGGGACATAACTCATAATAGACACTGATGGGACATAACTCATAATAGGCACAGATTGGACATAACTCGTAATAGACACTGATGAGACATAACACGTAATAGACACTGATGGGACATAACACTTAATAGACACTGATGGGACATAACTCTTAATAGACACTGATGAGACATAACACTTAATAGACACAGATGTAACATTTTAAGATGGGACATAACTCATAATAGACACAGATTGGACATAACACGTGATAGACACTGATGAGACATAACACGTAATAGACACTGACTGGACATAACACTTAATAGACACTGATGGGACATAACTCGTAATAGACACTGATGAGACATAACACTTAATAGACACAGATGTAACATTTTAAGATGGGACATAACTCGTAATAGCCACAGATAGGACATAACTCATAATAGCCACAGATGGGACATAACTCGTAATAGACACTGATGGGACATAACACGTAATAGACACTGATGGCACTACGATCGAGCTCAGAAATTGCAGCCTAGTTGGGCAAGGGTGGAAACTTGCCATTGACAGTCAGTTACCTCCCTTGCCTCGGGAAGCTGTGTACCCACTGACTCCATGATTTTGTCCTCGGCAGAAGCTGCCGGATGCTGCCGCCCTGCTGGGCTGCTGGACCAAGATGATGGCAGAGAAGACCCAGCCCAACACTGATGTATCAAAAGAAGGTGAGAAATCATCAGAAGTCTCAAATCACCATTGTTTTTAGTTTTGTGTTTGTAACATAATTCCTGGATACAGTCTGATTGTTACACCCCAGTGTTAGAAATAATTTTAAAACCCAACAAGACAGTCGGGCAGGTGACCCATAAATGTTGGATACCCATCTTCAAAGTTACCTGCCAATATTCAGCCTGCATTGAATTTAAATGTATCCTTGCATACTGAGGTTTTGAGCACCTATGAAGTATTTTTTTTATGTATGTTATCATCAATCCCAATACACTAAAGTTAAGACTAGGTTGACCAATGAAGGTTTAGTTACTTCCTCAAATCCACTGTGGATCACCAACAACAGTATTAGAAAAATCAAGAAAAATTAAGAGACAAATCGTCTCAGTTGAAATAATGCTAACAATTATATGTAAGTTATCTTATTACCTGCCAGACAGACAGGCAGATGCTACATGCCAGATTTCAGGCAGATGAGGGCATTAGGACGCCAGGTTCAGTTTTTAGTAACGTCACAAATTTCAGGTTTCATCATCAGGTTTACTTTCATCGTGTGTCATGTTGTCACAAATGACGTCACTTCGTGTCATTAGTGATGTCACGTTGACCCTGTTAGCTTACTACCAATAATCCTTCGTATTCATGACAGTTAAAGTCGAGATGTGGATAATACATAGATTATTCCCGCATTGACCCGACTGAGCCTACTCTCGCTCTCACTCTGGAACTATGACAGTTTTTAGAGAGAGAATTTATGGGTGTCAACTTCATTATTATGAGGAACACCTTTCGGAGAATATGCTTACTCCATGATTGGACGATGAAGGCGTAACCATGTACTCAACATGTTCCTGATTATAAGGAATTTGATTTCCATAAATTTACTATCCTATGTGTATCACATAAATGCCATTCAAAGACTTGGTGACCCGTGAAGATCCGGGTTAGATATAGGTCTTCAGCAACCCATGCTTGCCGTAACAGGCAACTAACGGGGTAAGTCGGTGAGGCTTGCTGTAGGGCTGGGACGGTGAGGCTCGCTGTAGGGCTGGGACGGTGAGGCTTGCTGTAGGGCTGGGACGGTGAGGCTTGCTGTAGGGCTGGGTCGGTGAGGCTTGCTGTAGGGCTGGGACGGTGAGGCTTGCTGTAGGGCTGGGACGGTGAGGCTTGCTGTAGGGCTGGGTCGGTGAGGCTTGCTGTAGGGCTGGGACGGTGAGGCTTGCTGTAGGGCTGGGACGGTGAGGCTTGCTGTAGGGCTGGGACGGTGAGGCTTGCTGTAGGGCTGGGACGGTGAGGCTTGCTGTAGGGCTGGGACGGTGAGGCTTGCTGTAGGGCTGGGTCGGTGAGGCTTGCTGTAGGGCTGGGACGGTGAGGCTTGCTGTAGGGCTGGGACGGTGAGGCTTGCTGTAGGGCTTGGACGGTGAGGCTTGCTGTAGGGCTGGGACGGTGAGGCTTGCTGTAGGGCTGGGACGGTGAGGCTTGCTGTAGGGCTGGGTCGGTGAGGCTTGCTGTAGGGCTGGGACGGTGAGGCTTGCTGTAGGGCTGGGACGGGTACCTGGGTAAGATGGGTATTTAGTAGGACCCGGGTACCCGTGCTTAGACATGTGATATATTGTTTAATGACAAAAATGATCTGGAACTCTATGGTTACACTACACGTCACTAATGTTCACATTTCTGTCTGACTTTGCACCCATTCCTCTGACTTTTCGTAACTGAATTAAGATAAGACATCAGTCAACTTCATTGTCTGCATGACCAGATTGTTTAATACATCTATCTAAATACTTTTTGCTAGGGCTATGGTAAAATAAATTCCAAAACAGACATTTTATACCTATCTCTTGAGACAGTGGGTACCTGGGTAGGGTCGGGTAATAGGGGGTGGGTACCCTGGTAGTAAATTTGGACTCGTCCCAGTCGTAGCTTGCTGACTAGTTTGATTCATGTCATTGTATCCCAATTGCTCACGATGTCAATCAGTGGATTATTTACAGACTGCCGTCATATAGCTGGAATATTGCTGAGCGCGGCGATAAACAACAAACAAACAAAACAAACAAACAGCAGGCCCTCCTGTAATCTCGACATCGTGTGCGGCAGGTCTTCCAGGCGTGTCCAGCATGAAGCACATGGTGAGGCTGCAGCAGGTGATGTGTCTCTACCAGGAGCTGGTCCCCGCCATGTTGTCCGACAGCCCCACCCATGTCAGCAGCCTCCTGGAGGGGGTGAGGGGAGTCGGGGAGGGGGTGGGGGGAGTTGGCGAGGGGGGACAGGATGATGAGGACAGGATGCTACCCCAGCTGTACCTCCTGAAGCTGCTTGCCGGAACTGATGCCAGGCAGCTGCCCTGGGCTAAAGAGGTATCTGAATGTGTTGATGGCTTCACCTAGTTCTCTCTGATTCACTGTTACTCATGACACCACATAACTACTGGTTAGACTGGATTGAACCATTAACACTGACATTGGTGACTTAGATCTATTGGCAGTGATAAATGACCTTTCTGTGATGCATTACCCAACATTTGACACTCATTCCAACAGTGTCGGTTTCATTTGAAAACACATTTTAGACACTTTACCAGAAATCGGGATGTGAGTGTTTCCCTCTAAATCAGGTTAAAACCATCAACCACTGACACAAATGTGTATTTGATGTAAAAAATGTATGTAATGATGTTTCGATGTAAGATGTCTGTTTGGTGTCGGCCATGTTTAATGTCTGCTAGTGTTCCAGAACGCCGCCCGGCACAGTCTGATGTACCTGCTGCTGGAGATGGCCTCCCAGGTGTCTGCCAGCCACAAGCTGAGGGAGGTCACACACCACCTGGTGGCCAAGGTAGGCACTGCCGCAATAGCAACTAGAGTTATCTCCCTTGTTCTCTTACTGTTCAAGCTCCTCACAGCGAAATCCCGTTCACGGAGCTCACTATACTATCGTTGCCACCAGTGAAAGCTCCCCACTGTGATAGGTGGCTACAACCATGGTTGGCGTGAACTCGCAACCGACTGAGTGTTATGTTCACAAACAAGTGATGACAGCCATGATTCCGAATACTCTTACCCCTGCTTCATTACTTTCTTTGTTTGTCAATTTGAATTTCTGTTTCATTACAACTATCATGTAGTTGCTATGGTAACAATCTAAGGGAGAACTTGGTTGATATTCTGTTCATCTTTTTCAATCTCGAACCAATCTGATCAAACAAACAAAAAGGTAAATTCATCTAGAAAATATGGTCAGTCGTAAATCTTTTCAAAATTAACTATGATGGCATTCCCAAAGACATAAACAAAAGTGTAAACATTCCTACATTTAGGGTTAGAGGGCAAATTTCAAGATTCTTGTGGCACTGGTGGCAGCAACGTTACCGAGAGTGTAACAAAGGTGTGACGCACTGAGAAGGAGCTTGGTTACTGTTGTAATAAACACTCCTAAGAACGTCATTGCACCAATTCAGCTAGAGTTATCTCCCTTCTAGACTTCCTGTCACATGTTGTGCAGAGTTTTGATGTACAAATAGAGATGTACCCCATAAACACTAAAAGCTTTTGGATGTACTGTATTCGACGTAATAAGCGCCCCGCTCTAATAAGCGCCCACGGCGGTATTTGCTAAATATATTGGCTAGTGAACAATCCCAATTAGCACCCCTTCCAATTGATCAATGTACAAAAGACTTCGCGTAAAATACTCACTCGTGTGTTATATGCACCCTTAATTATGGGCAATTAAATTCTGGAAAAATATATCTGTCGCATATAAACATTTCAGGCTGTCAGCATAAACCACGAAATTTATCTTTCAACTCTCTTTTTTTCACCAAAATAATATTCTGATAAGAGCCCCCTATTTCTAATTTTAAGAGCGCCCTGGGCGCTTATTACGTCGAATACGGTACGACAAATGACACCGTATCCAGATGATGGTGTTTCAGTTTTTGGTTTTCACTGCCTTATTTTGCTAAAAGTGTTTCAATGACTTTTTTCAAAATCAAATCCACTTGTGTTGTTTGGTTTTATAAGAACAAATCAAATCCCTTCCCTGAATGAAGATATGTTGTGGAGTTTCGTGCAATGTTTATTTATGTCAAAGTTCATTTTAGTTTCATCTCAACTCCTGGTCTTCTGTGTTGAAGCTTGATTCCATGGCTAAAATTGTTTGATAGGCATTACTTAGAAGATGACGGATGACAAGTTTGAGATAATATATGGATAACAGGTTCTTTATTTACTGTAAAGCCTTGCTTGACAATGGTAGAAGGATCTATACCAAAACGTCACCTTTAAAGTAAAAAAAGAAATTGTTATATCTCTACTTTGTAGCCCATAGCTTGATGGTCCAGTTGTTCTGTCAGCAAGCCCTGCTGGCCATGTGATTCTGTTAGCTTCAATCTACTCCTGCATCTGAGGCTAAAATGTAAATCTGGTGACACTGACTACAAATCGTGAATCAGGAGTGTAGTAGTTGACTCTATCTCCAGCTGCTGCAGAGCACTGGCCTCTTCCCCGACCAGGACCAGGAGCTGGCGATATGGCTGCGTCATCTGGCCGTCACCATGGCGCCAGGGGTGGTGAACTTCGCTGCCAGAATGATGACCATGTTTGTGAGCAACCCCTACCCCTACATGGACCGAGTGACGGACATCGTGGCAGGGGTTGCTGTAGACGACGTGCAGCACGGAGACTCGGGAACACAGGCCGAGGAGAAGACCATCACAGGTGAGGGGTGTAGTCATTAGGGCTGGGACGATACACCAGCTGTGCAATCTGATACGTGTCACAATACCTTGCTCATGATCTCATACATATCATGATATATACATGTGCTCGCATTTGTGGTGTGTAAGCCATCTTTTTCATAGAAAAATACCTGGCATGCTGATGTTTTACACTGTGCAGTGTCAAATATGGCGCAATTGATGAAAATATTTTTTTAATTTTTTTTAATTTCACAACTAATTACTGTTTGATGTAACAGTTTTTAAAGCAAACAAGGGAGTTAACTGATGAAAAAAGTCCAGTTTCCACGCTTACCGAACTTGGCTGGAATTTCTGGGGTAGATCGTAGCACCACCAGTGGTATATTGTGACCAGTTATGTCCCTTCTATGCCTCTCCCATTGACTTACCCCATTATCAGATTCCACTTCTCATATCACTTGCATTTGTTTTAAACAAAATGGCGGTGCGAGTCGGGACGATCTGCACGATAATCAAGATCTATATTGTGATAAAACGGGTCTTACATTGCGAGGTGCATCAATTCACGTGAGCACCTTGATTAAAAACATGAAAAGATTCAGAAATTATCTGTTGATGCTGAGCTATCGATGCACGTGTTTTGCAAATCTTGCAATCGACTGAAATCTGCACGACAGTTTACGAACCGGATGTCGATTTCATAACGCAATTTTGATTGGACTATGCATAGACTCGTTAGTCCAGCCAAAATGTTACTCCATAATACCATCCTAGTTCGGCAAGGGGGGAAACTAGACATTTAAAGTCTGTTTACTCCCTTGCCACGGGAAGATGAACGGAGGGTGACTAACAGAAGTATTGTCTTCATTTCAGAGATTTTAGCAATGGATTTTGGAGAAGACTGGGACTCTGCATCAGACAAAGATATAAAGGCAGAGCAACCGGAAAAGCAATCCACTCAAAAGAGGTACTTTATTAATGATGACAGAAGGAGTATATCAACGCTCCTTAAATGACTGTGGTCATCCATACATTGAGATTCTATAATACAAACTTTAAAAAGCACATTTCTTAACCTAATTGTATCACGATGCCTTGTGCCAAGTAAAAGATGATAAAGGGATCAGGTGGTCAGACTTGCTGACTTGGTTTCCAGTTGCGTAGATTGCTGCTCATGATGTCAATCACTGGATTTGTCGTGTCCAGATTTGATTATTTAACCCCCTGGATGATAGAGGGACATATATGTCCCTGCTCTTCAACCCTTACTTTGAAGTTGACTAAAATTCAACATACATCACACACACAAATACACTTCACAGTTTTGAGTTCTGTCGGAAATTCACTGTTTTGTGATGTCATCCACTGTCATTTTAGGCAATGCAGAATTACTGAAAATGACCTCTGAAAATTATTCTTATCTTTTGCATATTCTTTCACACGGTTAATTTCACTATGTATGAATCAATGTTAAAAATCATATCAGACGTAGATATGGGCCACAAAAGTGATGAACCTTTCACACCAGTAGTCTCCTGTTTGTTTGACCATTGTTTACATGAGAAATTGACACGTTTAGTGTCGTACCTTGTTAGAATAAATGTATAAATGTAAATGTAACTTCATCATGTATGTAATTCCTTTGGAGTGTAGTATTCAACATGTAAGTTCATATAAAGAGGCCATTAGTAGCCATTTTGTTTTATTTTTAAACTAAAACTAAATATATTACTTTCACCAAATGGATTTTTGAAAATATATATGTACACATTTTTAGAAGTAATTGTCTTGGTCTTGAAATTGTTTTTTATGCTGTTTGATAGACAGAACAGTGATGTCTAATGATTCGTCAGGTGGCTGTCAGGAATTCATTATATTTGATGCCAAGTAGATTCCGCTCAGCTGTATGAGAAATGAGTCCTACATTGTTAAACCTTGAGGAGACATAAGCATGTTATGATGAGAGGCCATATGTTTTATGTGTGTAAGTTGATTGCAGCACAACCTGGTGTTACTTGAATGTCTTTTGATTGGCAGATTCCCCTTCAGTCCGCTCACACTGATTGGCTTGGACTTGTTGAACACAGACGTGCAGTACAAGGACAACGCAGGAGGTGAGTGACAGTTGTGTGAGTCAGTGACAGTTGTGTGTGAGTCAGTGACAGTTGTGTGAGTCAGTGACAGTTGTGTGAGTCAGTGACAGTTGTGTGAGTCAGCGACAGTTGTGTGTGAGTCAGCGACAGTTGTGTGGGAGTCAGTGAAAGTTGTGTGGGAGTCGGTGACAGTTGTGTAAGAGTCAGTGACAGTTGTGTGATGGTTATGGCGAGTCTGTGACAGTTGTGTGAGTCAGTGACAGTCGTGTGGGAGTCGGTGACAGTTGTGTGAGAGTCAGTGACAGTTGTGTGGGAGTCGGTGACAGTTGTGTGAGAGTCGGTGACAGTTGTGGGAGTCGGTGACAGTTGTGTGGGAGTTGGTGACAGTTGTGTGAGAGTCGGTGACAGTTGTGTGGGAGTTGGTGACAGTTGTGGGAGTTGGTGACAGTTGTGTGAGAGTCGGTGACAGTTGTGTGAGAGTCGGTGACAGTTGTGTGGGAGTTGGTGACAGTTGTGTGGGAGTCGGTGACTGTTGTGTGGGAGTTGGTGACAGTTGTGTGAGAGTCGGTGACAGTTGTGTGGGAGTCAGTGATAGTTGTGTGGGAGTCTGTGACAGTTGTGGGAGTCGGTGACAGTTGTGTGGGAGTCGGTGACAGTTGTGTGAGAGTCGGTAACAGTTGTGTGGGAGTCGGTGACAGTTGTGTGGGAGTTGGTGACAGTTGTGTGGGAGTCGGTGACAGTTGTGGGGGAGTCGGTGACAGTTGTGTGCGAGTCGGTGACAGTTGTGTGGGAGTCAGTGATAGTTGTGTGGGAGTCTGTGACAGTTGTGGGAGTCGGTGATAGTTGTGTGGGAGTCGGTGACAGTTGTGTGAGAGTCAGTGACAGTTGTGTGGGAGTCGGTGACAGTTGTGTGAGAGTCAGTGACAGTTGTGTGGGAGTCGGTGACAGTTGTGTGGGAGTCGGTGACAGTTGTGTGGGAGTCGGTGACAGTTGTGGGGGAGTCGGTGACAGTTGTGGGAGTCGGTGACAGTTGTGGGAGTCAGTGACAGTTGTGTGGGAGTCAGTGACAGTTGTGTGAAGGTCATTGACTGTTGTGTGACAGTTGTGTGGGAGTCAGTGACAGTTGTGGGAGTCGGTGACAGTTGTGGGAGTCAGTGACAGTTGTGTGGGAGTCGGTGACAGTTGTGGGAATCATTGACTGTTGTGTGGGAGTCAGTTACAGTTGTGTGAGTCAGCGACAGTTGTGTGGGAGTCGGTGACAGTTGTGTGGGAGTCGGTGACAGTTGTGTGGGAGTCAGTGACAGTTGTGTGAGAGTCATTGACTGTTGTGTGATAGTTGTGTGGGAGTCAGTGACAGTTGTGGGAGTCGGTGACAGTTGTGGGAGTCGGTGACAGTTGTGTGGGAGTCAGTGACAGTTGTGTGAGAGTCATTGACTGTTGTGTGATAGTTGTGTGGGAGTCAGTGACAGTTGTGTGGGAGTCAGTGACAGTTGTGTGGGAGTCATTGACTGTTTTGTGATAGTTGTGTGGGAGCCATTGACTGTTGTGTGATAGTCATTGACTGTTGTGTGATAGTTGTGTGGGAGTCAGTGACAGTTGTGTGGGAGTCATTGACTGTTGTGTGACAGTTGTGTGGGAGTCATTGACTGTTGTGTGATAGTTGTTTGGGAGTCATTGACTGTTGTGTGATAGTTGTGTGGGAGTCATTGACTGTTGTGTGATAGTTTTGTGGGAGTCAGTGACTGTTGTGTGATAGTTGTGTGGGAGTCATTAACTGTTGTGTGATAGTTGTGTGGGAGTCATTAACTGTTGTGTGATAGTTGTGTGGGAGTCATTGACTGTTGTGTGGGAGTCATTGACTGTTGTGTGACAGTTGTGTGGGAGTCATTGACTGTTGTGTGATAGTTGTGTGGGAGTCATTGACTGTTGTGTGACAGTTGTGTGGGAGTCAGTGACTGTTGTGTGATAGTTGTGTGGGAGTCATTGACTGTTGTGTGATAGTTGTATGGGAGTCATTGACAGTTCTGTGATAGTAATGTGACAGTTGTGTGAGTGTCGGTGACAGTTGTGAGAGTCAGAGACTGTTGTGTGGGAGTCAGTGACAGTTGTGTGAGTGTCGGTGACAGTTGTGAGAGTCAGAGACTGTTGTGTGGGAGTCGGTGACAGTTTTTTGGGTTGTGATGAAGTCCTAAGCCATGGGCAACATGCATGATTGATCTGCTTTAATCTACAATTAGAAATACATTATATAGATGGAAATACCTAGAGTTAATTAGCCAACGCATTCATGACACAATGTTGATGTTGTGCTATTTTAGTTGTCTGTTAATAATATGTATTGTTATAGAGAGGCACAAGACTGCTTGTCTATCACAGTATGAAATCTTTGTATTTATTAAAACATATGCTCTTGTATCAGTTTTGGACTACTTCTCGGCTGCCATGTTGGATATCGTTCACACCCAAGTTGACCCAGTTGCCTACGCTACCCTAGTGAGTAGACAGCAGCCAGCCGCCTCCAGACACGCTCAGTACATCACTTCCTGGATGCACAACACCAAGGTAACTCGTCTTCTGCAGAACTCAGTGTACTTAGTCCCTACAGTAAGCAACCTATACTTGTCGTACATGGCGACTTCATGGATCGGATGGTCAGACTCTGTGACTTGGTTGAAGACAGATGACAAGGATCATGATATCAATCACTGGATTGTCTGGTCCAGACTGTTCTTCAGCCACTGTCATATATGTGTGGTGTATACTTGGATGTAACCATAGTGAAGTCAGCTGGCTGAATGTACGTCATCGTACCACGGTTGTGTGGATCAGTGTTCGCACTCTTCAGCACTGGTGTTGTAGGTCATCGTACAACGGTTGTGTGGATCAGTGCTCACACTCTTCACCACTGGCTTTGTCGGTCAAGGCTGCCTTGAAGTCGTTCAAACAACTGCATGCAGGCATGAGAATGTACACCATATTTCAGAATATGTTTATATTTTTCAAATTTAATCCTCCCTCTGAGTAGGAGTAAGTGTTACGTAAGTCAGCCAACAGTGATCCCTAAAAGTTTGAGCATGTTGAGTAATTTGTATCAGCCGTGGAAGCCGCAGAAGTCAGACAGGAGTTCGTCCGATGCCGCTGTGTTGGTGCAGGTGTTGTGGAGTGACCCCGAGGTGGCTGCCGAGATGACCGACGCACTGGTGGCCGCTGTGAAGAGTTTCGGTGTCAGTGAGTCAGTGCTGCTGGCCCAACAACTACTTCTGTGTATCAGGCAAACTGTGCACAACCTGCAGCAGGTACGACATTCTCTGTAATCTTCCATGTCAGTATTAAGTCAACTATTACGATGCAATAGTACCATGAAATGATACAGAAATATTTATTGCAAAGGTTTGCCAAGGCAAATAAACAATAATGTTCACTATGACACTCAAACGCTGACAGAGAAGTCTGAGCCCGAACTGTTATGATGTCTTTTAGTAACCATAGTAACCATCTGTAAGAGACCTGTAAACCTTATCCGTGTTTTCCGATATCTTTAAGTGTGAAGCCTATTTCAAAGTTTTTCAAGAAAACATTTTATATAATTTTGTCACAATCTGTTCCCAGAGAAAAGGATGAAGACTAATTCTGTCTTTCCATGGTACATTCATGGTACATTCAATTCACAAAATGACCATTTTATTTCTTTCCCCAAAGATGCAAGGTACTGCCGAGCAGTCACTGAAGACATACTTCAAGCTTCTGAGAGTTGTGGTCAGGAACATAGTGTCAAACTCCCAAGGTGCCAACTCCCAGCAAACTGGATCAGAAATATCAGCAGAGTTTGAGATACTTCAGGCCAGTCAGAAGTCTGGCCAGGACATCTTGACAGACATCCTCAGTACCATATTCCAGCATCCGACCCTGAAAGCAGCCTTCCTCAAACATGACTCCAGTTCCACTGACACGTTGGATGTTGACGCTCTCCTTACAGAGGAGATGATGACACTGCTGCTGATGGTGGAGCTGAAGGATGCTGTAGTAGACCACGCCTTGAGGGATGTTTTCAGCGTGTACGCAGAACGGATTTTGAAGTCACTAAAGTCAGTTCTCACAGAATCAAGCACATTGGAATCTCTGAAACTTGTGACCAGCTCTGTGGAAGCCCTCCTGCCATTCCTAGATCCAGCTGTGTATTTTAGCAGTTTCCTGGAACAGCTGCTAGACTTCCCATCCAGTGTTCTGGTATCTAAGGGGAAATCTAAGAAACTTTCAAAAGCTGGTGAACTTGTGATAAATCTGGCCTCGAAGTCACTTGCAGAATTGCAAGAGAGGTCGAAGGGGAGACAACTCCTGCCCTTTGCAAAAATATCCACTTTAATGGATTTGATGACTGCATCCAGAGATGAGTTCCTGGGGGAGTTTTGTCGTCATTTGCTGGAGGTTCAACCTTCCTATTGTCTGGCTGTGAGTCGGGAATTGTGGGAATATTTGCTTGATCACATGACCATAGGTCGAGTTGGTATGGTGACGAGAATACTGTGCCAGAACTTGGTACTGAGGACGGAGTTTGAGGACTGGCTGGTGAGATCGGTGGATCGAGTGAGGGAAGAGAGAGGATTGTATGGCAAGGTCATCGTGACCTACCTGCGCCTGAAAGGAAGGAAAGAGTCAGGTAGTGCTTTGTTCTTCAGATTCATTTAATAGGTCCATTACCACTTTCTAGGGAACCCGTGAAGATCCGGGGTAGAATAGTTCTTCAGCAACCCATGCTTGCCGTAAAAGGCAACTAACGGGTTCTGGTGGTCAGGCTCGCTGACTTGGTTAATGCATGTCATCGTGCCTTTCATCGCACTGACGTTAATAGATCACACTGCGAATGTGTGACTTGGTGTTGAATGGGCTGCTATACTTTTGCAAGAACTAGCAAACACTCCCTACTCTCACTCTCATCTGTCTTCATGGTCATATAACTGGACTTCCTGAATCTTTCAACAAACAAACCAGCTTTGCTCTGTGTGAGGATTATCAGAATGAAATCTTATTGCATGACATTCCAGGACAGGGTACCAATGGCCAGCGGTGTGTGAAGACTGTGGAGAAACTGTACTTGACCAGCACACCCGACCTTCTAGGTGAGACCGACGTGTCGGTCATCAGCGTTGTGTGTGCTCTTGTCCAGGAGAACTGTATCGGTGAGTTAGTTTGAGGAGTCTGGAGGTTCATCTTTTCTTTCATGTTCTACATGTAATGACCAAGATTAATATCATTATACAAAACGTGAGTGTAGCATGATTTCCAGGAGGGTCCCATCCATGAGTATCCTTTGTGTCTCCATTCCCTTCACTCTGGGTCCAGTCAGTCAACCTTGACCTGTCTTCTGAAGGATCCCGTGTGGATTCTGGGATAGAATTTGTCCCCAACGACCTATACTTGTTGTTCGAGGTTGTCGGATCAGCTTGTGACTTGGGTAGATGCTTGTCATGGCCCCCAGTGGTGGGGGATGATGCTCAACCATTGGTTTGTCGGGTCAAGTTTGGATTATTTATAACTGCCATGGTATCACGGGGGTATTGCTGTCTGCAGTGTTAAACAACTATTACTCATCAACTTACTGAAGGAATCAGAGAAATGGCAACAGATATAAGTCATGGATGTGAATTTTGAAGATAAGAAAAGTGTTGATTAGCACCATATGTTTACAGGAGAACAGAAGGTGAGCAAGATCTGGTCTGAGCTGTCTTCAGGTCTGTGTGATCACGAGGACATCCTGCAAGGCCACCTGGAGGTGTTGTTGCACTTGTACCACCTGCAGACGTCTACTGGCGGGGAAAAGGGGGACACACACTCCGGGGACCTCCTGGGGGCGCTGATGAGGACACTCGTACTAAGTGCAGGGAGGAAACATGGGAGGGACCAAGATGTAGAAGACTACAGTCTCAAGGTCATGGCCCAGGTGCTACAGGTGAGTCCACTCTCAAAGTCATGGCCCAGGTGCTACAGGTGAGTCCACTCTCAAGGTCATGGCCCAGGTGCTACAGGTGAGTCCACTCTCACAGTCATGGCCCAGATTAGTTCAGTCTCAAGGTCATGGCCCAGGTGCTACAGGTGAGTTCACTCTCTAGGTCATGGCCCAGGTGCTACAGGTGAGTTCAGTCTCAAGGTCATAGCCCAGGTGCTACAGGTGAGTTCACTCTCAAGGTCATGGCCCAGATTAGTTCAGTCTCAAGGTCATGGCCCAGGTGCTACAGGTGAGTACACTCTCACGGTCATGGCCCAGGTGCTACAGGTGAGTTCACTCTCAAGGTCATGGCCCAGATTAGTTCAGTCTCAAGGTCATGGCCCAGGTGCTACAGGTGAGTACACTCTCACGGTCATGGCCCAGGTGCTACAGGTGAGTTCACTCTCAAGGTCATGGCCCAGATTAGTTCAGTCTCAAGGTCATGGCCCAGGTGCTACAGGTGAGTTCACTCTCAAGGTCATGGCCCAGATTAGTTCAGTCTCAAGGTCATGGCCCAGGTGCTACAGGTGAGTACACTCTCTAGGTCATGGCCCAGGTGCTACAGGTGAGTTCACTCTCAAGGTCATGGCCCAGATTAGTTCAGTCTCAAGGTCATGGCCCCGGTGATTCAGGTGAGTTCAGTCTCAAGGTCATGGCCCAGGTGAGTTCAGTCTCAGGGTCATGGCCAAGGTGCTACAGGTGAGTTCAGTCTCAAGGTCATGGCCCAGGTGAGTTCAGTCTCAGGGTCATGGCCCAGATGAGTTCAGTCTCAGGGTCATGGCCCAGGTGCCACAGGTGAGTACACTCTCTAGGTCATGGCCCAGGTGCTACAGGTGAGTTCACTCTCAAGGTCATGGCCCAGATTAGTTCAGTCTCAAGGTCATGGCCCCGGTGATTCAGGTGAGTTCAGTCTCAAGGTCATGGCCCAGGTGAGTTCAGTCTCAGGGTCATGGCCCAGGTGCTACAGGTGAGTTCAGTCTCAAGGTCATGGCCCAGGTGAGTTCAGTCTCAGGGTCATGGCCCAGGTGAGTTCAGTCTCAGGGTCATGGCCCAGGTGAGTTCAGTCTCAAGGTCATGGCCCAGGTGTGTTCACTCTCAAGGTCCTTGCCCAGGTGCCACAGGTGAGGGGCTGGTACATCTGTCAATTCATCCTCCTAATCTTGTTTTCCACTTACATAACCATGATCTTTTTTAACCATGATATCATTTTGTGTTGATGATCAAGATCATATTCTTTTATCAGAATTCTGAAAGTGGAATAAACACAGGCAAGATGGTGGCCGGGTGGTTGGACTTTGTCAAAGTTTGTCTCAAGTAAGTGGAGGAGGAAACAACAAATGAGATGTACAATTCTACAATGAACAGCTGTAGTGTTATTACGTTACTGCAAACTACAAATGACCAAAGTTCTCAGTTTCGGTTACATTTAATGCAATCCCAAATACTCTAGGGCCCGACTTTTACTGTTAGAATAAGAATGATTTAGAATGATTTCTAGTCCCAGGTTTGCCTGGATTCCTCTACGACAACTGCGTCACTTCGGGCTTTTCTCCCAGTCCGTGGACACGCCCACATGTAACACAAATAGTGCTGAATGTGGTGTTATCCAACTTGCTCGCTCACATGCATTCATTTGTAAATACTCGTAGTTATGCCATGGTTTGTGTGTATACCACAACATATACCACAGTACACACATCATATACAGCTACATATACCACAAGAACCTCCTCAATATGTCATGGCCTTTGTCAGTGAGTGGGTGACTGAGTAAGTGAGTGAGTGAGCTTCACCAACTATAGCAGTCTTCCCACCTTGTATCCATTGGGGCATCTGAACCCAGGTACCTGGGGGACAACACTTTCCCCACGGGGCTGTCCTGCATGCCGTGATGCAGTTTCCATGCCGTTGAGGCATCAGTTTGAACCCTGTGACTCAGTCAGCCCTCATACTGACTTGCACCATTGCTCCTTGTCAGCCTGACCTGTTTGTTTCAGAGCTCTGTTTTCGGAGGCGAAGCTGCTGAAGGTGATTGACAGGCTGGTTCCGCTGGTGTATGTTGAGTCACATGACGTGTCTCCACCAATCACAATGCTGTATGAGATGCTTATGAGCCACTCACAGTTCATGCTGGTCATGCTTGGGGAGAAAGGTCAGGAGGTCAAAGGTAAGGTGAAGGCTGTGACAAAACTCAGATTATTCAGCTACTACATGATCAGACCCAGACAAATTCTGCAATTCCACAATTGCGGAAAGATTTGCAGAAAATGTAACTTGCCCCAGAATTGCAGAAAAGTTGTTGAGTTCGCCCTTTTTTTAATCAATCGATAAACTAATTTTTCATTATTTTCTAGATTTTTAGTTGAATTTAGCACTTGAATGGTGCCCAAACATTTAATATGTGCTTCAAACACAAAAAAATATGAATCCTACAATAAAACGAAATTTGAAATATACCATACTCTTTTTAATGTTCTTGTGGTGTTTTGACCACATAAACTGTGTTTTCATCTAACCATAAGTAAATATCAGACACTGAGGTATATATCAGACATGTAGATGGACTTGCATAATTGTATGTCTTGTAGTATCTGAATGAAAAAGATTAAAATAAATAAAAGAAAAAAATTAAGTTGGTATTAATGTTTGAGGGGGAAATGCTTATGTTTTTACTGCTGAATGTACTGCAGAATTTCATAGTTTTAGCTGCAGTATTTTGATATTTGTACCGCAGAATTTTGATAAATTTACCCAAGAATTTGTCTGTGACTGCATGATACCTGAGGCAGCCATAGGGAAGTAATATGGAAAGTTTCACTGTAGTCCGTGTCCAGATCCCATTACTTACAGTAGTAGTATAACATGAGGACAGCTTCTTTGTTAAGCTGATATTAGGTTAACACTTTCACTTGCAGACAAAAGTAAGCCAATCTCAGTAGGATCTGATCTTCGTGCCCATTACCGCTACACCCATTACAGGTCACATTGGACGACCTTTGTTAACTTTGACCGACCAATAAAATGACTAACAAGAAGTCAACATTGAGCAGCTCTCTCGAACAATGCAGGACTAGTTTCAAAATTTGAGAGGTGGACAAAAGATAATTGTGGAATGTCTGATAGATGGCCGAGATGTATGGCAGTACTTCCCACAGGCTAGGGAAAGTCTTCTGTTTATCAATATGTCATTCATTGTACAGTGAATATGTCTATGTCAGTTTGTCACTTATTTAATCCATTAACAATTACTCTCCTTTCTCCAGACCAGATGGTGAATGTCCTGTTGACTCTGATTGAAACCAGCTCGGAATGCTGTGACCCCAGTCACTACACTGTGTTACAGGGGGCATACGGCGCCACTCTCTCCCAGACAGGTAACTCTTGTATATGGAGCCACTCTCTCCCAGACAGGTAACTGTTGTATACGGAGCCACTCTCTACCAGACAGGTAACTGTTGTATACGGAGCCACTCTCTCCCAGACAGGTAACTGTTGAATACGGAGCCACTCTCTCCCAGACAGGTAACTGTTGTATACGGAGCCACTCTCTCCCAGACGGGTAACTGTTGTATACGGAGCCACTCTCTACCAGACAGGTAACTGTTGTATACGGAGCCACTCTCTACCAGACAGGTAACTGTTGTATACGGAGCCACTCTCTCCCAGACAGGTAACTGTTGTATACAGAGCCACTCTCTCCCAGACAGGTAACTGTTGTATACAGAGCCACTCTCTCCCAGACAGGTAACTGTTGTATACGGAGCCACTCTCTACCAGACAGGTAACTGTTGTATACGGAGCCACTCTCTCCCAGACAGGTAACTGTTGAATACGGAGCCACTCTCTCCCAGACAGGTAACTGTTGTATACGGAGCCGCTCTCTCCCAGACGGGTAACTGTTGTATACGGAGCCACTCTCTACCAGACAGGTAACTTTTGTATACGGAGCCACTCTCTACCAGACAGGTAACTGTTGTATACGGAGCCACTCTCTCCCAGACAGATAACTATTGTATTCGGAGCCACTCTCTCCAAGACAGGTAACTGTTGTATATGGAGCCACTCTCTCCCAGACAGGTAACTGTTGTATACGGAGCCGCTCTCTCCCAGACAGGTAACTGTTGTATACGGAGCCACTCTCTACCAGACAGGTAACTTTTGTATACGGAGCCACTCTCTCCCAGACAGGTAACTGTTGTATACAGAGCCACTCTCTCCCAGACAGGTAACTGTTGTATACAGAGCCACTCTCTCCCAGACAGGTAACTGTTGTATACAGAGCCACTCTCTCCCAGACAGGTAACTGTTGTATACGGAGCCACTCTCTCCCAGACAGGTAACTGTTGTATACGGAGCCACTCTCTCCCAGACAGGTAACTGTTGTATACGGAGCCACTCTCTACCAGACAGGTAACTGTTGTATACGGAGCCACTCTCTCCCAGACAGGTAACTGTTGTATACAGAGCCACTCTCTCCCAGACAGGTAACTGTTGTATACAGAGCCACTCTCTCCCAGACAGGTAACTGTTGTATACGGAGCCACTCTCTACCAGACAGGTAACTGTTGTATACGGAGCCACTCTCTCCCAGACAGGTAACTGTTGAATACGGAGCCACTCTCTCCCAGACAGGTAACTGTTGTATACGGAGCCACTCTCTCCCAGACGGGTAACTGTTGTATACGGAGCCACTCTCTACCAGACAGGTAACTTTTGTATACGGAGCCACTCTCTACCAGACAGGTAACTGTTGTATACGGAGCCACTCTCTCCCAGACAGATAACTATTGTATTCGGAGCCACTCTCTCCCAGACAGGTAACTGTTGTATATGGAGCCACTCTCTCCCAGACAGCTAACTGTTGTATACAGAGCCACTCTCTCCCAGACAGGTAACTGTTGTATATGGAGCCGCTCTCTCCCAGACAGGTAACTGTTGTATACGGAGCCACTCTCTACCAGACAGGTAACTGTTGTATACGGAGCCACTCTCTCCCAGACAGGTAACTGTTGTATACAGAGCCACTCTCTCCCAGACAGGTTACTGTTGTATACAGAGCCACTCTCTCCCAGACAGGTACCTGTTGTATACAGAGCCACTCTCTCCCAGACAGGTAACTGTTGTATACGGAGCCACTCTCTACCAGACAGGTAACTGTTGTATACGGAGCCACTCTCTCCCAGACGGGTAACTGTTGAATACGGAGCCACTCTCTCCCAGACAGGTAACTGTTGTATACGGAGCCACTCTCTCCCAGACGGGTAACTGTTGTATACGGAGCCACTCTCTACCAGACAGGTAACTTTTGTATACCGAGCCACTCTCTACCAGACAGGTAACTGTTGTATACGGAGCCACTCTCTCCCAGACGGGTAACTTCTGTATATGGAGACACTCAGATACTCAGAGGAAATTCTCTATTGTCATAATGCAACAACTGGCAGTAGTCGTGTCAGTATTCACCATGTTGGTTGTTTTTGCAGACCAAAAAATCCTAAAGATGATGTTCCTGTATGAGAAGCATGGCAAGGGTCTGAGTGATGCTAGGTATGTACACAGTCAGGACTGCTTCAAACACATAGCCATCCAAGCAACATGTACCACCAAGCAAGGGACAGCTCTTGTAGCTCAGTCTCATGCTTTTAGGATGTTAGAAAATCTTCTGCAGTACATTAAGTTTTCTTAACATTGTACGGTACAATGCCGGAATTCAGATTTCTGGGGAGGTTATGGTGTAGTTATTATCTCTGCAGAGTTACATCCCTTGACATGCCAGAATCTGCTAGGCATGGGTTTAATTCTAATTAACAACCTTGGTTCTTCAGCACCATATCTGTTGTCATGTCTTTCACCAAGTTAGAGAAATGTCTGCTCCCACCATCACTTTCCATTTTCACATGCAGTGATATGGACCAGTGAGGATCCGGGGCAGAATTGGTCTTCAGCAGCCCATGCTTGCTGTAAGAGGCGGCAACGCTTGTTGTAAGAGGCGACTAACGGGATTGGGTGGTCAGGCTCCGTGACTTGCTTGTTTCCAAACTGCATAGATCATACTCATGATAAACAACATACAAACAAACACACAAACAAACATGTAGTGATATACTTGCATCCACGGGAGATCTCACTTATATCGCTTATGGACTCAAGCCATGTAAGGGCAGTTATGCATCGTCTTAAATTATATGTCTTGTTTTGTTAATATTATTTTAATACTTGTCAATTTTGTATGATCATGTGGGGTTTCTTTTTTGGACATTTGTAGAAGTCATTTAATAATTTTATAATTAAATTCTGATGTACAATATACGAATGTGTGTAGGTGATGTTGACTGTAGCTGTTGTACTGTAGGCCGTTCCTGTGGGGTCCGAAGGCGGTTGAGCACTACGCACTGCGGAAGAGCCTGGCGTCCTCCCTCCTCAAGCAGCCATCGATGGAGCAGATCGTGGAGGCCTTCGATGTCCGCACCATGTACAAGTCAGCTCTGAACTTCCCCATTGGCAGGAAGCTCATGGTAACCCGCAGTTCTTTTTAATGTCATCAAGTGGTCACAATCTTTGATCTTTGTCTGATTGTTTGTCATAGCTCCTTGTGGCATGGATCCTTGACTGACTGTGTGTCATGGCACCTGGTGGCATGGATCCTGAGTGAATGTGTCACAGCACCTGGTGGCATGGATCCTTGACTGATTGTGTGTCATAGCACCTGGTGGCATGGATCCTGAGTGAATGTGTCATAGCCCATGGTAGCATGGATCCTGAGTGAATGTGTCATAGCACCTGGTGGCATGGATCCTTGACTGATTGTGTGTCTTAGCACCTGGTGGCATGGATCCTGAGTGAATGTGTCATAGCACATGGTGGCATGGATCCTTGACTGATTGTGTGTCTTAGCACCTGGTGGCATGGATCCTGAGTGAATGTGTCATAGCACCTGGTGGCATGGATCCTGAGTGAATGTGTCATAGCACATGGTGGCATGGATCCTGAGTGAATATGTCATCGCACCTGGTGGCATGGATCCTGAGTGAATGTGTCATAGCACCTGGTGGCATGGATCCTGAGTGAATGTTTCATAGCACATGGTGGCATGGATCCTAAATGAATATGTCATAGCACCTGGTGGCATGGATCCTGAGTGAATGTGTCATAGCACATGGTGGCATGGATCCTGAGTGAATGTGTCATAGCACCTGGTGGCATGGATCCTGAGTGAATGTGTCATAGCACCTGGTGGCATGGATCCTGAGTGAATGTGTCATAGCACACGGTGGCATGGATCCTGAGTGAATATGTCATAGCACATGGTGGCATGGATCCTTGTCTGATTGTACTGTGATATAGCTGGAATATTGCTAAATGGTACAAGAAATAATCACTCAGTCAGTGCCATGCTACAGAACTGGTCAGCACATGCGTGGCGATGCATCACTTGTGAACATGGCATGCTAATTCAGTCATACAAGCTTATTTCACCTCCTGCAAATATTAAACTATTTGTATTGCTTCATTTGTTGTGTACTTGAATGTTTGTGCCTATTGTTCAACACATACTGATCATCTAATTACCGTCATCTCTGTTAGGTTCTTATTTTCCTCCTCGTAGATTAAGGCACCTGAAGTTTATGTACAGCATTACGTCCCTTGGTTGTGCCAGGATTCACTATTCATTGGTTGCTGTTAACAACTCATGACTGTGTGTATCTGTCTGCAGCCTGCGGAGGTGATGGAGGCGGAGGAGGTCAAGGCCGCTGTGGATGTGTATGATCCTTGCTTTGTGCTGCCGTTGTTCTGCGGACTCCTGACATCAGGTACGTCATCGTGTGCAGCTCATAACATCATCGTGTGCAGCTCGTAACATCATCGTGTACAGCTCGTAACATCATTGTGTGCAGCTCGTAACATCATCGTGTGCAGCTCGTAATATCGTGTGCAGCTCGTAACATCATCGTATACAGCTCGTAACACCATCATGTGCAGCTCGTAACATCATCGTGTGCAGCTCGTAACATCATCGTGTGCAGCTCATAACATCATTGTGTGCAGCTCGTAACATCATCCTGTGCAGCTCATAACATCATTGTGTGCAGCTCGTAACATCATCGTGTGCAGCTCATAACATCATCGTGTGCAGCTCATAACATCATCATGTGCAGCTCGTAACACTAACTTGGATCTGCCAGTTGTCAGTCTTAAGCAGCAAGGCAGCGAGTTCTCCTGAATTCCTGAAGAAAAATATCTTCACACTCAATCCATACATGAGAGAATTTCCTCCTTGTCTAATGGTAGAAATAGATTGTTGTCATGTTTTCTAGCATCGTCCCATGGCTGTCCACTAGCCTACATCAAAGTCTAGTTTCACCCTTAGCTAAAATTTGAGTGGACTATCGCACATATCAATAGTCCATATGTGTTTGCTCACATTTAGGACAACATTTTGGTTGGCTCTCTAAGTTTGTGCGTTGATAGAATATGACTCGATCACATGAGAAATGTTGTGTTTTCATGTATCGCCATCCTCTGTATGTCCAGGGCTGCATTCCGGTAAACCTACACTGACCCCTGGATCCATTTCCGTAGATCTTGCAATCTCCAGTTAACTTGATTTTCCGTAACATTTTTCTGACCAATCAAATGTCAAGATAAGGAAAAAGAAAATGTGTAAGGGCGTAATTCTTATTGCCTTGAAACCAAAGCCACTGCAAAGACATCTTTTTCATCAAAAAGATTTTTGAGGGCTTTCTTTTACGTGTCACTGGTCAATGGGACTAGTCAATGGGACTGGTCAATGGGACTGGCCACCATGTTTTTATAATCCCAACCCAAAATTGAGGCTGGTTTGTAACTAATTGACTAATGAAAATCAAGGTCAGTAATTTGAGATCATGAGAACCATGGAAATGGATCCAAGGGTTGGTGTAGGTGTACTGAAGTGCGAGCCCTGGAGATGGAGAGGAGGATGTATCGTGTCGTCTATCACGCCCTCAATGTCCAGGTACATTAACTATGTTGACAATATATCATCACAGCCATGTTAGGTGATAGTGGAATGGCTGACCTAAAGATACGTTTGATCTCATTATTTTGTTCGTAGATTCCCTGGTAGACTGTCGGAAGTTTGTGTCCAGTCACTGCCTTGCGTACACGCTGACTGCCCTGAGCAGCCACGACCCGGGCATACGGAAGGCTGCGTACACTATACTGGCTCGCTACGTGGACCACCTGTCGGGCGTCAAGTTCCATGAACGGCTTCAGGTGACCTACCTGCTGGACACATTACGAAACAGTGTCCAGGAACCGAACCAACGTCTGTCTTGTCTCATCTCCCTCTTCCTGGCCCGCGTCTCACGTCTCATGCTACATCCAGGTAATAACAGCAACAATGTAGTCCTTAATTAAATATACAGGTAAACACAGTTTATGTACAGGTGCTCATAGTCCTTAATTACGTATACAGGTAAACACAGTTTATGTATAGGTGCTCATAGTTCTTAATTACATATACAGGTAAAACCAGTTTATGTATAGCTGCTCATTGTTCTTAATTACATATACAGGTAAAAACAGTTTTTGTATAGATGCTCATTGTTCTTAATTACATAAAAGGTAAAAACAGTTTATGTAACACAATTCATATACAGTTTGTTCTGAACAGATATCCAGGTTTAAACAGTTTATGTACTCCTTAATTAGATATCCAGGTAGGAACAATTAATGTACAGGTAGTTTGTGTTTGGATTATCTCATGAAAGACGGGTCAAGTTTGATGACCAGACCTATCTAGGTATGACAAGGCTTGGTTATTTATTGGGGCAATGTTGCTGGAATTTAACCAAATCTGATTACTAGATAGTCCATCATAATAGTTTGATTTGAAGCTAACAAGGTCAAATGTCCCATAAAACTGATGAGGTCAAGGGACATGTGACAATGACTCAAACTGGCTTAGGACTTATTTCAAGATACTTATTTCAAGAGATTTTGACCCAAATAGATGAGATTATATAAGCAACATGTATATTCCAGTATCAGGTAAAACATTTGATGCATTTTTGGGAGTATTTTGAATTTGACACCAAAGTGTTTCTCCCAAGACGAGCACATGTACCGGCAGATGAACAACTTCCTGCTGCTGAAGCCGAGCCTTGACACTGTGAACGTACCCGAGTTCTACAAGCTCTTCAACAGCGCCGACCAACAGGTAACCATGGCATCATTGCAGTGTATTTTAATTTGAAGCTACCTATTGACAGTGATTCCTAAATTTGCCAAAGCTTCAATAATTACATTGAAGTAATACTTAATGGAATACTTGACTGTAGTTGAATGTTTCAGCACAGGAAGAAGAGTACATGTGTTACAATGGTGATAATGTCACAACTCAAAAGGGAGGGGAAACATATTATTTTTGGCTCAGTTCCCGGTGGCATCAGTGTTGGCATTGGCGTCAGTGTTCCCATCCTATTCCAAGCCATGACTTGAAAATCATTCAGTGTGTTTCAATTAAACCTGACATATACATTGCTCATCAGCTTAATGGGTGCCTTTGGCTATTTTTATTTTTTTCTAAAATTGATTATGTTACATTTCCATGGAAACAATTTAGACTTAGTCTCAAACAACTCTAGGCTTTGTTTCCAAGCTATAACTCTAAAACTAATGAATATTTTTTTAATGAAACTGTACATGTGATGGTTGAATGTTTCAGCACAGGAAGGAAAGGACGTGGATTGTGAGTCTTCTGGCGGACGGTCTGCGGGAGATGTCCGACTACAAGACGATGGAGAGAAGGTTCACCTTCAAACTGCTGCAGGGATTCTGTGACTCCGCTATGAGCGACCAATTCTCCCAGGTGGGTTGGTGGCAGTTGGCATGGTAGTTCATATCTCATGGTTAAAGTGTGTGGTGCCAAAGACCAGGATTCCCCACGCTAGTGCAATGTGTAAGCCCGAGATGGTGTCCCCTTCAGGATGATAAATAATGTCAACCTCTTTCTACTCCTATATTTGTTACTTCACTCATTTCCCAGAGAATCTGAAGTATAATGAATGAATAGTTTTCGAAAATAAGGCAGGTGTTGCTTGTGTTTCATTATGCAGTTAAATTTTGTGAATTGTGTTCACAAGTTGCCAGTTTGTTTATGATACCATTGTATTCCGTATTTGCAGAATTTCAAATACCCTGTGTATTCATAAAATAAATTGTTCCATCCCAGCACTGTAGTTGTTAAAATAAACAGACACAGTTTCTTTTTTTTACTTGTATTCATCAGCCAACACAATACACCTCCTGCTCTCACACTGTCTGTCACACAACTGCCAGGCTCAAGCAAACCAAGATGGCCGCCGTAAAGTCATTCCCAAAGGATAGAGGGCAGTTTCGTATTCGAGGGGAAGTTTCGTATCCACATATTAACAGAAGTGATGCTGTCTTTCAGGTCCGAGTGTTGAGGATAGTTAAAGCAGCGTGTTCGGGTCGGCCGATGGCGGTAGATCTGGCCAAGAACCACGGCATCCTCACCTGGCTCAGTGGCTTCATCGTGAAACCGTAAGATCCTTGCCGCAGATGGCAACATCACAAATTATCTCTGGTTATTGGTGGTGGCCTCGACACTGTAGATCAACCTCAGCTGTCTTCCATATACCATGATCTACAGTGATGAAAATAACAAACATACTAAATACACAGGAAAGCAATACTGTGTGCTCTCATGATTAGTTGTTACCATACCTTGTCTGTTTATTCTCAAAACTTTCTTCAAAACATCGATAATCTTCTGTTTACTGTATCAGGCATTACCGTCTGCTTAAACGGAAAAGTGTCATTTTGTGTCAGCAGCAAATGGATTTCCTCACAGTCCTGCATTGTCATTGGCTAACAGACTTGAATTGTCTTGTCTCGGTAATGTTAACGTTAGTTTGGCACCAAATTCTGAATGTACTACTTAGGTTTTTGAATGATGGTGGTGCAGTAGCATACCAGCAGTCCTCAATTCTACAAACGAGCTGTACAGTACTTGCATTTAAAAAAAATAATTATGTGTCTGATACTTGTCAGTTCTGATAATGACAGTTATCTGGAGCACTGCATGCTGGGAACCACTTGTTTATCTGGTCCAGATTTGATTACATGTGGTTGTGTGATGTAGTCGGAGTATCGTGAACTGCAGCAGAAACCAGAAATCACTCTCACTCACTCACTCACTCAATCACTCACTCACTCACTCACTCACTCACTCACTGCGTCCTTCCAGGCTGCATGACGTGGAGCACTGTGAGCTGCTGGCCTCCATCCTCCACGCGCTGTGGTTCACCATGACGGGGGAGGGGGGCAGGATGCTGCCGTCACAGTTTGTGCGAGAGACCCTGCTGTGCTGTAAGAGGCTCATCACTCACATCAGGTAGGAGAGAACATTCAGAGCTACTTGGAAAGTAACCCCTATTTACAGGGTGACCATCACGTTATTTACAGGGTGACCATCACGTTATTTACAGGGTGACCTTCACCTATTTTGAGGATGACCTTTAAGCTATTTAGAGTGTGACCTTTAAACAATTTAGAGGGTGACCTTCATGTGACAAGATGTAAGTATTTGAAGATAATACTGCAAAAACAATGAAAGAAGGAAAATGAGACAAATCAGTTAGTCTGTTGTTGGAACACTCTAATGGACTGGTCATTTATTAGTGGGGGTAGAGATTGGTCTTAGGACTGCATCATATTTTGCCCCTCCCCTGATTTTTAACACGATTTCCCAAAAATCTGTGCCCCTCTTATTTGGCATATTATTGTATTTGTTCCAGACATCATGAGTTCTCTTGCCGCTCCCTCCTGTTGCTAACAGAGACCATGGTGTCTTCCCTCCATCACCTCGCCGATCTCACCGGGGACACAGCACATGGGGAGTCCTCTCCCACAGAAACAATCACAGTCAAGGAGGTCCTTCTGCTCCTGCTGAGCTGTAGCCGACTGCAGAAGGACCTTGCAACAGCTGCACAGCTGAAGACCTTACTCAGCACTCTGGGTATCCACATACAGGTTGCCAAGGCAACGGTTGAGAAGAAGCGGAAGGACTACCATGAGGAGGAGGTGGAGCTCATAGAGGAAGAAGCGGAGAAGATGGAGGTGGATGAGGGGGAAAAAATGGCCTCAACTGAGAAATCAAATCCAGAGTCTTTGAAAACAGAAGAAACATCCGACATTGGTGAAAAGGAGTTAGAAACACGGAATAGAGCGAAGGTATTGAACAGTGTGTGTAGGATTTGTCTGTATTGGACTCCACAGACATGTGTGTCATCATCCTTGTCGAGAGGTCAGGACAGCTCCAGCGAGTGTGCAGTGGAGAAAGTACACGTGTCCAGTTCCCTCGTCGCCATGGCCTGGACCCTGCAACACCAACCTCAGGCCGACAGTCCAAAACTAAAGTCGGACATTCTTTCTTGGGTTTTAAGTATTTTGTGTCATGAAAATGGTTTCGGTCAAGTTTGCAGGAAAGTCGTTATTGACTTGTCAGATTTCTCATCCCAGTTTTTGTCCAGTTTGTTGTCAATATATAACAGCCTGTTAGACTTGCCTGGTAAGACAGAAGGGAAGCTGCCCATTGATGTGTCAGAAGATGCATTCCGTGATGCTGGACCAGCAGAGAATACAGACTGTGTACATTCCTCACTGAAACTGCTCAACAAGATTGTTGTGTGTGTGTTGGAGGGAGCAGGTCGTGGAGGATCGCGACACAAAGCTCTGGACGCAGCTACATCTGTGCAGGAGGATAGTTCATGTAAGTTTCTTTGCTTGTAAGTAGTTGGGTGCTGGATGTGACCATGTTTAGCAGTGTTCCAGCCAGTTCACAGCTTCACATGTTGTTCTCATGGGAGGAATTGGCAAACAAATATGATTGTCTATCCTTCAGTGTCCACCGTAGGGGTTAGAATTGGTCCCTAACAACCTATGATGACCAGAGGAGGTGACATAATGGATCAGGTGGATTGTCTGGTTCAGATTAATTTATTTGCAGGCCACCGTCATATAGCTGGAATATTGCTGAGTGTGATGTTTAACAACAAACAAACAAACACAATCACCTATTGTTCAGTGTCTTGATGATTGAAGTGTTCTGGACCTGTGAAGATCCAGATTAGAATAGGTCTTTAGCAACCAATGCTTCTCGTAAGAGGCAACTAATGTAATCGGGTGGTCAGACAATTGATTAGATCGATGCTCATGATGTCAATCACTGGATTATCTGATCCAGACCACCGTCATATAACTGGAATATTGCTGAGTGTGGTGTTAAACAAACAAATTGTATCGTTCCCTGTCTTCCAGTGTCGTCCCAGGAGAGATCATCGCTGGTCCTGCGGGAGTGTCTGCTGGAGTCAGCTGGTCAGTCTACACCAAGTGTTACCAGCGCTGGACATGGTACAGCTGTTTCTGATGACAGCATACTGGATGTGACACAGGATGGAAATGAGGCAGGGACAAAAACTCCCAAAAATAAGAAAAGAAAAAATCAACACCCCCAGAACCTTAACACAAACTCATCACATAAACCTCAGTCTTCTGAAAGTGCAAAGAAGAAAAGGAGAAAATGAGCTTGTACTTCTCTTATGTTGAATTTAAACCGTAGTTATCAGACACACTCATCCAAGGGTTGTTAAGTTAAGGTATGGAACAGGCTGTGGAGAAACTGTTGAGTATGGATTTGAACGAAGTCAAATGTTTGCCTTGGATTCGGAATTACACCACAGAGCTTTGGGTGTATCATAGCGCTAAGTGAACAGTTGTTTTGTTCTTGTAATAGGCGTGCAGGATGTATGTGCTGCCATCACAGAATATACAGGCACAGTCTGAAGGGACAGACATGTGATTTTGGAAAGATGACAATTGCAATTTGTTGACAGTTTCTTCAATTGTTACTAAAAAAATCCTGCACATCTGTGAAGATCCAGGTTAGAATTGGTCTTAAGCAACCTATGCTCCCAGTGAGAAGCAACTATGCTTGTCGTAAGAGGCAACTTACGGGATTGGCTAAACTGGCTCGCTGACTTGGTTGATGCATGTCATCATATCTTAATTGCGTAGATCGATACTCATAATGTCAATCACTGGATTCTCTAATACGGACCATTGTCATACAGCTGGAATATTGCTGAACACAAAACAAACTTACAGTAAACTCTGCTGATAGCAGTTGCACATGTTCAGTGAGACCCTGCAGCTCTGTGAGGGGGCACCGTCGGGTGGCCCAGTAGTGGAAGGTGTTGCTGCTTCCTGTGCTTCAGGATCCACTGTCAGGGATTCGAATGCTGATTCACCTTGATTATTATTTTCAGTCAGTCAGTAACCGTACTTGTGGATATCACCAACACATCACCAGCACACGAGTAAACTTGGATCAGAGTGTCCAGTTAAGAACTGTAATAGATAATTATTTTACCTACCAGTCACTTGACCCAGACCAGTATTTGTTTGGCCAGTGAGATGCTACTTCCTCTACACCATCCTCTGACAGACATGTGATCATTCTCAGAAGATGAATATATATTATGATATACTCATATAATACAGTTAAGGGACATGGTTACCTTAATTGATTAAGCATGTTAAAATACACTCACTCAGAAGATATTTAGAATGGATTCTGAGCTGTTAGATATGACAGTTGATGTATGACAATAAAACAAACGCCCAGTGATTTCTACCCTTACCATTGTGTGAGTGAATGTTGTTTGCTTGTCGTTTAAGCGTCTAACACTAATTGGATCGAGTGGCCAGGTTCACTGACTTGGTTGATGCATGTCATTGTATCCCAATTAGGTAGAACAATGCTGATGATGTCAATTACTGAATTGTGTGGTCCAGACACATTTGTTTACAGTGAGTGAGTGAATGAGTGAGTATGGTTTCACACAGCGTTAAGCAATATTCCAGCAATATCACGGCGAGGGGACACCAGAAATGGGCTTTACACATTGTATCCATGTCGGGGAATCGAAACCGGGTCTTCGGCGTAATGAGCGAATGCTTTAACGAATAGGCTACCCGACCGCCACCATTTATTTACAGACCCCCCTCATAACGACATAGAAACGACAAAAACAGCTGTATCACTCCCTCGCTACCTCTGTATCACTGCTGCATGTAAATAATCAAGTCTGCACAAACAAGTGATCAATAGCATGAGCAACAATCCAAGCTATTGGCATGCATACATAGCATGCAGAAGGAGACGGAATGACCATGATAGTTATGGCCGGGATGTTTATACAGAAGGTAACTCAACATACAAAGCATCATTCAAGGGCCACAATTTGAATAATCAGTCAGTGGAATTAAACAGATGTGAGAGTTTGACTTGATTTATGAACATACTGTGACTGTGCCAAACAGCAGTATCCAGGTCTTCAAGTTTCAATGCAGTATTGCCACATATCTGTATACATCGTTCCTTCTACATGGGAAACAGTAAAACAAGTAATTACATACCGTTTTTATATGTCCACGTTTCAGCTACTACACATATAATGTTCAATGGAATATACACTCTATTTAATTTGTTTTTGGTAAATTTACATTTTTCTTTCACAAATGAAAATTCAAGGTGGGACCTCTAACACTGGTGTTGACCTTTAGCCGTTTTAGCAGTGAAGTAACTAATAAGTATGAGTGATGAAGACAAGTGTTCTCGAGAGCATCACTTCTTGCGGGAAATCTTGCCCATGTTGCTGGGTCTGGGGGACATCTCGTTCGAATTCCCAGATGAGCTGCTTCGGCGGGACGGAGACTGGTCTCCGAGTCTCTCTCGACGCTTGCCTTTTGTTTCAACTGGAAATAACATTCAAACTTGGGATTTGAAATTTACTGACATGTCGACATGTTCGAGACGAACTCGAAAATACGCTCTAAGATCAGAACTGTTGCTAAATGTTTTAAGTTAATGATGCTGTAAAGGCTACAAGAAACTGTCCATATAGTCCTTGTTAATTTCACAGATGATAAGTTGCCAAGTGACAAACAGGGGTGGAGTCCTAATCGAGATCAATGAGGTCCAAGAGCACTTCAAGATGACAACTGTCCTGGGTGGGGTTTTAAATGACCTTAACACGGTGGGTTTAATGCCTAATTGAACAAATGTAAACACACATTTAAAAACTTTATGTGAGCAGTTGGTCTGACAGCCAGTAAAATAGGGTCACCATAAAGATCAAAGACACTGGCAAAACTTGGATATGCTTTAACAAACGTGAAGGTGACTCGAATACCCTACCTCTATTACATCATAGCGATGAATTCCTGTTTTGGGGCTGTCAAACATTCTATTAAACTTTTAGATTTTCAACAGACGTCCTCTTCACTGCCAACAGCTAATAGTTGTAAGGAAAACTATCCTCCGCAGCTGCGTATGCGCGAGGCGGGAAAACGTCACTTCTTTCCAGTGTCTCCAGATTTAAAACAATCCAAATTTGTTATCGCGTTTGTCATTTTACACTCTAACTTTTTGAGATTATCTTAAAGTCAAGTTCAGACAAGCTGAGAGCAGATTACAGCCGATCTGGAGTATAAGAAGCAAGATCGTTAACGTAACTAAGTAGTTAGAAACGTATTGTGGGAGATGGACTCTCCCCTCTCCATCGCCGTCTGTCGTTTGCTATGGGTGCGACAATGATCAACTGACCGGAGATCCACAACAGAGATGCCAGTCGCGCAGAAAGAGCAGAAAACATTGATAAACTTTCCAAGGCGTTGAGGAATAACCTGGATACAACTAGAAAAACTACATCGGGAAAGAAATCTGAAGTACCTACTACAACAATTATAGCGAGGGTAGCGTTGCATGAGAAGCTGGTCAGACATTCATACCTACGCTGAATGGAGACACTCCTGCGTCTTCAGGATATGGTCTAAGGAGCTGTGGACGAAACCCAACTGTTCCAGGTTCATATCGACTCTGGAATCCAAGGGGGGACCTGCCTGCTGATCAGTATGAGGGATGACGTGTCTGACACCGGCAGACCTAGGATAAATGTTCATCACCTGTTTGTTGACATCGTCAAGGTTCCTAAACCTTGCCATATCGACAATCATCTTGGTGGACGACTTCTTGACTGGTTCTTGGTAATCCCCGTCGATGGTAGGATGCCGTAGGCGTTCTAACTGATGGCAGGAAGGCCGAGTCTAATGTTAGCAACGGTCCCATTCATTAGCAGATTAACTATATCTGCATCTAGTTGATGAGGGCTTGAAAGAAGGGACGTTTTCCCGCCTCGCGCAGTTGTATTTCCAGCGGAGGATTGTTTTTCCTAACAACTGTTAGATGTGTTGGGAGTTAAGAGGACGCCTGTTGAAAATCTAAAACATTTTATAGTGTGATTGGCAGCCAAAACAGGAAATTATGGCTATGATGTAATAGAGCAGAGACCATATTAGAATTAAACACAGTGATAACTATCGCTTGATTTCAGGATAAAATCTGACAATATTAGTGAATCAAAAGAAGACTCAATAGAAGACCCATCAACTGTAAACAGGACAAAATCAAATATCGTCCAAAAGAAAAAACAGGATTTCTTAACCCCTATAAATCTACTTGGTACCTCTGTGAACTTACTGACAACTTTCTTGGGCTTCTCGGCAGCAGCTGTGTATTGCTTTAACCTTCCTACAACACATTTGGAAAAATCAGTGATGTATATTCTAGTATGATAAAGAGAGATAACAGTATCTGTCTGTCACTTTTGAAAACATTTCAGTTTTTATTTATCATATGCATTATGAAATCAAGTTGAAAGTCGCTGCCTATTTCCCATATAGACTGATGAATATAGAACTAACACACTTGTTTTTGTTTTCAATTTCATATTTCACCAGCCAGTTTTAACTGCATTATTTCCTCCATTAAAGCCCCGGCCGTATATTTTTCACCGAAGTGGTAAACGTCTAAGACCTGCATCACTTGGGGCTTTCCTCCCACATTAAGCTGACACGCTGTGATATGAATGGAATACTGTTAAAAGCAGCGTGAAACACAACTCACTCACTTTATTTGAGTAAACTGCACTTGGGCCCATTGTGAGGTGAGGTGGAATGGGGTTTAACGTCGCGTCCAAGATTATTGCACTTATATATAGCGACGTGCATGCACGTGTATGTGTGGCTGCTTGTACTAGTCCGGACTGATGCCGATTTATAGTGCTAGCTCACTGAGATACCATGCCGCAGTTTAACATGAATACCCCACTCAGACACAGTATCCTGACTCCGAGCCTGACAGTCCTTGTTTTAGCCCCTTAATGCCGAGCGCAAGACACGGTAACAACAAGTACCATCTTTTAACGTCTTTTGGTATGACGCGGCTGGGGATCGAACCCCGGACCTTCCGCTCTCCGTGCGGACGCTCTACCACTAGACCACGGAGGCGGTCCTGGGCCCATGGAGTAAATTTGCTGGTCTGTTTTGACTGAAACCCCGGATATGACAGTAAAGAGTTTTAGTTGATTGATAGTGTTGATCATCAGGTATATGAAGGTTTGTAGAGCTTACTGTCCAGTGTAGGGTAGGTCTTGTCCCAGTCCACCAGCAGCGGCACGATGCTCTTCATGCTGTCATCCGCTCCCTCTGTGAAGCAAGTGAGGTGGAGATATGAATAAAACGTAATCTCCATCACTGACACATCAAGTGCATGATTACAGATCGGTGCATAGTGTTACAGACTGTAGCTATGGAATGTGCAGTCAGCAGTCTTACAGATTCATCCTGGCTGTATTTCCTGGAGCAGGCTGGACATCGTCAGTACTCCACCATCTTGTATGCACTACGTTCCTTCTTGAAGGAAGGGCATATTGTATACCAACCCGTGAGGTATTGGCATGGACAGTACTTGAAATGCGTTTGTATTATTGAAATACATGTACAGTACAGGTTCAGAGTCCAGATTAAGAAACTACAGCTCAGATAACTGCCACACGCAGAAATGTATGTGATTCACAATTCAATTATCATTCTAAGTCATACTTTGGACAGAAGTAGCCGCACGCACGCACGCACACACACGCAGCTTTATCGGTGCAATTATCTTGAACGCCGGTTAAACCACACTGTACCACCCCCCCCCACCCCCCCCCCCCCCACCCCACAAAATGTACCCAATCATTACGTTGGTAAACGAGTGACATCATGAGCAAGAAGCACGCCATCAGGACACACAGTCACCCAAGTCCCATTTTAGTGGGCAGTTAGGTCTTTATCTAGTGTATCCAGAAAACATTTGGATGAGTTCTTTAAATTGTCATGGCAGCACCAGGCCAAACATCCTCAGAAAAACATAGTGTGTTGTATTCACATAGAGATCAGCTGACTGGATAATGAAAACAGTCAGTGATTTGAAATTAAGATTTGAAGGGACATATCCAATATTTCGGTGTATTGCGGCCATACAAAGAGATGGCATGATTACATTAAATGATTTATGCTTTTGTCGTCTCCAGACTGTGTTACTGCCATTCCCGCCTCTGTGGCTGCCAAAGACGGGTGCAGAAACATTACTGGGCGTTCAGAATACGGCCGCAAGAATTCTGGCAGGAACACCTCACTCCAATACTGACTGAAATGGCTGCCAATCCAACAAAGAACGCAATTTAAACTACTCACGCTGAGTTACAAGGCAATACATGACTGGCTTCTGCATACTTACAGGAAGTGACTTTTCCACACAAGCCAGCGCTTCTCTCTGATCAAAACATCTGACGGTGTACCAAAGTAACATACCGGGGGATATAGCACAGGTCATTTCAGCATGCTGTACAACTTCTTAATTTGATTTAATTTAACTTAAAGAAAGCCATACTTGAGCAGAAATAAATGTCCACACCACATGTGTGCTGCATATCAGAATGTCTAAACCGTATCAAGGAACAATGGGTAAAAGGTTTATGTTTTTATTTTCCGCATGGTGCCTAGGTATCAGATGAGAATTCTAGAAGCCAGTATGTGTAATTGTCTAGGACCAAAATGCATCCTATTTTACATTTGAGAGTGTAGCAAACCACTCATACACTCGTGCACGCAATCAGATTTTCCTGCAAATGTAGAAGCTGTCAATTATCAGATCTAGACAGGGCTTGCCTTGTTCCATCCTTACTTTCTATGAGAACTGGCATGTATGTTGCCCTCGGCACTGTGAGACTGAAGACGTTGTCCGTTGTGTGCTTGGTGTGGATGTATGCAAGGTTCCCACTTTCATCACACAGATCAATAATAGCTGAAACATAAACTCAGGACAATACATACAACCTCGTTCCTAGATGATAGCACGAGCTCCCTGTTGTAAAACTGCCTACAATTATACTGAACAGCAGGCGACACATTTAAGGTGTGTGTGCGATCGGGGTAGAATAGGTTTTCAGCAGCCTATGCTTGCCGTAAAAGGGGACTATGCTTGTCGTAAGAGGCGACTAACGGGATCGGGTGGTCAGGCTCGCTGACTTGGTTGAAGCATGCCATCGATCCGAAATTGCGTGGATCGATGCTCATGATATTAATCACTGGATTGTCTGGTCCAGACTCGATTATTTACAGACCGCCGTCATATAACTGTAATATTGCTAAGTGCGGCGTAAACCAACAAACCAACAAACCAACCAATCAACCAGTCCTCGTTTTAACTCCTGAATGCCGAGCGCCAGGGAGGTTAACAAGAAATACCATCTTTTAACGTCTTTTGGTATTACGCGGCCGGGGATAGGTCCACCAACCTTCCGCTCTCTGTGCAAACGCTCTACCCAATAGACAACGGAAATGAATAGCAGACGACAGTAGATTTTTAGGCCAAACAAAATACAGAAGTTCCGATCCCCTGTATCGGTCTAAGCTAGAAACTGAATAATTTGCCCTACCCGTATCGTCAAAGGAGCATGTTGCTTTGATGTAGTCGATGAATAATTTGGCTGTGCAGTTCGGATTTACAAGTATCATCTGTTGTTCTGTAAATAAATATGTCATGGTGATAAGTGTTCAAGTATCTCGTTGTAACTGCTAGAGATGTTAAACAATAGCCGAGAACTAGTTGGAGAACTATTTTGTATCGACTGATCCATAGTTATCCACATCCCAGACTGTAAAAGACCGTTTTATTTATGAATATTTCAGCGCAACATAATTTCATAAGGTGTCTATGAGCCACATTTCTTCTGTTGTGGCAATGCGTTTCAAATCAGGTAATTAGAGATTAGTGTTCGAAACATTGACAAATGTACAAATGATCAGGATGTCGAGATTTGTTTTTGTACCTACCGCCATAGATAAGACGAATAAACATAATTATCGCACTGAAAAGACCAAATCATGGAAACGGAAACGTCATACGCCACCTACAACTGGTTAGAGTTATCTCCCCTAGCGACATTGATTAGCAAGCTCTTTCCCAGCGCGTGACACCTTCGTTACACTTGCTGACATCGCGATAGAGTGCTCTGCGAACGGACCATTACTGTGCTTAGTTTGCATTGATTCGATCAGGAACTCGATCCAGTCTCGATTATGCTTCTTGGCACCATCAGGTACTTGTTAACAGACATCAGTTAATATTACTGATATTGCAGACATCAGTAAATATTGCTAATATTGCAGGTGTATTTACAGTTGAGAAAGTTCACAATCCGGAGATGAAAAATAAATCAAAGAACGTGAGAAAGTCTAATAATCATAAGAAGTCGTAAATCGTTCCGAATCACGAAGGTAAACAAACAAATTTCGTCGGCTCCACGTCGTAAGGATTAATTCCCTTTACCTATATAGTATTACGACAGCCCATTCGCGCCATACGTTTTCAACATTATAGAGCACATTCTAATCGCAAAATTTAATATGTTCCTCTCATTAGATTTTTCACGACTTTTAGTATGTTTGGACTGTTACCAGGATATACTCCTTTGAACGTGTGTTATACGTGGTCGAAAGGTTGACCTTCACCTGTTAATAAACTTTGTAAACTGATTCATACTTTTCTGGGTTTCCAACTCTCTACGTACGGTCAAACTCTTAACTGTTGTCCAGCAAATCTCTCGGCCTACTTTTACAATGCATGCTTTGCCGCAAACGTTATCAACACGTCACAATACCCTCTGACGTAATTTCTGACATTTTGTTGCCAGCTACACTGGCGGAACAATGCCCTGTGACGTCCATATTAACTCACTCCCTTACTCACTTCAGGCGATGCGCTAGTCGACTACATTTAATGTACACACACATCTGTTAATGTGCACACTAAACATGAATATTTTCACAGGTTCATTGACAAGAAAACATTCTTAGTTCTGTTGTTGGTTTCTTAACTTACTCCAGAAATTCATCCAATGTTAGCCTAGCTGGCACTCACGTGTGTTATTATACTTTAAAAAAAGAAGAAGATTGTGTGGGGTAGGAAAACCCATTTACACGAGGAACCGTACAAGGTATTGGGCCAAAATGTAGTGGAGAGAACACTTGATGATTGCAGTCATCTCAGTTATCGGTACATAGGAAAAGTCCAAGATGAAGGTCAGCTACCAGCAATAACGCGTATGTCCCCCCTAGGAATCGATAGCGGCCTGATATCTCCTGCCCATGGAAGAGACGTGTATGCATGCAGCGAACCACATCCTTGAGAATGGTAGCCCGCTCGGCCTGAAACGCAAAATCCAACTGCTGCAACGTCTGGGGTTGTGGTTGACGTCGGCGTAGCCGTCTATCCAATTCATTCCACATGTGCTCTATCGGGTTTAAATCTGGGGATCTGGAGGACCAGGGGAGAACATCAACATTATTGTTGTTGTGTAGACAGGCTCTTGTGTTCCGTGCTGCATGTATGCAGTCGAGCGTTGTCCTGCAACACGGTTGGCTGCAATTGGGAGGACGTGTGGTAGGAGAATTTCGTCGATGTATGGTTGAGCCGTAAGATTGCCCTGGGTATGGACCAAGCCTGTCCTGCCTTGATAAGAGATATCCGCCCACATCATAACGCTACCCCCACCAAACCTGTCCACTTCCTGTACGCAGTTCCGGCGTAACGTTCTCCCCGACGTCTGTAGACTCGTGCTCTTCTATCCCCTCGACGGAGGGGAAATCTTGATTCGTCGCTGAACTAGACATATCTCCATCGCAGTTGAGGCCATACCCTGTGTTGACGACACCATTGCAGTCGTTGTTGACGATGTTGTCGACTCAATATGACGCGTCAAACAGGACGTCTTGCTTGTAGACCTGCTGCTCTTAAACGGTTTCATAGGTCTGGTCGGAGATTCTGGGTATTTGGTATCTTTTCACGTAGGTGGCGCAGTCGGATGCAGCAATCTTGGGCGGGGGTGGTTGCTCTAGGTCGTCCCGACCTTGGCCGATCACGTGTTGACCCATGCTGTTGCAACCGGTCCCATAGCCTTGTGATGGTGCTGGGCGCTACATTGAAAACCCTGGCTACAGCTGATCGGGATTCTCCTGCCAGCAAGCGGCCTATGGCGTTGTTTCTTTGCACTTCTGTTAATCTTGACATGTTGTTGAACTGTCACTGTTCGAATGACGCAGATGCCAGGCAATCAAAAATCCTGCACTTTAATACCGTTCATAGTGCTGCTGCACGTGCAGTACGAGCAGCTCCATGGCCCTTTTGTTAATGCACTGGGTGCGCTTTTCCGAATCGTACGTGTTTCCCGACTGATGGTTTGCATGTCCTTGTTCTGATCATTTTGACTGACACCATAACACATTAAACCTCTTCATTTTGCACCTCTTGGTCCACTAATTTTGCTTTTATGGCCAAACATATCCAATATACGTTTCTTTTTGTGAAGAGTATATATAACAAGACATTTAAATACATGTCTCGTGTAGGTTTTATACACGTTTACACTATGGAGAAACCAGTACACGCATTGTGCACCTCTAAACTGGTTCTCAGCCTACTAGATCAGGTAGACAGGAGCCCAGCCTAGGCGCAGCCGCTGACAAACCAAGGATCATAGTAAATGAGCTGCAGGGCGAACATGGAATTAGAACTCACGATCAAGGATCCTGCATGCCAAAGAGGAACAACTCAGTGAATTGCAACGCCTGAAACGACTTACAAGTCCGGTTTTCAGGATATAAACAAGCACGTGACAGTAGTTGGGAGTGTTTTAGCATCATTTGGATGCTCAAAGACGTCAGAAATCAATAATATCCTTTTGAGAGAAACTAAGAAGTAAACAAGAAAATTCAGATGGCCATATAGCTTCTTTGAGATACCAGGGTTCCTGGTCATGTAGGTTCTATAGGATCCCGGGGATCCTGATCGTGTTGGTTCTGTAAGATCCCGGGGTTCCTGTTCATATAGGTTCTGTAAGATCCAAAGGTTCCTGGTCATATAGGTTCTGTAAGACCCCGGGTTACAGGTCGTGTCGGTTCTGTAAGATCCCAGAGTTCCTGGTCGTATAGGTTCTGTAAGATCCCTGTGTTCCTGGTCGTGTCGGTTCTGTAAGATCCTGGGGTTCCTGGTCGTATAGGTTCTGTAAGATCCTGGGGTTCCTTGTCGTATAGGTTCTGTAAGATCCCCGGGTTCCGGGTCATGTTGGTTCTGTAAGATCCCGGGGTTCCTAGTCGTGTTGGTTCTGTAAGATCCTGGGGTTCCTTGTCGTATAGGTTCTGTAAGATCCCGGGGTTCCTGTTCGTATAGGTTCTGTAAGATCCTGGGGTTCCTGGTCGTATAGGTTCTGTAAGATCCCTGTGTTCCTGGTCGTGTTGGTTCTGTAAGATCCTGGGGTTCCTTATCGTATAGGTTCTGTAAGATCCCGGGGTTCCTAGTCGTGTTGGTTCTGTAAGATCCCGGGGTTCCTAGTCGTGTTGGTTCTGTAAGATCCTGGGGTTCCTTGTCGTATAGGTTCTGTAAGATCCCGGGGTTCCTGGTCGTATAGGTTCTGTAAGATCCCTGTGTTCCTGGTCGTGTTGGTTCTGTAAGATCCTGGGGTTCCTGGTCATATAGGTTCTGTAAGATCCCTGTGTTCCTGGTCGTGTTGGTTCTGTAAGATCCTGGGGTTCCTGGTCGTATAGGTTCTGTAAGATCCTGGGGTTCCTTGTCGTATAGGTTCTGTAAGATCCCGGGGTTCCTGTTCGTATAGGTTCTGTAAGATCCTGGGGTTCCTGGTCGTATAGGTTCTGTAAGATCCCTGTGTTCCTGGTCGTGTTGGTTCTGTAAGATCCTGGGGTTCCTTATCGTATAGGTTCTGTAAGATCCCGGGGTTCCTAGTCGTGTTGGTTCTGTAAGATCCCGGGGTTCCTAGTCGTGTTGGTTCTGTAAGATCCTGGGGTTCCTTGTCGTATAGGTTCTGTAAGATCCCGGGGTTCCTGGTCGTATAGGTTCTGTAAGATCCCTGTGTTCCTGGTCGTGTTGGTTCTGTAAGATCCTGGGGTTCCTGGTCATATAGGTTCTGTAAGATCCCTGTGTTCCTGGTCGTGTTGGTTCTGTAAGATCCTGGGGTTCCTGGTCGTATAGGTTCTGTAAGATCCTGGGGTTCCTTGTCGTATAGGTTCTGTAAGGTCCCGGGGTTCCGGGTCATGTTGGTTCTGTAAGATCCCGGTGTTCCTAGTCATGTTGGTTCTGTAAGATCCTGGGGTTCCTGGTCGTATAGGTTCTGTAAAATCCCAGGGTTCCGGGTCGTGTTGGTTCTGTAAGATCCTTGGGTTCCTGGTCGTATAGGTTCTGTAAGATCCCGGGGTTCCGGGTCATGTTGGTTCTGTAAGATCCTGGGGTTCCTGGTCATATAGGTTTGTAAGATCCCGGGGTTCCTGGTCGTATAGGTTCTGTAAAATCCCGGGTTCCGGGTCGTGTTGGTTCTGTAAGATCCTTGGGTTCCTGGTCGTATAGGTTCTGTAAGATCCCGGGGTTCCTTGTCGTATAGGTTCTGTAAGATCCCGGGGTTCCTTATCGTATAGGTTCTGTAAGATCCCGGGGTTCCGGGTCGTGTTGGTTCTGTAAGATCCTTGGGTTCCTGGTCGTATAGGTTCTGTAAGATCCCGGGGTTCCTGGTCGTATAGGTTCTGTAAGATCCCGGGGTTCCTTATCGTATAGGTTCTGTAAGATCCTGGGGTTCCTGGTTGTATAGGTTCTGTAAGATCCCGGGGTTCCTGGTTGTATAGGTTCTGTAAGATCCCGGGGTTCCGGGTCATGTTGGTTCTGTAAGATCCTGGGGTTCCTGTTCGTATAGGTTCTGTAAGATCCCGGGGTTCCTGATTGTATAGGTTCTGTAAGATCCCGGGGTTCCTGGTTGTATAGGTTCTGTAAGATCCCGAGGTTCCGGGTCATGTTGGTTCTGTAAGATCCCGGGGTTCCTGTTCGTATAGGTTCTGTAAGATCCAAAGGTTCCTGGTCAAATAGGTTCTGTAAGATCCCTGTGTTCCTGGTCGTGTTGGTTCTGTAAGATCCTGGGATTCCTGGTCGTATAGGTTCTGTAAGATCCCGGGGTTCCGGGTCATGTTGGTTCTGTAAGATCCCGGGGTTCCTGGTCGTGTTGGTTCTGTAAGATCCTGGGGTTCCTTGTCGTATAGGTTCTGTAAGATCCCGGGGTTCCGGGTCATGTTGGCTCTGTAAGATCCCGGGGTTCCTAGTCATGTTGGTTCTGTAAGATCCTGGGGTTCCTGGTCGTATAGGTTCTGTAAAATCCCAGGGTTCCGGGTCGTGTTGGTTCTGTAAGATCCTGGGGTTCCTGGTCGTATAGGTTCTGTAAGATCCCGGGGTTCCTGGTCATATAGGTTCTGTAAGATCCTGGGGTCCTGGGTCGTGTTGGTTCTGTAAGATCCCGGGGTTCCTGGTCGTATTGGTTCTGTAAGATCCCGGGGTTCCTGGTCGTATAGGTTCTGTAAGATCCTGGGGTTCCTGGTTGTATAGGTTCTGTAAGATCCCGGGGTTCCGGGTCATGTTGGTTCTAAAGGATCCCAGCATTCCTCACTCACTCATGTGCTTATGTGATGGCATATTCAGAATGAGTTTGAAAAAACATACTTCACATTGAAGCGTTCACAAACAAAGTTTGCAATGTGTGACTTGGCTGATGTGTGCACTTGTATCTACTAACCAAGACCATCGATCACCCATACGATCCAGATACAATCACTTACAGGTCCACACAATCAGATGGCGTGTGTTGCTGGTCCACACAATCAGATGATGTGTGTTACAGGTCCACACAATCAGATGGCGTGTGTTGCAGGTCCACACAATCAGATGGTGTGTGTTACAGGTCCACACAATCAGATGGCATGTGTTACAGGTCCACCCAATCAGATGGTGTGTGTTACAGGTCCACACAATCAGATGGTGTGTGTTACAGGTCCACACAATCAGATGGTGTGTGTTACAGGTCCACACAATCAGATGGTGTGTGTTACAGGTCCACACAATCAGATGGTATGTGTTACAGGTCCACACAATCAGATGGCGTGTGTTACAGGTCCACACAATCAGATGGTGTGTGTTACAGGTCCACACAATCAGATGGTTTGTGTTACAGGTTCACACAATCAGATGGTGTGTGTTACAGGTCCACACAATCAGATGGTGTGTGTTACAGGTTCACACAATCAGATGGTGTGAGTTACAGGTTCACACAATCAGATGGTGTGTGTTACAGGTCCACACAATCAGATGGTGTGTGTTACAGGTTCACACAATCAGATGGTGTGAGTTACAGGTTCACACAATCAGATGGCGTGTGTTACAGGTCCACACAATCAGATGGTATGTGTTACAGGTCCACACAATCAGATGGCGTGTGTTACAGGTCCACACAATCAGATGGCGTGTGTTACAGGTCCACACAATCAGATGGTGTGTTACAGGTCCACACAATCAGATGGTGTGTGTTACAGGTTCACACAATCAGATGGTGTGTGTTACAGGTCCACACAATCAGGTGGTGTGAATGTATTTCATGTCCACACGATCAGATGGCGTGTGTTACAGGTCCACAAGATCAGATGGTGTAAATGTGTTGCGGACTCTTGTGTTGTGGGTCCGGGAGTAGAGATTTCTCTGGAGAAGAAGTATGAATGAGATGCCTTCCTCATGGTGACTGCAGAACAAGATGTCTCCGCACTGCACCTGACTGGTGCTTTCTTCACTTCCCTCACAACTCATTTTGACCCCAATGCTTCGACTAGCAATTAAAAAGTACATCACAAAATATACAGACTACAAATTCTATTCATTCAGTTCAAAAGTTTATTTACAAATATAAAGTATTCACATGTTTATACAGCCAGATATACAATTCATTGAAAATATTTTATTAAAAGAAATATTTTCAAAATAACACATTGTCAGCGATATTGATCATCAAAGATATTGTTACTGTTGTAAAGACATTAATCTCCTCAATTTTGTTTTATTTTTTGCATGATTATTATCTCATTATATTCACAAAAAGGTAAAAATAGACATGTGGGCAACTGTCATTAATACTGATTCAATAACTGTTAATTTTGCCTCAAAATTCCAAAAAGGTTTGATCACAAGAATTATCCTTAATCAAGATTCATGTAGTGAGACAACCTTCTCCAGGTCTGATACACATTGAAGATCTTCCTGGAAACCTACATTTATTTATTTTGTAGAAAGAGGCTGGGTGTATAAGATATCCCATTAAGACACTTATATGTAACTATTGTGTGAACTACACAATACCGTATTCGACGTAATAAGCACCCACAGCGATATTTGCTAATATATTGGCTTTCAATCTTTCAACTGTTTTTTATCTCACCAAAATTATATTCTAATAAGAGCCCCCTATTTCTAATTTTGAGAGCACCCTGGGGGCTTATTACGTGGAATACGGTAATGCTACAAGATATACATGCTGCTACTGTACAAAAGCCATATTAAGTACATTTGGGATGTCAGGTCAGGCTAATGTTATACATCTACTGTGGACGGATATACACCTTGTGTGGTAACTTGTGACCGTAGGATTTTTAGTGAATCATTTGCCTTCAAATGTTCAATTCCAGTATAACTACCTCATTACAAACACAATGCATTGGACACTAAGGAATGTCATAACATCATGCAGAACACCTACCGAGGTACTATGACCTTGACATTACCATGATTACGTGTCGTAGATAGCAACTTAATATTCTGTCTTGTCAAAATATCTCTGAGTACCGGTAATACCAAATGCCACATATGTTCTGACAAGAATTCATATGCTTCTGTCAAGTTGATACATCTACCGATACCTGAAACCATTCTTATAATCTTGAGACTTTAGGTAGAGATTCTCTTTGTAGTCATGGACAGAATATCACACTTCTTTCCAAGTCACGAGGGATGGATTGTTTAGTGTCCTATCAAACTGGACCAGAATCTGCTAATTGACAGACACATATCCCATTATCTCCTCCTCTCAAACTCCCGTCGGATCCATTCTGAGTCCTGGTAGAACCTTGGGTCACCGAGCTTCAGCGCCGTTCTCTTGTAGAAGAAGTAGTAGAGGACAGCAACTGCAGGGAGAGACACAGAAGAGTTAGCAGCAGCGTGGGATGAATGGAAGAGTGAACTTCTGAATACATTGAGTGAGTGAGTGAGTGAGTGAGTGAGTGAGTGAGTATGGTTTTACATCGCTTTCAGCAATATTCCAGCAATATCAAGGCTGGGGACACCAAAATTGGGCTTCACACATTGTACCCATGTGGAATCGAGTCCGGGTCTTCAGTGTGACGAGTGAACACTTTAACCACAAGGCAACCCCACCGCCCCACTAACCTAGCCTGGGTGTTAGGTGTGTATATTGTTTACGAAGCGGTCAGCAATATCTCAGAGATGTCACAGTGTAACTGATTAAATCTGTACCAGGAAAACCTATGTTGATGTTGCGAGCAATGTTCCACGCTATCGGGGTATGATGACCTCCAATCAGCCATGTCAGCAAGAATGACCATGCAATTTAATCACCTGCTGAGACCAGCATAGAATATGATCAAGTACTGGGTACTTATTCTGAAAAAGATTACATTTGTTTTTCTGTTTTTTTAGGCATTTTGCATGAGTAATTAACCATCTTAGGAGCCAATGACTTGACATAATCATAACATCCCCACATCTTAGTGAAAGTAGAGTAAAACAGACCAAGCCTTCTCTTAAAGTTATCAGAAATAACATACCAGTTCTCTGAATGACGAAGAGGATCCGATATCCAGTTACATCCCAGATGTACCTGTCAGGGTCGTCCCACCTCAAGGTCTGAAATGTACAGTGAAATACACAACATCGGTCCATCAAGTTGTCAGTGACAGAAATATGGACCAATGCTATCAAAAAGCTGACCAATCTTATCTATCTGGAAGAAAGACTATTTGGGTAAGTAACACTCACATCTTGTCTAGGAAGCAAGAATCAAGCAACACCAGCTTTTGTGAATACTCACAATCGTAGCTCAACATACAAGCAACGCCACATGACAAGGGAATATTGTAGTATAAAGCAAATGGCAGATCAAATGTAAGCTTAATGATTGCATAAAAATATTGAAGTGGAGCTCATAATAGTTATATCCATGCAAATGTCAAGTCATCTGCAACAACACAAACAATTCTACACATGTAAGATTCATGACTTTATCTATAGCGAGTCAATCAAAATAATTCTCATCGATTCACCATGACAAACTAACCACATCCCAACATCTCTCCCCCCACATCCCAACATCCTTCTCATACAGAAGTACACGGCTAATGTAATTGCCAGTCTCAGATCCCTGATCTCCAGTGAACTTCGTTATCATAATTACAGTTACCTTGAAAATTTAATATTACTGACACCACAAGAATACAATGGAAAATTTATCTGAAGTTATTTTTCGACCTTTGAAGGAGTTAACAATATTCAAGTCATGTAACCATGACAACGTATCTTGTGGATACAAGCAGATGAAAGCAGTGGTGGTGTGAAGTGTGCAGCGGTCACCAGGATGAAGTGATGAACAGTGTGCATGGAGTGAGGAGACAGGGAGGTCTCACGAGGAGCAAGTACGAAATGATGACTGTCAGTATCCTGAGACTTCAGTGCTTCTTATCTCTAAAATTTCTTTTGAGCGCTGTGAAAGGACTGAGATGAGACACCCATCTAGCAAGACTTGGGCATGGTTTGTTGCAATAATTTGAAAAAGTTTAAATAGATTTATAATAAAACATTGATCAATGATTTATCATTTACAGCATTGTTTCTTGTGTGTATGTCTAACAACACAGGACATTGAATACCCAGAAAGAAATGTTCACCGAGATCGGCGAGATGAATAATACACCTATCATTTATAGGCCACTGTTAGCAATATTTGTGTTGGGGACATCAAATATGAGCTTTACACGTTTTCCCACTGGGATTCAAACTTGCAGCTTGGTGTAACAAACAGACTATTTACCTGCTGGGCCACCCGTATGACCTCAAACACAGACGGTACAAGATGTCCACACAATCAAACATGGTTCATGGGCCGGGGTGCAGGATTAATAGCACATTCAAGACATCTATCGTACAAAGTTCAAGTACAACAGAAACACATCTACACAACGTCATCAACACGAAGAATGTCACTAGACTACCACGCTGTTAAACAACCTAATCAAACTGACGGGGGAAAATAACGACAACAACATATTGTTAAAGTGATCTGTTTACATTTCAAGATGAAAGTAAAGTTGCCGAGATTTAAGGTCACATACCATGCTTGCTGGTGTGTGGAGATTACCCTTGTCAGACAGCTGAATATTGTCAATATTTCACCTCATTTACCTGCGTATGAATATAATCTGGACGATATCTGTCTTCCTATATCAACTTTCAGTAACAAAATGTTAACACTCAAAAATCTCTTTGAGAAACTGAAGTATATTGGACAAGATGGACAGGTCTACACACGGACAACTGGACAGAATAGTTCCACGGATGTGTAGAATAATTTTATGTTTATTTATTTACAAAACCTATCATCTGATCATTTCTTGTACACTGTCATCATGCTCTGCATAGTGTGAACAAACACAGTGTTCACGTTTCCAGTACAGACCAATGCCACATGATCCTAGAGCAAATATTCTTAAAAACTACATATCACAAGATTTATTTTTCCCACCTTAAAGATGCTATGTAACAATACCACCTTATGGGGGAAAACTACAACGTGTTGAAACTTGTCACTTGTTGTGGACCAGGGGACCTGTACATTGATGCCAGGAATCCAGGTTACCATGGTTACTGGTGCAATCTTGTTAGTCAAGTTACTCATCAGTGTAAATGCAGTGTACATATCAAGCCATTACAAACTAATGGAAACAGAAAAAAAATATAAAAAATATTGCAGAAGAAAGTTTTGAATATAACTCCACTGCGTCATACAAACAGACCAGCCTTCAGTGTAAATATGTTTCCAATGAAAAAGTGAGTGAAAATAAGTTGGCAAGCATACATATTTGTTATTTGTATCGGTTTGTTTCCAATGATACACAAGTGAGAACAGTATGGGTACAGAGTGAAGCATTGACAATATTCCAGCTGTGATTCTTGTCTGACAACGTAATCAATGAAAGAAAAAGTGGAGTACACGAGACAGAAACTGATTTGAAGCTGTGTTGATAGAGTGTTCCAAATAGAACACCTAAAGCCATACCTGTGAGTCAAACAATACCTAGAAATCACAAAAACATTTGGGCTATGTATCTATTTTCCAAGGCCATCAAAATCTACATTATCATGGAGATAGACATGAATGTGTTCCTGAACATAAACTAGGCATACTGAAAAAAGATTACTTGCAGTACAACGAAAATGATAATTAACTGTGTTGACTGTGTCAGTTGAATTATTTTTAAGACAACAATACTGTAAATCTTGAAATTAACGCGAATATGAATTAAATGTGAAAAATGCGAGTGGTCTTTTAACTTCGCATTTATGTCTCCAAATGACTGCCAACAATAAGACGGCCTCACTGCACACTTTGGATAGTGGAAATACCAACTTAATCATAAACACAAACACGGTTTATTGAGCAGCAGATGAAACAAGTATATGACAATGTCATTCAAAGAATAGGAATTACACAATGGGCATGGGGTGAGTTATCACTGCTGGGGTCAAGAGTTCTACCCACTCATGTCAAGCTTGTTGACACCTTCTCCGCATACCAATCAGTGAACTGTTGTTGGATCAATTATTTTATTGCCTTTAAACTTCCTTAATGCCACTCAACAGAGTAAACAAATAAACTGTGGGTTGTTTTTAGAAAAAAACACTGTTTATTGTTTTTACGGGAGTGCTTTACTCAGCACTAATAAGCAGTGGTATTTGTGTTTGATTGGGTTAAGGTAAGGATGTGTATCCTTCCACTGGGATGGGGTGGGGAGAGTCACAGTGATATTGAGTTGCTTTTTTGGCAAGCAGTCGTATTAATTTGGAGACGCATTAATTTCCAGATTTACAGTATCATGTTTACCATCTTCACAAGATCTTTTATATAGGGACTGTTTATCATGGTTATATACTGCATCATTACATTGCATTCTGGGAAGAGGAGACAACAGGCTGCTATTGTTGTATCTGCATTTTTGGACTTGTGTTGGTCAGAATTAGATACAAATAACATAGAAAAGAGAAGTATGTGTATAAAACTGCTTAAAAGGTGCAATTCAAACTACATGAATCAAAAGAATGTATTTTAAAAACAATCTTTAAAAATCACTTTATTAGTTATTGAAGTAACTTGTTCCAAAAATATTTATCATTCATATTCACGAACAACAACTTATACACAAAAAGATTGCGCAAAGTGGGGTTAATGCCACTTTAAACAGCCATTCAGTATGTCAGTTTAATATCGGGGAAGGTTCAAATAGACGCAGGTCATAGACGTGCAACCACTGTGGTGATGGCCCTCGTCATGGCAACATGGGACAATGATCATCATCATGTTCAATGTGGGATCTTAACCAATGATCAGCGGATCCTGCCATGCAAAGGGATGCAACTCTGTACATTACATCGAGGCATCCAAGACATCCATTAAACAAATACAACAAGTATCTGTAATACAACACTGTCCATGTTGTATGATGGTGATTCCATACCAAGCCAACAAGCCAATAAAAATAGGAAAATGTGAACATACTCAACGAGCATAAATATTACTCTACTTAGTAACTTTCTAACAATAATAAAGCACTTGGTTGCTACAGAGAGAAAGATCTATATACTAAACTAGAAACAATCAGTATTATCATATAGAGGTCTTTATCTTGCTTCTCAATTCTACAACTTAATAGATGTAACAGCATATATCGCTTCAAATAGGCATCACACACGTTACTAATACAGGACATGCAGTATGATAATAAAACAAAAACATTAAACATGCCAGAAACTTTGTCAAATACAATTCGTGCCATGCAGGTTGAACATATATTGTTTTACTTTGCATGTTTGGCACAATCAACTTTCAAAAAACCCACATGCAATCAACTCTAAATCATAAAGACTTTATGTTTATTACTGAAAGATGTCTTTGAGATTATGTTATAAATTATGTTACAATTCGAATTTTGTTAAAAAAATGAATGAGTTCAGTTAGCATCAGCAACATTTCAGCTAAATTCTGCAGGAAATAGCTAAGTGAACACTTACTTACAATAACAACTTAATTCAAGAGAGCAAATGACAGATGTTATATATAGTAAACTATGGTTATAACGAACTAATTTTAGTTCATAATAGCCGTAGGTCGTTGTAAGCACATAAACAGCACACATACAAGAAATGGCCGGGACTAAAAATGAGTTTGTTATATTGGTAAGTTCGTTATATGCGTGTTCATTATAAACAGAGTTTACCGTAATATATCATCGATTACAAGTCATTTACTTTAATCAATGCTTTAAAACTGAAGAATCTTACCATTCCCCAGACATGCAGCGCTACATTCAGCATGAAGTAGACGAAGGTCACACAGATCGGCACACGGAACTTGTTGACTAGGATATTGACGAGGCCTGCTTGGAAGATGTATGTATTGAAGAACAACAGGAATACCACGATCACTGCGAACAGGATGCAGACGTCTTGAATGCTGAAACAATAATTAGAGAGTGATTAGTTTAGACATACACCATGTTGAAGTTTTGTAACTGATTATAAGTTATATCCCAACATGTCAGCTAATATAGGCGGAAAGCCCTACATGCTGTGCAGGTTACCACTTTGGTGAAACCCACCTGGGCAATTGTTTGATAGGCGTTACTTAGATTTTGACAGATGACAAAGTAGACACAATTTATGGACAACAACTTCTTTATTTACTGGAAACACGACCTTTTCGTTATAGATCCTTATACTGTTGTGGTTCAGCCTTGCTTGACTACGGTTGCTTGACAACGGTATAAGGATCTGTAGCAAACGTCTCCTTTGCAGTAAATAAAGACGTTGTTATCCACAGATTGTGTCTACTTTGCCACCAGTGCAAGACTGGTGCCAACAAACAAAACAATACAATGAGGGGGATTCTGGGACTTCAACTCCTGATCCCATCATGGTTAGGGGAGGCAACTCTGCACTGTAAATTGTGTTATGCCTCATACCACTGGGCCCTCCTCCATGCCTCCTTGGAAGTTGAAAACTCATGTTCCATGTTCCAAGCTACTCTATTGTTGCATTCTCTTGCCATAAACAGGATAAAGATACAATCAAATTCTGGTATCATATCATCTTTTCTAAAACTGAACATTCAGAACTGGAGACACTTTGTTCACAAGGTAACCACAATGGATCCATATACATGTTCCTCAGTGAACCAGTCCCAGACACTCCTTCCACTTACACAAACGTGATGAGCAGAATGACATTCTGAAATCGGAGCATCTCCGTGAAGGAGTTGAGAACCAGATCCACCAACAGCAGCAGGTACTGCAAGTACAGGATCGGCTGGTACCGACTGACATTCATCTTGACAGCTGATGTACACGGCTACTGCGGGGTAGTTTAAAGCGTCATCACTGGAATACACCCTACCCTTCTCTGCTGTCACGTTAAGGATGCATATGCTTACATTGTTGATTCTGAAAAAGACAAAAACAATGATATAACAACATCTGACTTTGATACAATTTGCAACTGCAATTCACAGCATATTCAAATGCCTACTTTCTGTCCTTCATATTCTTAGCGCCACGATTGTCATAAGTCTATGTTAAAGTACTGGGAGTAATGATCGTCTTAGTGTTAATGTCGCTTTGTGGATCAGGGCCCTGACTTCTAATTTTGTTCCATCTGTCCATAGCAATCAAGTTTACAACATCTTTCATCTCTATCAGGAGCAGACTGGGCCTTTAAAATTTGGGCTACGACCAAAACATCTTGAAGTTAATGCTTCGTCACGAACATTGAGTATGTATCCAATGTATGTGTAAATAAACAATATTGGTTGTTGGGACAACATGACCTGCATCACCTAGCTACTACAACATCAAACAAAGAAATAGTGTCAAAGTGAGAGATAATTTCTACAGATGAATATTTATTCCCCCGGAATATTTATATCAGATGTATATCTGAGAGTAATTCCTTGCTCACCAGGTCCGGTCACAACATTTCAAGGTGTATGCAAATTTCAATGCTGCGCTCAGATGATTGGGTGCTTTGAGGTTTATTTGACATGACCGAAAAGAATGGTAACTCTTCCTTAAAGGGACCTTTATTGGTATCTTTGCCTTGAGATTTAACTGACGCCTTCAAATTAGAAGGTATGTTATCTCCACACTCAAATCACCAGACACCTCGTAATCAATAACAAGGCAAGAGAGGTAATCCATGGTGTCTTTTCAAAATGGCAGCAATATCACGTACTACAAACTTAAAAAGTGCAAAAAAGGAAAGTGTTGTACATTCATCTCCAAATTATTTCTTGCATTAAAGGGACAGGGCATGGACCATTCTGAAGCTTTGTTTGTAAACAATAGCTGATAACCCCAAGCTAAAAACAGCACTGCTTGCCTTATCTGTTTTTTTTCCAGTGACCACACAGCGGGTGTAGGCTTATCACGTGACCACACAGCGGGTGTAGGCTTATCACGTGACCACACAGCGGGTGTAGGCTTATCACGTGACCACACAGCGGGTGTAGGCTTATCACGTGACCACACATCGGGTGTAGGCTTATCACGTGACCACAGACTTTCATCTTGTTTGTAAACAAACACACTTATGCAAGCCTTTCAGTGCACTTTACATGTTGTTTTGCATAATCAAATAAATATACTATTTCAACTATAACAGTGAGGTGTATGACAATATAACTTTACACCTCAAATTGACCGCATATCGCTAGCTCTTTGTAGGCTTTGATGACAGGATGTGGAGGATAAATATGCAAATGAAAATAGTTTTTCATGTTTTAGGATATGTTCTAAATAAAAGGTAAACATTTCATGACATATGTGTAGACTCATCCATATGAAACAGATGAAAAACACATGAATGGACTGTGTAAGATAGGGCTTCAAGTGTCCAAAAATATGGACTCGAGTACCCAAGGGGTGAGACTCGGCTCGTGCTCGAGTACCCGCAATTATACATCAGGTCAATAAAATTGGCAATTATCCTATCGTATACAAAATCAAAGAGTCACAATGACATCGTAGATCACAAAAAAAACCAATGTGATTGCGTATCCAAAAAAATACCTTTGAAATTTGTATGCTGATTCGCTGAAGCTTCATTGAAATAAGAATTGTCAACTTGGGAAAAGAAATTGTTTACATCTCAATGTAACACACATCATGTTCAGGGTGAAAAAAATATTGCACACGTGATGTATGTTGCGATTGGTGATTGGCTGGATTTTGGCGGGCTGGTTTCTAAGGTATACCCTATATGATTAATAAGATCATTTGATGCCAGTGCCGAAGGAAATTGTCAATAAATGACAAAATATAGATAATAAGTCAAAAGTAATATTTTAAATATTATCACAAATTTACAAGTCAGTTTTTACCTTTTTCTTAATTGAAAACATTGAAAGATTACTAGGCTTGTAAATTTACATCTTCTCGAGGCAAGAGAGTTAACTGACTATAAAAGTCCAGTTTCCACCCTTGCCGAACTAGGCTGGTATTATGGAGTTACATTTTGGCTGGACTAACGAGTCTATGCATAGTCCAATTAAAATCGCACACCAAAATCGAAATCCGGTTCGTAAACTGTCGTGCAGATTTCAGTCGATTGCAGAATTTGCAAAGCATGTGCACCACCAACTCGTTGTCAGCAGATATTTTCCAAATCTTTTCATGTTATTAATCAAGTGCTCACGTGATTTGATGCATTTCACGATGTAAGACCCGTTTTATCACAATATAGATCTTGATTATTGATCAGATCATCTTGACCGGGCACCACCATTTTGTGTGAAGCAAACGCAAGTGATGCGAGAGGTGGAATCTGATTGGTCCATAGGAGAGGCTAAGAAGGGACATAACTGGTAATAGCCACTGGTGGCGCTACAATTGAGCCCAGTACTTCCAGCCTAGTTCGGCAAGGGTAGAAACTGGGCTTTTAAAGTCAGTTAACTCTCTTGCCTCGGGAAGATGGTAAATTTATAGTTGACTTATATAACATGTTTTCCCGACATTTGAAGAGATAATTAGAATGTGATACAGTAACACAATGTTAATATTCAATAAACTGATGTCCAGTTATAAATATCTTATGAAAATATTGAATTAATAATGATTAACGTTATGACGTTAATTTAGAATGAATAGGTCTACTGCTTGCGACAGTTTAATAGTTTCATAAAACATCCCTTTTAAACATGAAATAAAGTACTTTTTTAAACCAGGAACTATCCTTAAGAAATGGTTGTAAATAAGTGTATTGTCTTGAAACATAACTAAAAGAAAAGCTTTTGACCTTTTTATTTGATTACTCATGAATAAGAAATTTACATAAAGACATGTTTCTATTAACTTATTAAAGTTGACCAAATTAGAGTTAACGCACATGGTCGAGTACTCAAGTCCTTCAAACTTGACTCGAGTCCCACTAAACTCGGCCCGTGCCCGAGTACTCTTTGAAGCCCTAGTGTAAGAAGTGACAGGGTTTTCTGTGGCTTTATCGATTATATATATACAGATGACACCAAGACGGCAACAGGGTGTGAGGCTGATGTTTATTTGTGAATAATCACGATAGACACCCTGTAATAATAAACAACAGATAATATAGTATATGCAGTGACATTGTCGGTTTCACTGCACAGAGTTCTTTTTGGGGGGTTTGGGAATTCATTTGGGCATGTGCAGATTTCAAGCTTGGAAATTATTTCATGCACGATTTAAAAACACACAGAACCATCGAAGTACTGTCCCTCTAAAACTTCGCTCATTTCACCTTGAAGTTTGAGTATGGAAGTTGGTGACCTGATTCACTAGCGAGGGGATGGTTTGATTGGTATACCTGGATCCTTGGCACCGGATCCTCTGATGTCATATCGTAATGAATTGCAGAGCTCCAGATAAGCTGCGTATCTGCATAAAATACGCATCAGAAATGCAGAAATAAGCAGTAAAATAAAATTCAAGCGTATCAAATACGCACAAACATTACAGTGGACTACAAAAATAAAACTTGTGCGTATCATCAAAATATTGTGAAGTAACCCTGTGTATTCCATTAGCAAATGAGCAACTTATTTTGAAATTATAAACGGGCATTCCGTCAACCTTGCCAAACTCCACGATGACAGTTACATCATGATCATTTGCCATCACACTTTCTTGTGGAAGTATTGTAGTATTTTTTAGTCCTATAAAGCTCTCAAACCTATATGACACCAGTTTGCAGCATCTTCCCGAGGCAAGTGAGTTAACTGACTATAAAAGTCCAGTTTCAACCCTTGCCGAACTAGGCTGGTATTATGGAGTTTCATTTTGGCTGGACTAACGAGTCTATGCATAGTCCAATCAAAATCGCGCACCGAAATCGAAATCCGATTCGTAAAGTGTCATGCAAAGCATGTGCACCGCCAACTCGTTTCTAAATCTTTTCATGTTTTTAATCAAGGTGCTCACGTGATTTGATGCACTTTGCGTTATAAGACTCGTTTTATCACAACGTAGATCATCATTATCGATCAGACCGTCTTGACTGGGCGCCACCGTTTTGTTTGAAGCAAATACAAGTGATACGAGAGGTTGAATCTGATTGGTCAATAGGAGATGCATAGAAAGGACATAACTCGTAATAGCCACTGGTGGCGCTACGATCGAGCCCAGGAATTCCAGCCTAGTTCGGCAAGGGTGGAAACTGGACTTCGTAAGTCAGTTAACTCTCTTGCCTCGGGAAGATGGGTTGCAGGGACTAGATGAATAGTGTTTTTTAAATATTTAACTTAAATACCCACATGTGTAAAAACTAGTGGGTAACAGAAATTTGAATACCCAGATAGAATTACTGATACCCAATGATTTTAAAATGCATGGGTTAAATGCCCACAACACCAAAAGCTTATCTGGAACTCTGGAATTGTAAACTAAATTTGCTAAAAAAAACAAAACTTTGCTGCATTTTCCAGATATACTACGTGCTACATCAGCTGTACATGATGATTATGTTCCATGCCTGTGGCAAATCGTAATGTAAGGCCAATGAGAGTGTAGTGGTCGATATGATAAACGCCAAGTAAATTTTGAGTGAGTACGTATGCCTTGAAATCTGGCGCTGCGTCCAGACCTGCACATATGCCTATGGGCCTCCGTCTATCATGGACGTTATTAAAGGCAAGTTATAATTCCACTGTCTATCCGCTTTAAAAATTTATATCATTCGCATGTTAAGAGAATAAACAAGTTATCGAACTGTTAGATCGTTTTGTGAGTAAACAGACTTGAATGAAATAAATCTAAATAACAGAAGATACCCGCCAAATGAAATTCCTACTATCTTGCATGAGTGAGTCACCTTGTGGCATACAAAAGAAAAATATCTGCGAAGATCCTTACCGTATCTCAAAATTTTGTTACTATGAAAATCTATTCGCTGAAACATAAGTTTGAATTAATATTGTGATGACAGTTCAGTTGTTAACCGGAATCCGACATGTTTACACTCGAAACGAACCTCTCGTACAATCTCACGAGATCTATATTTAACTGGTGCCGTTATTGTAATGCGCGACCGCGTTCTCCTTTTTAAATATATATAAGTACAAATGTAAAGCCAAGTCACATTTTTCTTATAAATTCCACAACAATACATATATATTCTTCAGTAGTCTTTACTACACTCCAAATTAGGTTTACAATCAAATTTAGGGGCCTGTTTTCGTTTCACTTAAAGAAGGCAAAACCTAAGAACAAATCGGAAATCGGGATCATATCACCCAGACCGGGCCACAAAAATCGGCATTTTAGACCCTAAGTGAGTGAGTCAATTTGGTATTACGCCGCTTTTAGCAATATGTTCAAGACATATCAAGGGGTGGGGTGTCGGGTTTGGGGGTTGAAGTGAGACGCCAGGATTATTCATTGAGGGTGGGTGTATTTAGCGTTGAATCAGACATGATTTACTGTGGTAAACACAATATGGAGAGACGGGGTAGACACATTGAGAGGATTGTTTTACCGGGATATGGATGGAATGGCTCCGATGGAATGACCTTATAAAATGTGTTTGTACTAGAGACCCGCTACGCAATCAACCAAAAACGATGGAACAGCAGTCATGATTGAGCCAATCAGCATGTAATAAAAGTTATATTACTCAAGTGGTTGTCTGTCCGATAGCTCGCTGGCGAAAACGTCAGCGGATATATAAACTTTATATTCTTTAATATCTGTATTCTATTTTAAACTGTATGGTATCAGTTGTTTGGTAGCTATTACTTAGAAGTTTACAATTTATGGATAACAACTTCTTTAATTATTGTAAAGGTGACGTCTCGGTATGGATCCTTATACCGTTGTCAAGCAAGACTGTATGGTATCAGTGAAGACAGGGTTGATTTGGGGATTTCATCTTACAGGCACAATTTGTCTATTGCCAACTTTGTTGCGAAAATATAACATTATTTTACATCTGATAGCATATACAGCACGTGCACTGTATATACAACGTCGGGTAATACTATAACTTGGATTTTGTTATCCAAACCTGTTTTGCTTTAAAATTTCTTTGAATATTCCACTGATCCCAAGATGTTCTCACATGTTTAATACAATCTTTCAAAACAACCATGGTAAACAACTGATCCTTGGCGATATATTCTTCCGATCAATTCATGATATTATTGCAAAGATACCGTGATAATATGGGGGCTATAACATGTGCTGCAGGACATGTGCGCACGAATTAAGCCAACATCAAACGTTTTCGTACATGATGGATTTCTATGCTTTTCTCGTGCGGATTTTCCGGATTTTACTGTTAACGGGATAAAACATTGCGCCGGAAACGCGGGAAAGAAGTTGAAGTTTGACTAACATTGAAGTGATGGTCCCAAATTCCACAGTAATACCTTAGTTTGTGAATTATTGCATTCAGTTCCCATTATTCTATGGTTAAACTGCACAGACATTTTATTTTGTGATGATCTATTTGTAGAATATTACAGCGTTATCTGTGCAACTACCGATCAAAATATTGTCCCATTTTCGATCATAACTTTTTATGCCTTAATTTCCCAAAATATACAACAGGTCGTAAATTTCGTGCATAGCGGACATGACAGCGCTTGAACTATGACCGAAATACGTTTTTTTTACACATCGCGATTATAATTATTGTTTTCAATTTTCACGAAACGTTTTTATTAAGCGTTAATGACAAAGTATTCCAACAAGACTATTATTTTATGCAGGAGACCAGGTTCTCGCCAACGACCCTGTTCACAAATGCCTCTATTTGACAGTGGGGAGCCAGTAGGCATGAGTATTCGACGATGAGAACTATATGTCTATGCGCTATGAATGTGATTTATTTTCCCTCTATTTTCTTTCCCTAGTTGTCACTGTGAAGTTGTGGTAAAGTGAAGTTCAACATATTTTCTCCACGATGAGTGAATTCAAGGTACACCACCACGTCAGTGAGCTGATGAACCTCCTTGGGTGAGACATGACACTCTTCTTTTTATCTTCTCAGTTAAAGTATAAGTCAACTAGAGGCCCTTGTATTTTGGGAATTGTGTGACCTAGTGCAACGAAGACCTAGTGCAACGAATACCTAGTGCAACGAAGACATAGTACAAAGAACATCTAGTGCAACAAAGACCTAGTGCAAAGAAGACCTAGTGCAACGAAGACCCAGTTTTGATTTAGCCAAATGTTATGATTACTGGTGTGCTGGAATATTGGAGAAAGCAGGACAAAAGCATACTCACTGACACATTGTAGAAGTTTTATTTCAGTATTGCAGTGAGGTGGTTGGAGTGCATAGAGTTGGTCTTAGTATTCTTACTTAGTTTAAGTGAAACAGATTTCTCAGGTTTCTGAGAATTATAGTGGGATATCCTTCTTATGAACATGCTTGATGGAGTGAGTTAGTTAATATTGCTGTCATTGACATTTTACAACCAGGGTACTAATGTATTCAGTCATAATTGAGTGCAGAGATTATCCCAATATTGCACACCTGTGTCTGTGAGGTATTTCAGACATCTTTGATAGCATGGTGATGTTGCTCTCCTTCATGGTTCCAGGGTTCGTTCCACTGACTCTGTGGGAGCTGAGGTGTACACAGAGATGCTTCTGAAGAATACTACCCCATACATCACAACACAGGTGCGATATTCAATACTGTATAATACTTCCCTTTATTGCAATAAAGGGTGGCCGAGTGGCCCAGTCTTCTGGGGCGCTGCAATTTGCTGTGCAGAGTTGCGTACTTTAGGCACACCAGAAACCTATGAATGTGGGTTTGAACCCCGGTTTGCCCTGATTATGTTTTTAGGTTTGTCTGCACCATACCCGTGCTTGTGGGTTTCACCAAAGTGGTAAATGTCTAAGACATTCATCACATTAGTCTACGTGGGCTTTCCTCCCACATTAAGCTGACATACCATGATATAACTGGAATACTGTTCAAAGTCGTGATATAACTGGAATACTGTTCAAAGTCGTGATATAACTGGAATACTGTTCAAAGTCGTGATATAACTGGAATACTGTTCAAAGCGACGTTAAGCCCAACTCAATCACTCACTCGAAGTATGTTCATTTCAGCTGATTATTAAGTTACCTTAAATGTCATGATGGCATAAGACACAAGTTTTTCTTTCCCAGATTGGGATGTACATCCGTGTAGGCAGCAACTTATTCCAGATCATGGAGACTGCAGGGTATTTTATGATATTGATATACTGCTATACCAGCAGTGGAACTCACTTGAAGTGTGTTTGTGACAGGTTTCAGCACATCATGCGAAGAGGAAGATTGCAGAGTCAACACAAACTCCTATCGAGTTCTTTGCTAAATATGACGATATGAAGTCACGGAAGTAAGTGATCACACCATTGAAGTGAAAGTTAGTAACAAGGTGTTATCCCATGGCTATGATTCTGTCTTATTATCCTCCTAGCCAATCAAAGTTTAATAATTCTCCTCAAAATGCTTTCCGGGTGACTTCTTATTTGTATCTGTTCTGATGCTGCCCTAAGTGTGTAACGTGGCATTAACTCACAATAGAAGTATACATGCCAGCATTTGATTAGTAAACATAGATCCATTTAGAAATACAGGTATGCAAGTTGACAATGATACATAGGGTAACTCTGCAGTGGTGTTATGCCACTGGGTAATGGTGTTATGTTTTGCATACTACGCAAATATGCATCTTTTCTGGAGCTATGGAGATCTGAATGTACATATTGACTATGGCTGGGACGAGTACAAATTTACCTGCTGTAGGCCTCAAGTTGGGTACCAGGTGTCCAGTTGGTAACTGTTTTGTTGGAACCCTGGCAAGAAGTATTTAAATACACATATAACACTCTCTGATCATGAATACACTAAAGTTGACTGATCTGTGCTTAAACATATACAGGTCAGAAGGAATGTGTGCTTAGTCAGAAAGAAATGCGATCATTCATGACTTGTAGCGTAACCATGGAGTTTTATTGTTTTTGTCATTAAACAATATATCACGTGACTAACCACGGGTCTGGGCAGTCCTGTGGATACCCTGGTTCTACTCAGAACCCACCAGACCCGAGTACCCAAGTTACCTGTCCCAGCCATGATATGGACAAGTAGGAAGTACATGGTTTCCTGCAGGGGTAAGTTGTGGGAGGACCTGTGATCTTTAGATACCAACCTTTGTAATACATCTCACCATTACTAAGGAATCAATCTCGTTAAGATCAAATCTTAGTTCTCGATACAGCTACACAAAGATATGAGGAGATCCCATTACAGGTGACGTCGGCACGACCTTTCATCCGACCAATCAGAGCAGCGCTTACCACATCAGGAAAGTGACAGTCGGAATGTGTTTTCTAACCATGCGGCTTTGGAATGTTTAACACAGGTTATTCCGAATGACAGTTATGGACTGGATCCATACAATCTAGGCCATCTATTAGCCATGTCATAGTAATTTTGTTGTTCAATTTTCAAAGTTTCAATCAAGAATTGGTTGAGTATGTTTCGAAGCGTAGTTGCCAGTTTGAAACTAGTCCCGTAAAGCACGAGAGAGCTGCCTTCTGATTGGCTAATGTTGACTTCTTGCCAGTCATCCCATTGGTCGGTCAAAGTTCACAAAAGGTGACCTGTAAAGGGATGTTCTCAGATCTTTGTTCAGCGAAAGCGAGAACTAAGATCTGATTTTCATGAGATTGGTAGTGCATTTTCTACTGTTGCAGTGTCCGAGATCTGGATGCACTTGTGTATTTCTTTGCCAAGTTGTGTGAAGAGGACCAGGTAGGAGCTGCAAGATGTCAGGGATTATTAGATGGCCACCGTCAGAATGGCAACAAATGATTTAACCCAAGAGCGTGATTGGTAGATGTCTCAACATGCATAGCATGTTTATCTGATGAATATTCTGTACCATTATCACACTGAAATAACGATTGCTAGATCTTGCCATAGAGTATCTGATCATTTTGAGCATCTCTGGAAAGTCAGGTTAATCTGATGTGATGGAGGTGAGTGAATAACGGAATAAAAGCTCCTACGTTTTCTAGACAAAAGAGTTCCTGGCGAAGAATGCCCGAGACAAGGCGGACGCTGCAGGAATGACCCTGTTGCCTCATGGGAAGATTACCTCCCAGCTGCCGGCCCCCGGAACCAAGATGACGGAACAGGAGCTGTCGGAGGTAAGGAGTATATTCTGTCTGTCTCAGTTGGAAAGTGCGCTATACCGATTCCTGGTATGTACTGTGTTTCACGATGATTGTGCTTCAGATTAAGGACAAGCTGCTGAAAGAAGCCAAGGCAGTGTCGGCAACAACATCGTCCGAATTCCTGAGGAAAGCTATCCGAGAAAAGCAAATGAAGAGAAATGGTAAATACCAGTCTTTGGATTATTTGTGTCTTGTTGATGCAAATGTCATAAAGATTTGTCATGTGGAAATTATCACCGTTTCAGTGAACATTCCGCTGCAGCCTGAGTGGCTGTTTCAGAGACCGTCCTTGACCTTGGACTTCATTGTTGGAGTGGATGGACCCACTGATCATGTGAGTGACCTGTTTTATATCGAACATAATATCGAGAACCTGTGAGATGTTTATGTCACACTCTCCATTTGCTGTTGGGGTAACTGTGTGGTGGAACGTGTTCCTGTTCCCGCCCACCCTCACCTCACCTCACCTCACCTCACCTCACCTCACCTCACCTCACCTCACCTCACCTCATAATATACATAGGAGCATCTCTTGAAGTTCAATATTATCTTAACTGTTTACAATGGGAACACTATATCTTCCTCCTCATGTTTCAGAATATCGTGGCTCTGGGAACATTGCCAGTTGCGCTTCAGGAACAAGCCATTTTGGATGATATCCTGTGTTGTATGCAGGTGTGTGGGCATCACGTTCTTGGCTCCGTGTTCAATATGTACAGCAGAGATTAAAACAAGAAACATCTACTTCATCCTAGAGACCCTAGGGTCCATTTTGTAGGCCAGAAAATGGTTTCTTGTGTTTAAAATAGATTGTCTCGGCAAAAACACCAAGATGTATGGGAAGACAAATAAATGATTTGAGGTCAATAGCAAAGAAAAAATAAAATTGAAGTTTGATATAGAAACATCAGGAAACTATTTGAAACTTATTTTTTTCTTGACAAAGCTTGATGTTACTGTTGATGCTTCCAGGGCATTGAGGGAAAGTATATCCTAGCCCGAGCCCTCACGGAGAGATACGCTCCAAAAGAGTTCATGATAGACCAGAGTCTAGGTGAGTCACTGCAAGATATGTACTGTGTTATTGTGGTTCATGATAGATGAGGGTCTAGGTGAGTCGCTGCAAGATATGTACCGTGTTATTGTGGTTCATGATAGATGAGGGTCTAGGTGAGTCGCTGCAAGATATGTACCATGTTATTGTGGTTCATGATAGATGAGGGTCTAGGTGAGTCGCTGCAAGATATGTACCGTGTTATTGTGGTTCATGATAGATGAGGGTCTAGGTGAGTCGCTGCAAGATATGTACCGTGTTATTGTGGTTCATGATAGATGAGGGTCTAGGTGAGTCGCTGCAAGATATGTACCGTGTTATTGTGGTTCATGATAGATGAGGGTCTAGGTGAGTCGCTGCAAGATATGTACCGTGTTATTGTGGTTCATGATAGATGAGGGTCTAGGTGAGTCGCTGCAAGATATGTACCGTGTTATTGTGGTTCATGATAGATGAGGGTCTAGGTGAGTCGCTGCAAGATATGTACCGTGTTATTGTGGTTCATGATAGATGAGGGTCTAGGTGAGTCGCTGCAAGATATGTACCGTGTTATTGTGGTTCATGATAGATGAGGGTCTAGGTGAGTCGCTGCAAGATATGTACCGTGTTATTGTGGTTCATGATAGATGAGGGTCTAGGTGAGTCGCTGCAAGATATGTACCGTGTTATTGTGGTTCATGATAGATGAGGGTCTAGGTGAGTCGCTGCAAGATATGTACCGTGTTATTGTGGTTCATGATAGATGAGGGTCTAGGTGAGTCGCTGCAAGATATGTACCGTGTTATTGTGGTTCATGATAGATGAGGGTCTAGGTGAGTCGCTGCAAGATATGTACCGTGTTATTGTGGTTCATGATGGATGAGGGTCTAGGTCTGGAATCCGCTGTGGCATATAAACAACATCTATTCAGTCTCGTCCTCCTACAAGAGTACTAATTGATATTATCCTAATGAAATGACAGTTCTCTTGAAGCGATATATTTATTTGAATAAAGAATGAAATTAATGACATCAAGTGTTTTCATATTGCTGACTAGGGCTGCAACGAATACACTATGAGGTGAATACGTTTTGTATCCCGAGTATAGGGTAACGAATATGAATATTAATTCACGAATACAATAACAAGTCAGATGATGTATTATTTGTTATATTCAGTGAATCATTAACATAAATCTTTTGACATGGTGTGTTAATTATAAATATATCATACATTTATATACTGCACTTATCCAGGTACTAGTATCTGCTCAAATGTGACAATGACCAGTGACCCCAATCCTGTTAAATCAAATATTATCAGAGTGTTGTCTTTGAAGAAATCTATGCATATAATATGTTCTTATGGATATTTTTAGGTACAGGGTATGTAAATGCACATACTTGCATATTCATAAATATTTGATTCTAGTTGCAATGAATAACGAATTCAATTCATGAATGGATACGGTTCGATTCACCGAATACGCGAGTGAATCGTAACAGTCCTATTGCTGACAATTGCTTCAAAAAGTTGACGTCCGTATTCTTGAGCTGAGTGTGACATGTAGCGTGTCTGTGTTTGTCTACAGATCCGTCCCTGCAGGAGCTGGTGAAGCGGGTGCTACCCATGTGCTCCAACTATTCCACTGTAGTCAGGTTTATAGAAGGTAACGTCACTGCTTTCATCCAGAAGTTCCTGGAGTCACAAGTTAGTTACGTCTTTCATCCAAGAAGCCTCGAAGTATTGTGTATGAAGACAAAAGTTGAAATCCATGTGTCTTGTGTCAGTTATGTGAAGCTGCTGAATTCGTGATTCCCTGTGTAACCTGCAGTGTCCCATGCAGTGTCCCATCAATGTCCCATACGGTGTCCCATGCAGTGTCCCATGCAGTGTCCCATACGGTGTCCCATGCAGTGTCCCATGCAGTCTAACCTGCAGTGTCCCATGCAGTGTAACCTGGAGTGTCCCATGCAGTGTCCCATGCAGTCTAACCTGCAGTGTCCTATGCAGTGTCCCATCAATGTCCCATGCAGTGTCCCATACAGTGTCCCATGCAGTGTCCAATGCATTGTAACCTGCAGTGTCCCATGCAGTGTCCCATCAATGTCCCATGCAGTGTCCCATGCAGTGTCCCATACAGTGTCCCATGCAGTGTCCCATACAGTGTCCCATGCAGTGTCCCATGCAGTGTAACCTGCAGTGTCCAATACGGTGTCCCATCAATGTCCCATACAGTGTAACCTGGAGTGTCCCATGCAGTGTAACCTGGAGTGTCCCATGCAGTGTTCCATGCAGTGTAACCTGCAGTGTCCCATATGGCGTCCCATCAATGTCCCATACAGTGTAACCTGGAGTGTCCCATGCAGTGTAACCTGCAGTGTTCCATGCAGTGTCCCATACAGTGTAACCTGCAGTGTCCCATGCAGTGTAACATGCAGTGTCCCATGCAGTGTAACATGCAGTGTCCCATGCAGTGTAACCTGCAGTGTCCCATACAGTGTCCCATGCAGTGTAACCTGGAGTGTCCCATGCAGTGTAACCTGCAGTGTTCCATGCAGCGTCCCATGCAGTGTAACCTGCAGTGTCCCGTACGGTGTCCCATCAATGTTCCATACAGTGTAACCTGGAGTGTTCCATACAGTGTAACCTGGAGTGTCCCATGCAGTGTAACCTGCAGTGTCCCATGCAGTGTAACCTGCAGTGTTCCATGCAGTGTCCCATGCAGTGTAACCTGCAGTGTCCCGTACGGTGTCCCATCAATGTTCCATACAGTGTAACCTGGAGTGTTCCATACAGTGTAACCTGCAGTGTCCCATGCAGTGTCCCATCAATGTCCCATGCAGTGTAACCTGCAGTGTCCCGTACGGTGTCCCATCAATGTTCCATACAGTGTAACCTGGAGTGTCCCATGCAGTGTAACCTGGAGTGTCCCATGCAGTGTAACCTGCAGTGTTCCATGCAGTGTCCCATGCAGTGTAACCTGCAGTGTCCCGTACGGTGTCCCATCAATGTTCCATACAGTGTAACCTGGAGTGTTCCATACAGTGTAACCTGGAGTGTCCCATGCAGTGTCCCATCAATGTCCCATGCAGTGTAACCTGCAGTGTACCATGCAGTGTAACCTGCAGTGTTCCATACAGTGTAACCTGGAGTGTCCCATGCAGTGTAACCTGGAGTGTCCCATGCAGTGTCCCATGCAGTGTCCCATCAATGTCCCATACGGTGTCCCATGCAGTGTAACCTGCAGTGTTCCATGCAGTGTCCCATGCAGTGTAACCTGCAGTGTCCCATACGGTGTCCCATCAATGTTCCATACAGTGTAACCTGGAGTGTCCCATGCAGTGTAACCTGCAGTGTCCCATGCAGTGTCCCATCAATGTCCCATGCAGTGTAACCTGCAGTGTTCCATACGGTGTCCCATGCAGTGTTCCATACGGTGTCCCATGCAGTGTAACCTGCAGTGTCCCATACGGTGTCCCATCAATGTTCCATACAGTGTAACCTGGAGTGTCCCATGCAGTGTAACCTGCAGTGTCCCATGCAGTGTCCCATGCAGTGTTCCATGCAGTGTCCCATGCAGTGTCCCATCAATGTCCCATGCAGTGTAACCAGCAGTGTTCCATACGGTGTCCACTGCAGTGTTCCATGCAGTGTCCCATGCAGTGTCCCATGCAGTGTCCCATGCAGTGTCCCATGCAGTGTCCCATCAATGTCCCATGCAGTGTAACCTGCAGTGTTCCATACGGTGTCCCATGCAGTGTTCCATACGGTGTCCCATGCAGTGTTCCATGCAGTGTAACCTGCAGTGTCCCATACGGTGTCCCATCAATGTTCCATACAGTGTAACCTGGAGTGTCCCATGCAGTGTAACCTGCAGTGTCCCATGCAGTGTCCCATCAATGTCCCATGCAGTGTAACCTGCAGTGTCCCATGCAATGTAACCTGCAGTGTCCCATGCAGTGTCCCATGCAGTGTCCCATGCAGTGTAACCTGCAGTGTTCCATACGGTGTCCCATGCAGTGTTCCATACGGTGTCCCATGCAGTGTTCCATACAGTGTAACCTGGAGTGTCCCATGCAGTGTAACCTGCAGTGTTCCATACGGTGTCCCATGCAGTGTCCCATACGGTGTCCCATGCAGTGTTCTCATTCATCACTCTCTTATTCACTCGGGGATGAAAAAAATATAACATTGACTCTAAGCTTCTGTTTGCCTGTTTTCGGTACAGGTCAGCAATGAGTGCCCTTTGTGAAATGGAGACATTTGATGTTCAGATTTTGTGCAGTTTGATGAAGGAGTAAGCATATACTCCAAACCCTTGTGTTCCTCTTTATAAATAAGTTGACATCCATAAATTCTCTCTCAAGTCAAATTGGAGGGCACTGCCGATCTGCTGGAGTCTAGCTGGAATCCTAACTTCAGGTTGATTGAAAGTGTTCAGTTACCATGGTTTCTGTTTTAGAGTGTGAACCCTTATGTCTGCTTCAGAGAAGGCTGCATTTGAGTACGGCCTAGTGAACCACGCCCTGAGTGCTGCCATGCGGACGTTAATCAAAGTAGGGAGCTTCTGTCTACAACAAATTACAAACGTCTTGACATCATACCTGAATCAATGCGAATCTGATGAGATTAAGTGAAGAATTCATTCTTGGTTGAGATTATGTATTTGTAACTTGGACATTAAGGTAGATCTGTAGCATGTTGTCATTGATGCATTTATGTGTAAGGACTTCTGTTTGTCACGCTTGACTTTCTGCTGCAGGATTACATGGTGCTGGTCGCTCAGCTGGAACACCAGTACAGGCTGGTGAGTACCCCCCTACACCTTGGGTGATCAATGCATGGTCCTCAGATGATCCTTGTGTGATCCATGCATAATGCTTGTGTGATCCACGTTTGATCAATGCATGGTCCTTGTATGATCCTTGTGTGATCCATGCATAATGCTTGTGTGATCCACGTATGATCCATGCATGGTCCTTGTATGATCCTTGTGTGATCCATGCATGGTCCTTGTATGATCCTTTTATAATCCATGCATAATGCTTGTATGATCCACATATGATTAATATTTGATCCTTGTATGATCAATGTTTGATCCATGTATGATCCTTGTATGATCAATGTTTGATCAATGTATGATCCTTGTATGATCAATGTTTGATCCATGTATGATCCATGTGTGATCCATGTATGATGCTTATATAATCCTTGTATGATCCATGTATGACCCTTGTATGATCCTTGTGTTATAATAAACAGGTGACTGCTTGTCGCAAGAGGCGACTTTCAGGATTGGGTGGTCAGGCTCGCTGACTTGGTTGATGCATGTCATCGTATCCCAATTGCATGGATCGATGTTCATGATGTCAACCACTGGATTGTGTGGTCAAGACTTGATTATTTACAAACCACCGTCTGGAATATTGCTGAGTGTGGCGTTAAACAACAAACAAACAAACAAATCATAATAATCTCTAGAATATTTACAATATTTCTATTTTTGCCTTTCCTTAGATTGTCAGTATTATTAACGCTATAGGTCTCGAACTGATACATACCTACCAATACAAACCTATAATGTACCAAAATATTATTATCAATCTAAAAATATCTTTCCTAGATACATGACCTTTTCGTAATCTGTTCTGAGTAATGTAAAAGCATCACCTTGACCTTATTTCCGGTCATAAGGTATATACTTTTCAGCTTTACTTCTGATTTTGGTATTGATAACATTACAACAAATAAGTTTCACAAGTTACAAACTCTAAGGATTGATTAAAGTGCATGATAACCACCTAAAACTGACAACCACCATGCTGACTATACCCTGAGCAACATATTCTAATATTTTGCTGATGACGAGATTTGAATGACTGACAAATACATACTTTGTAGTGTTCTCACACATGAAACAGTAGTCAATGGTGTAAACATGCCCCAACAGGGCCTCCTGGGGATAGTGTCAGTTGAGAAATACCTGAAATAATAAATAATAATAATGATGATCGGATCTGTCACAGATTTATTTCTTTTGACCAAAATGGCGTCAACAGAAATCAGCGTGACGTCATATGCTTAACCTTATATCACAGCTAGTTGTGACTTGACTATTACATTATCAACCGTCTGTCTATTAACATCTTTACAGGGGGACAAAGTTTGAAAACTAGTAGGTCCTAATTTCTTAGCTTTAAACCCCTGACAAAATACAACCAGTTTGAAGGGCTAACATATGTGAATCTGCTGTTGGTAACTGGCATTGTCATGACACATTGATTAACTGCACACTTGAATGTACGTTGTGCCAGGAAACCATGTCTTGTGTTCATGGATTCTGCAATGACATAAATAATGGAACATCTCACTTTTCTAATCCATGCACTTTATTGTATCACTCGTCTATTTGTAGCTCACCTGTCAGAAAGTCCAATAAGGTTATATCATGGCACATTGTCCGTCATCCGCCTTTCCGGTTGTCCGTCCATCATTAACTTTTGCAATTCCCATCCAATGTTAAACATATCTATAGTGAAACATGGTAATATTCCAGGGCACGTTGAGCCTCCAGAAGCTGTGGTTCTACATCCAGCCCACGCTGAGGACACTGGAGATCCTGGCATCTGTCTCCAACTCCATCAACAGGGTAAGCAGAAGTCTAATAGTGGAGTCAGCTGGGGCCCTTCATCACATCATGTGGGAGTCAGCGGGGGCCCTTCATCACATCATGTGGGAGTCAGCTGGGGCCCTTCATCACATCACCTGGGAGTCAGCGGGGGCCGTTCATCACATCATGTGGGAGTCAGCGGGGGCCCTTCATCACATCATGTGGGAGTCAGCTGGGGCCCTTCATCACATCACCTGGGAGTCAGCAGGGGCCCTTCATCAGATCATGTTGGAGTCAGCGGGGGCTGTTCATCACATCATGTGGGAGTCAGCGGGGGCCGTTCATCACATCATGTGGGAGTCAGCCGGGGCCGTTCATCAGATCATGTGGGAGTCAGCGTGGGCCGTTCATCAGATCATGTGGGAGTCAGCGGGGGCTCTTCATCAGATCATGTGGGAGTCAGCGGGGGCCGTTCATCAGATCATGTGGGAGTCAGCCGGGGCCCTTCATCAGATCATGTGGGAGTCAGCTGGGACTCTTCATCAGATCATGTGGGAGTCAGCCGGGGCCGTTCATCAGATCATGTGGGAATCAGCGTGGGCCGTTCATCAGATCATGTGGGAGTCAGCGGGGGCCGTTCATCAGATCATGTGGGAGTCAGCCCGGGCCGTTCATCACATCATGTGGGAGTCAGCGGGGGCTGTTCATCACATCATGTGGGAGTCAGCGGGGGCCATTCATCAGATCATGTGGGAGTCAGCCGGGGCCGTTCATCAGATCATGTGGGAGTCAGCGGGGGCCCTTCATCAGATCATGTGGGAGTCAGCGGGGGCTCTTCATCACATCATGTGGGAGTCAGCGGGGGCCGTTCATCAGATCATGTGGGAGTCAGCGTGGGCCGTTCATCAGATCATGTGGGAGTCAGCTAGGGCTCTTCATCACATCATGTGGGAGTCAGCGGGGGCCCTTCATCACATCATGTGGGAGTCAGCCGGGGCTGTTCATCAGATCATGTGGGAGTCAGCGGGGGCCGTTTTTTAGATAATGTGGGAGTCAGCGGGGGCCGTTCATTAGATCATGTGGGAGTCAGCGGGGGCCGTTCATCACATCATGTGGGAGTCAGCGGGGGCCCTTCATCACATCATGTGGGAGTAAGCGTGGGCCGTTCATCAGTTCATGTGGGAGTCAGCCGGGGCTGTTCATCAGATCATGTGGGAGTCAGCGGGGGCCCTTCATCAGATAATGTGTGAGTCAGCGTGGGCCGTTCATCAGATCATGTGGGAGTCAGCGTGGGCCGTTCATCAGATCATGTGGGAGTCAGCGGGGGCCGTTCATCACATCATGTGGGAGTCAGCCGGGGCCGTTCATCACATCATGTGGGAGTCAGCGGGGGCCGTTCATCACATCATGTGGGAGTCAGCGGGGGCCGTTCATCAGATCATGTGGGAGTCAGCGGGGGCTCTTCATCACATCATGTGGGAGTCAGCGGGGGCCGTTCATCACATCATGTGGGAGTCAGCCGGGGCCGTTCATCAGATCATGTGGGAGTCAGAGTGGGCCGTTCATCAGATCATGTGGGAGTCAGCGGGGGCTCTTCATCAGATCATGTGGGAGTCAGCGGGGGCGTTCATCACATCATGTGGGAGTCAGCCGGGGCCGTTCATCACATCATGTGGGAGTCAGCGGGGGCCCTTCATCAGATCATGTGGGAGTCAGCGGGGGCCCTTCATCAGATCATGTGGGAGTCAGCTGGGACTCTTCATCAGATCATGTGGGAGTCAGCCGGGGCCGTTCATCAGATCATGTGGGAGTCAGCGTGGGCCGTTCATCAGATCATGTGGGAGTCAGCGGGGGCCGTTCATCAGATCATGTGGGAGTCAGCCCGGGCCGTTCATCACATCATGTGGGAGTCAGCGGGGGCTGTTCATCACATCATGTGGGAGTCAGCGGGGGCCATTCATCAGATCATGTGGGAGTCAGCCGGGGCCGTTCATCAGATCATGTGGGAGTCAGCGGGGGCCCTTCATCAGATCATGTGGGAGTCAGCGGGGGCTCTTCATCACATCATGTGGGAGTCAGCGGGGGCCGTTCATCAGATCATGTGGGAGTCAGCGTGGGCCGTTCATCAGATCATGTGGGAGTCAGCTAGGGCTCTTCATCACATCATGTGGGAGTCAGCGGGGGCCCTTCATCACATCATGTGGGAGTCAGCCGGGGCTGTTCATCAGATCATGTGGGAGTCAGCGGGGGCCGTTTTTTAGATAATGTGGGAGTCAGCGGGGGCCGTTCATTAGATCATGTGGGAGTCAGCGGGGGCCGTTCATCACATCATGTGGGAGTCAGCGGGGGCCCTTCATCACATCATGTGGGAGTAAGCGTGGGCCGTTCATCAGTTCATGTGGGAGTCAGCCGGGGCTGTTCATCAGATCATGTGGGAGTCAGCGGGGGCCCTTCATCAGATAATGTGTGAGTCAGCGTGGGCCGTTCATCAGATCATGTGGGAGTCAGCGTGGGCCGTTCATCAGATCATGTGGGAGTCAGCAGGGGCCCTTCATCACATCATGTGGGAGTCAGCGGGGGCTGTTCATCAGATCATGTGGGAGTCAGCGGGGGCTCTTCATCACATCATGTGGGAGTCAGCGGGGGCTGTTCATCACATCATGTGGGAGTCAGCGGGGGCCCTTCAGATCATGTGGGAGTCAGCGGGGGCTCTTCATCACATCATGTGGGAGTCAGCGGGGGCCGTTCATCACATCATGTGGGAGTCAGTGGGGGCTGTTCATCACATCATGTGGGAGTCAGCGGGGGCCCTTCATCAGATTATGTGGGAGTCAGCCGGGGCCGTTCATCACATCATGTGGGAGTCAGCGGGGGCCGTTCATCACATCATGGTTGAGCCAGCGGGGGCCGTTCATCACATCATGTGGGAGTCAGCGGGGGCCGTTCATCAGATCATGTGGGGCTGCTTCCATCTTTTCCTCAGCTCAAACCTAGATGAGGACAACCTCACAAAGTGAATATCCATTCTGTGACTGTAAAACAATTGTTCATAGCGCATTAATAGAAAATTATATCTCTTGGGAAAAGACTACATAACTGCGTGGGTAAGAATTTGTGGGTGTGGGTGGGTGTGTGCGGGCGCACGGTAGAGTGGGTGAATTCAGAATGCCTGAAATTTGGTTTCTATACATTTAGTTGTATTTTATAAAAATGTTCTTCCTTCCCCATCCCCCTCATGTCTGATTTGTGGGTTTCTGCAGGGTGAGTTAATTGTTTTTGTTGCAGGGTGAGTTAATTGTTTGTGTTGCTTGTTGCAGGGTGAGTTAATTGTTTTTGTTGCAGGGTGAGTTAATTGTTTGTGTTGCTTGTTGCAGGGTGAGTTAATTGTTTGTGTTGCTTGTTGCAGGGTGAGTTAATTGTTTGTGTTGCTTGTTGCAGGGTGAGTGTATTGGAGGAGCCGTGCTCAGTCTGCTGCATGAGAAGACGTCCACGCTGATCGGGTAAACACAGCTCCTAGGCAGGAGAAACATTTGTTGGAATAAGTTGTCTAGTCTTACACTAGGCACACTAATAGGCTGATCACCTACCCAGTACCTGACAGCTTCTCAAGTACCACACGAGTCGCCCGGATGGCCCAGTGGTCTAAGGTGCACTTTGTTGGTCCAGGTTCTGCTGGTCAGGGGTTTGAATCCCGGTTAACCCTGACCATGATCCCTGGTGTTGTCATGTCATGTATCAAAGGAAGCTACAGATCTTATGTTAGTGCAGAGTAAGCGTAAGTGGATAATAAAAATAAAAGCACCTGTTTACTTGTTTGGATTGGATCCGTTATGTTTCCTGTTTGGTATCTGGGTTTTGGGTGCTTGTTATGTCGTTTGTGATATTTCTGATGTAAGGATGAAATGGTTTTGTTTGAGATATGTTGTCTTCTCTTCTTGCAGTGATGCTAAAAGTCAAGAGCTGTGCCTCTACCTAACACAGTCGGTGAGTACAGCTTGATCTCGCGAGTCTTCAAACCAGTAAACCCACTTGAATAATGAGAAAGTAAAGAATACAAAGGGGATTTACCCATGAGTTGTTAATCTTAATATTTGCTCATCCATTTTTTGGTTGAAGTCACTGTGGTCATCTAAAGCTGTTCCACAGTCAGTAGGGACACCAGTCTGAATGGTTGTATGGTAGAGTTGTCTTCTTCTTCTTTATGCTGTGGGAACGGTCATTACGGGAATCTTGACATCTCTAACTCCACATGTAGTGACAATTATATTGTTGTGTATGTCTTCAGGAATGCCATCATAATGGATTTTAAAAACTTTTATGACAAACTTTCTATTTCCCAGATGAATTTAATGTTTTGTTCGTTTAGGCAGATTTGTTCGACATTGCACAAATGGAAAAGTACTCCACTTTCCTTGTATATTCTTATTGTACCAGTTACATGACAGTTGAAATAATAGGGACATTTTAATTGAAAAACAGGAAATAATTTAGTTGGTGTTAAGAGTATTCGGCGTAACGACAGTCATTACATGCTTGTAAACATGACGGTCAGTCGGTTGTGAGTTCAACTCCAGGCCTGGTTGTAGGCTGCCTAGCACTGTGGGGAGCTGTGAGTGTTGGCAGTGATAGCATAGAGAACTCTGCGAACAGGGTGTCACTGGGGAACTGTGACTGGTCGCAGTGATAGCGTAGAGAACTCCGCGAACAGGGTGTCACTGTGAGGAACTATGATTGGTCGCAGTGATAGCGTAGAGAACTCCGCGAACAGGGTGTCACTGTGAGGAACTGTGATTGGTCGCAGTGATAGCATAGAGAACTCCACGAACAGGATGTCACTGTGGGGAACTGTGACTGGTGGCATTTGTAGCGTAGAGAACTCCGCGAACAGGGTGTCACTGTGGGGAACTGTGACTGGTCGCAGTGGTAGCATAGAGAACTCCGCGAACAGGGTGTCACTGTGGGGAACTGTGACTGGTCGCAGTGATAGCGTAGAGAACTCCACGAACAGGGTGTCACTGTGAGGAACTATGATTGGTCGCAGTGATAGCGTAGAGAACTCCGCGAACAGGGTGTCACTGTGAGGAACTGTGATTGGTCGCAGTGATAGCGTAGAGATCTCCACGAACAGGATGTCACTGTGGGGAACTGTGACTGGCGGCATTTGTAGCGTAGAGAACTCCGCGAACAGGGTGTCACTGTGGGGAACTGTGACTGGTCGCAGTGGTAGCGTAGAGAACTCCGCGAAATGGGTGTCACTGTGGGGAACTGTGACTGGTCGCAGTGATAGCGTAGAGAACTCCGCGAACAGGGTGTCACTGTGGGGAACTGTGACTGGTCGCAGTGATAGCGTAGAGAACTCCGCGAACAGGGTGTCACTGTGGGGAACTGTGACTGGTCGCAGTGGTAGCATAGAGAACTCCGCGAACAGGGTGTCACTGTGGGGAACTGTGACTGGTCGCAGTGATAGCGCAGAGAACTCCGTGAACAGGGTGTCACTGTGGGGAACTGTGACTGGTGGCAGTGGTGGCGTAGAGAACTCCGCAAACAGGGTGTCATTGTGGGGAACTGTGGCAGTGGTAGCGTAGAGAACTCTATGAACGGCTGTCACTGTGCGGAGCTTGATGCCCTTTGTACCTGCTGCTGTGTATAGTTAAAGGTGTCTCAGTCTTCAGCAATATGATATGTGAAGTGAAAGGGATCGAAATAAAACCGTTGATGGTTTGTTTACAGGCTTGTGTTCCGTACTTCGAGATCTTGGAGAAGTGGATCTACAAAGGCATTATATCCGACCCTTACACTGAGGTTTGTACTTGTCATAGATTATACCTACCTACCTACCTACATACATATATATATCTTTACTCTGACCCTCCACAGAGATCATGTCAACCAATCATTATGAAACCATTTGGCAATGGCCATTTTGTGTGGTGGATGGCTTGCACTATGGTTTTATTTCTCCAACTCCAGACAGTTGTAAGAGTATTGTCCAAGATCACAGTTGAAATATTTTTGAAAGCTGACATCTGATTGGCCCTAAGCCCCACTATTGGTGGTAGAAGTTCCCCTGAGATGTGGTGGGTTTGTCAGATGTTCACGGAGAAGGTGAACTATACATCTGATTTTTGAAAAACGACTGAATTCATCTTCAGTGCAATATCTCTAATGGGCAAGAAATCTGTTGATGTGTGACACAAGCCATATGTGTAGGCTGGGATGTGCCGTGCACCAAGTGTCCTTGTGTTTATGGAGCCGTGCAGCAAGTGGTCTTTGTTTCAGTTTCTGGTGGAGGAGAACGAGACCATTCAGAAGGAGAAACTACAGGAGGAGTACAACGATGCATATCCTTTCTGGATCTTGTCAAAAAATAAAAACTTTGAAAATATCATTCCACTATGGAAAAAGCTGAATGAAACAATGTCTGATTTTATTATTCCTCTGAAAACAATGAATAGAATAAGTGAATAAGAATACTTTGTTAAGAACAAATTAAGAAGTGCTCTTTAAGGATGGCAGAACTAAGACTTCTCTATTCCATTCTTTGTGTACGTCAACCTTAAACTTTGTAAGTTATTCCAATGTGAGTTTAGGTAATGGTAGGTCTTAGCAAGCCTTCTGGCTAACAAGGGCAAAAGTTGTATTCTGCAACAAGGCGCATACATCACCTTGATTATGCTGCATACTGGTACAGTGAAATTGTATAATCACTATACGCAGGAGACTTTGAGTCAGTGCATTAAGCCATGCATACACTTATGTTGAGTGTCCCTTGTGGTATAAGCCACGTATACACGGGATGTGAGTGTCCCTAGTGCTTTAAGCCACATATACACTGTATGTTGAGTGTCCCTAGTGCTTTAAGCCATGTATACACTGTATGTTGAGTGTCCCTAGTGCTATAAGCCATGTATACACTGTATGTTGAGTGTCCCTTGTGGTATAAGCCACGTATACACTGGATGTGAGTGTTCCAAGTGCTTTAAGCCACGTATACACTGTATGTTGAGTGTCCCTAGTGGTATAAGCAACGTATACACTGGATGTTGAGTGTCCCTAGTGCTATAAGCCACGTATACACAGTATGTTGAGTGTCCCTACTGTTATAAGCCATGTATACACTACGTTGAGTGTCCCTAGTGCTATACGCCTCTGTCCCTAGTGCTATAAGCCACGTATACACTGTATGTTGAGTGTCCTAAGTGCTATAAGCCACTGTCCCTAGTGCTATAAGCCATGTATACCCTGTATGTTGAGTGTCCCTAGTGCTATAAGCCATGTATACACTGTATGTTGAGTGTCCCTAGTGCTATAAGCCATGTATACCCTGTATGTTGAGTGTCCCTAGTGCTATAAGCCATGTATACACTGTATGTTGAGTGTCCCTAGTGCTATAAGCCACGTATACACTGTATGTTGAGTGTCCCTAGTGCTATAAGCCATGTATACACTGTATGTTGAGTGTCCCTAACTGTGCCACCTACTGGGAGCAGCACTACACCATCTGTAGAGAGAGGATCCCTGTGTTCCTGGAGACGATGGCAGACAAGATCCTCAACACCGGGAAGTACCTCAACGTGGTCCGACTCTGTGGTAGGTGATCTCACCAGTGATATGTTTACAAAGAAGTTGTGGGTTCTGCCCCCGGTAACCCATGCTTATTGTAAGAGGTGACTACATGGACTGGGTGGTCAGGCCCGGAGACATGGCTGATGGCACGTCACTGTACCCGGATGCATGGACTGGGTGGTCAGGCCTAGAGACATGGCTGATGGCACGTCACTGTATCCGGATGCATGGACTGGGTGGTCAGGCCTAGAGACATGGCTGTTGTCACGTCACTGTATCCGGATGCATGGACTGGGTGGTCAGGCCGGAGACATGGCTGATGGCACGTCACTGTACCCGGATGCATGGACTGGGTGGTCAGGCCTAGAGACATGGCTGATGGCACGTCACTGTATGCGGATGCATGGACTGGGTGGTTAGGCCTAGGAGACATGGACTGCGTGGTCAGGCCCGGAGACATGGCTGATGGCACGTCACTGTATCCGGATGCATGGACTGGGTGGTCAGGCCTAGAGACATGGCTGTTGTCACGTCACTGTATCCGGATGCATGGACTGGGTGGTCAGGCCCAGAGACATGGCTGATGGCACGTCACTGTATCCGGATGCATGGACTGGGTGGTCAGGCCTAGAGACATGGCTGATGGCACGTCACTGTATCCGGATGCATGGACTGGGTGGTCAGGCCCGGAGACATGGCTGATGGCACGTCACTGTATGCGGATGCATGGACTGGGTGGTTAGGCCTAGAGACATGGACTGCGTGGTCAGGCCCGGAGACATGGCTGATGGCACATCACTGTATCCGGATGCATGGACTGGGTGGTCAGGCCTAGAGACATGGCTGTTGTCACGTCACTGTATCCGGATGCATGGACTGGGTGGTCAGGCCCGGAGACATGGCTGATGGCACGTCACTGTATCCGGATGCATGGACTGGGTGGTCAGGCCTAGAGACATGGCTGATGGCACGTCACTGTATCCGGATGCATGGACTGGGTGGTCAGGCCCAAAGACATGGCTGATGGCACGTCACTGTATCCAGATGCATGGACTGGGTGGTCAGGCCCGGAGACATGGCTGATGGCACGTCACTGTATCCGGATGCATGGACTGGGTGGTCAGGCCCAAAGACATGGCTGATGGCACGTCACTGTATCCGGATGCATGGACTGGGTGGTCAGGCCTAGAGACATGGCTGATGGCACGTCACTGTATCCGGATGCATGGACTGGGTGGTCAGGCCCGGAGACATGGCTGATGGCACGTCACTGTATCCGGATGCATGGACTGGGTGGTCAGGCCCAAAGACATGGCTGATGGCACGTCACTGTATCCGGATGCATGGACTGGGTGGTCAGGCCCGGAGACATGGCTGATGGCACGTCACTGTATCCGGATGCATGGACTGGGTGGTCAGGCCCAGAGACATGGCTGATGGCACGTCACTGTATCCAGATGCAAGGACTGGGTGGTCAGGCCTAGAGACACGGCTGATGGCACGTCACTGTACCCGGATGCATGGACTGGGTGGTCAGGCCGGAGACATGGCTGATGGCACGTCACTGTATCCGGATGCATGGACTGGGTGGTCAGGCCGGAGACATGGCTGATGGCACGTCACTGTACCCGGATGCATGGACTGGGTGGTCAGGCCCAGATGCATGGACTGGGTGGTCAGGCCTAGAGACATGGCTGTTGTCACGTCACTGTATCCGGATGCATGGACTGGGTGGTCAGGCCGGAGACATGGCTGATGGCACGTCACTGTATCCAGATGCATGGACTGGGTGGTCAGGCCTAGAGACATGGCTGATGGCACGTCACTGTATGCGGATGCATGGACTGGGTGGTTAGGCCTAGGAGACATGGACTGGGTGGTCAGGCCCGGAGACATGGCTGATGGCACGTCACTGTATCCAGATGCATGGACTGTTGCTTATAGCATCAACCACAGTTTTGTGTATTGTCTACATTTTTGACCAGTTTCACTGATAAATACACCCAACCTTCATCAACTACATAAAGCTGACACTGTGATGTGGTTGAAATATGATGGACCTGATAGGCATGGGGTTTAGTGAAGAAAGGAGAGGTGTTTTGACTTAAGGTGTGGAAGTGGTCAGGGTTCAAGATTCTTCTCATTTGAGCCAAGGGTGTAGTTATGGGTAGTTTGTTGTTTTAGATACGTAGTTCCTTTGGCGATGTTAATCATATGAATGGGGGTACAGGAGGCCCGGTCGTCTAAGACGCCGCATTTCACAGCGTAGAGTTGCGCTCCTTGTGCACTCCAGAAATCTATGGTTGTGGCTTCAAATCCCGGTTCACCCCGATTATGTTTCTAGGTTTGTTAGCACCATACTCGTGGTTTTACCAAAGTGTTAAACGTCTGAGACCTGCATCACTTGGGGCTGTCCTCCCACATTAAGCTGAAATGTCGTGATATGACTGGAATACTGGTCAAAGTGGTTATAAACCCAACTCAATCACATATGGAGCCAGTGATGAATGTACTTTTGCACATGTGGTAAAAAGCCTGGAAGCTGCTGGCCATATGAATGGCAGTATTGAATTCAGGTATTGAATAGGGTATTAATGAGCTCTGTGAAAACGAAGGGCAAACCTTCTAAACTATGAGTATTGAGTTAAGAATGTGCATACCTGAACATCCCTATGGGTTCTGCCTCCCAAATAAAATACGTCTGTATCCTTGGTATTTGCAGCTCGTGATGTGAAGTGTCCGTATGCCGAGGAGATTGTGTACACTCTGAAGGAGAGGCGGTACTATGACCAGATAGATAAAGCGTATCACTACGCCAGCCGCCTCCTGCTCGACCTCCTCATGGAGGAGAAGGAACTCATGGCTCGCATCAGGTGAGGAGGTCACAGACTTTCTGAAGGTCTTCAAGGCAAGAAATGAGATGTATTTCAGAACGGATCCCAGTGGTCAACAAAGAAAGACGGACTTCCGGTCATCAGCATCAGTTTGGGGTTAAACGATCCGGCCCCCCCAAAAACCTTTCTTGTTGTATTTCAATTGACCATGTTGACCCACACATTGATACATCTTACATCTAATAGGCGTAAACATTGAACCAAATGAATGCACTACTTCCTGCTGTGTTTCAGGTCAATAAAGCACTACTTCCTGCTGTGTTTCAGGTCAATAAAGCACTACTTCCTGCTGTGTTTCAGACCAATAAAGCACTACTTCCTGCTGTGTTTCAGGTCAATAAAGCACTACTTCCTGCTGGACAAGGGCGACTTCATGGTGCAGTTCATGGACATGACGGAGGAGGAGATGAAGCAGAACATCGAAGATATCCTTGACTTGTTTGATAGGCATTACTTGGAAGTTGACGGACGACAAAGTAGACACAATTTTTGGATAATAACTTCTTTAATACAGTAAAAGGACATATATAACGGTATAAGGATCTAAACTGAAACATCGCCTTTACAGTATTAAAGAAATTGTTATCCATAAATTCTGTCTACTTTGTCGTTAACACTTCTTTGAACGGTAGTTGTGTCAAAGTGTTGCAGGACGTAGATATTTACCATTTGGTGAAACTCAGGACTAGAAGCAGTCCCTGTGAAGCAATGTTTAAAATCAGTATTGTATTTTGTTGCATGTTTAATGTCAGGTGAAGTGTGATATCATTTTGAGATATTAGAATTCCTTAACCCACGTACATATCATGCCGACTCGTCTCGAGTCCCTCTTGGAGCTGGCTCTCAGGACAAGCACAGCAAACGTGGACCCCTTCAAGGACGACCTCAGGTAGGGACGGAGAGAATGGTTCATGTTCAAGGATGACCTCAGGTAGGGAGGGAGAGATTGGTTCATGTTCAAGGATGACCTCAGGTAGTGAGGGAGAGATTGGTTCATGTTCAAGGATGCCCTCAGGTAGGGAGGGAGAGATTGGTTCATGTTCAAGGATGACCTCAGGTAGGGAGGGAGAGATTGGTTCATGTTCAAGATTGAACTCAGGTAGGGAGGGAGAGATTGGTTCATGTTCAAGGATGACCTCAGGTAGGGAGGGAGAGATTGGTTCATGTTCAAGAACGAACTCAGGTAGGGAGGGAGAGATTGGTTCATGTTCAAGGATGACCTCAGGTAGGGAGGGAGAGATTGGTTCATGTTCAAGGATGACCTCAGGTAGGGAGGGAGAGATTGGTTCATGTTCAAGGATGACCTCAGGTTGGTTCATGTTCAAGGATGCCTTCAGGTAGTGAGGGAGAGATTGGTTCATGTTCAAGGATGACCTCAGGTTGGTTCATGTTCAAGATTGAACTCAGGTAGGGAGGGAGAGATTGGTTCATGTTCAAGGATGACCTCAGGTAGGGAGGGAGAGATTGGTTCATGTTCAAGGATGACCTCAGGTAGTGAGGGAGAGATTGGTTCATGTTCAAGGATGACCTCAGGTAGGGAGGGAGAGATTGGTTCATGTTCAAGGATGGCCTCAGGTTGGTTCATGTTCAAGGATGCCCTCAGGTAGGGAGGGAGAGATTGGTTCATGTTCAAGGATGACCTCAGGTAGGGAGGGAGAGATTGATTCATGTTCAAGGATGACCTCAGGTAGTGAGGGAGAGATTGGTTCATGTTCAAGAACGAACTCAGGTAGGGAGGGAGAGATTGGTTCATGTTCAAGGATGACCTCAGGTAGGGAGGGAGAGATTGGTTCATGTTCAAGGATGACCTCAGGTAGTGAGGGAGAGATTGGTATGTTGCCCCTTTAATCATTGCCCATACGTACGACTCCAACAAGTGGTAACGGGATGAAATGTATGCACCTGATGACAAGACAGGTGTGGGACAGCTTGTCTAGTTTCACAGTTATAAGACATAGACGTACATGTTTTGTGACTCCTTAAGTATTGACTCGGGTTTCAGGAAAACAGATAACTAAAGAGGTATGTATGATTGCCCCAGAACATTAGCCTTTACACAACCTTGAGAGATATATTCACTCTATTACAGAGTTGACCTGCTTCCCTACGACCTGATCACACAGCTGTTCAAGATCCTCACAATCGACACCAAGCTCGAGAAGGGTAATCATTAATATTTGATACCTTTCAGTGGCACTTCTTTTATGGTCAGATATCTACAAGCTTTTTATATGCAAGATTGTTTTATGCACCATGTCTGGTATTGATGTGTCAGTGTATAAGTCGTGTATGCGCCCTGTCTGGTATTGACGTGTCAGTGTACAAGTTGTGTATGCGCCCTGTCTGGTATTTCAGACTACAAGGTGGACCCCACGGATCTGCACCTGTCTGGGCTGGAGTCTTTCTCCTTCGACTATGTGGTCAAGTGGCCAGTGTCTCTCGTGCTCAACAGGAAGGTAGGACACAGCCTGACAGTGGTTCGTTCATGACTTGCTGGGGCAGTGAGGAAGCCAGAGTTTGAAGCCTGGCGTCGGATGTGTGAAACTCATTACTGGTGTTTCCTGTGGAGATATATTTACAGTCCCCAGTTATATTTTTACAGTAATTTACGTAGTTGACACTCAAATGAAATTATCACAATCTTTCACCATATACAAAGTAAAAGTTAATTTTAAATTTTATATATTAGAAATGCCAATCTTGTCTACTATGCCACATAATGATGTAGATTAGTTCATGATACTGGTAAGACCCAAATCACTGTTCCGCTGTCATGTATTGGTGGAAACAACTTGCTGGAAGAACTTTCTGAAATTGTTTGTTGTGTTGGCAGGCGCTGACCCGCTACCAGATGCTGTTCCGGCACCTGTTCTACTGCAAGCACGTGGAGAGGCAGCTGTGCAGGTGGGTGTTGATGGAGCAGGAATGTTGGACTGTGCACTGCATGGGGTCCTTGTACACACTACATTACTGCTAAGCTGCATGGAGTGTTGGTGTTGATGGAGCAGGAATGTCGGACTGTGCACTGCATGGGGTCCTTGTACACACTACATTACTGCTAAGCTGCATGGAGTGTTGGTGTTGATGGAGCAGGAATGTCGGACTGTGCACTGCATGGGGTCCTTGTACACACTACATTACTGCTAAGCTGCATGGAGTGTTGGTGTTGATGGAGCAGGAATGTCGGACTGTGCACTGCATGGGGACCTTGTACACACTACATTACTGCTAAGCTGCATGGAGTGTTGGTTTTGGCCTTGCCATGTTTTATCCAGGTTTAGGTCTAAGTTTGAATCGTTAAAGAGAGATAGAAACAGAAAACAACATTTCGTGGCTACTTCTTGCCCCTTGTGCCACGAGGAATTACCAACTCCTAAATGCCGATCACAGACATGTCATGGAATAATCTAGATAAGTCCCTATTGCATAGACTCAGTCCTGTTTAGTATCTTTCAGTGTTTTTATCAGTGTTTCCATTATCCAGTAGATGCGGTATTTTGGCTGGTAAAAAATAGTCAACACCAGTCAGTTTTTAGTGTGGCGGTCTCCAGTATTCGCAAGAAATAATGTTTGAATTTTTTTCTAAAACTTGACTCGACTCGTAGTCATAATCGGAAGTGGTTTGTTTCACTTCTTTCAGGTTGTATTTTTATCATCTTGATCTTGTCAGCACTATACTGCTATAGTAGGAAGTAAAGCTTCCAGATGAGTACATAACCATGTGTACTGCGAGCTTGTTCCATCGCGTTACACCCTCGTCATGTAACATTGCGAGGTATAGAGAGCTCCGCAAACAGGCTACTGCTGAAAGGAGCTTGTGTGTTCTGCTGTAATAATGGCGGGCATGCAGGTGATGCTGTCATCATTCGACGGGGGGGGACCGGTATGCTCAGGGACGGAGGATCTAAACAACTTTTAAGAGGAATGAAAATTGACCCCGAGACTGACAAAGATACAGGCACTAGTGATTGTAGTCAGAATATTGCTCATAAACGTAATGTCAGACAGGGCCAGATACGGCCACTGTCCATTGTCAAAAGGCCAGTTAAACTAAAATTCGGAAATTTAATTCTGAATGGATGCAGGAATTGAAATGGTTTTATGAAGAGGAATGTGGTAGTATTATGATATACAGCAAGAAATGTGAGGCAGCTTGTAAAGAAAATGGATTTACAAAAGATTGCATTAATATGAAGAAGTCTGCATTGAAAGAGCATCCCAATTGCATGTTACACAACCATGCTGTTACCACAACTTATCTATCAAAGAACTGCCATGGCAACTCATGAATGCAGGAACGGAATGTGGGAACAACAAATTTGATTGCAATGATCCAACTGGGATTTCACAAGCTACAAAACTACATTTGCAGGACTTGGTCCACACACATTTAAACAGAATTGTTGTGTTATCATGGCTGACAGCACGGATATTTATCCATGACGATACCTGTCAGCAGTGTACCAGCCGAACATGGCTTCAATATTCAAAACTGCATATATACGGCCAGTCGTAACCCAGATTGTGAAGCTGGGTTTGGCCTGACAGTGCTATGACATCATTATTGATGCCAGGTTGTGAAGCTGGGTTTTATCTGACAGTGCTATGACATCATTATTGATGCAAGGTTGTGAAGCTGGGTTTGGCCTGACAGTGCTATGACATCATTATTGATGCTAGGTTGTGAAGCTGGGTTTGGCCTGACAGTGCTATGACATCAGTATTGATGCTAGGTTGTGAAGCTGGGTTTGGCCTGACAGTGCTATGACATCATTATTGATGCTAGGTTGTGAAGCTGGGTTTGGCCTGACAGTGCTATGACATCATTATTAATATATGCTAGGTTGTGAAGCTGGGTTTGGCCTGACAGTGCTATGACATCATTATTGATGCCAGGTTGTGAAACTGGGTTTGGCCTGACAGTGCTATGACATTATTGATGCTAGGTTGTGAAGCTGGGTTTGGCCTGACAGTGCTATGACATCATTATTGATGCCAGGTTGTGAAACTGGGTTTGGCCTGACAGTGCTATGACATTATTGATGCTAGGTTGTGAAGCTGGGTTTGGCCTGACAGTGCTATGACATCATTATTGATGCCAGGTTGTGAAGCTGGATTTGGCCTGATAGTGCTATGACATCATTATTGATGCTAGGTTGTGAAGCTGGGTTTGGCCTGACAGTGCTATGACATTATTGATGCTAGGTTGTGAAGCTGGGTTTGGCCTGACAGTGCTATGACATCATTATTGATGCTAGGTTGTGAAGCTGGGTTTGGCCTGACAGTGCTATGACATTATTGATGTCAGGTTGTGAAGCTGGGTTTGGCCTGACAGTGCTATGACATCATTATTGATGCCAGGTTGTGAAGCTGGGTTTGGCCTGATAGTGCTATGACATCATTATTGATGCCAGGTTGTGAAGCTGGGTTTGGCCTGACAGTGCTATGACATCATTATTGATGCCAGGTTGTGAAGCTGGGTTTGGCCTGATAGTGCTATGACATCATTATTGATGCCAGGTTGTGAAACTGGGTTTGGCCTGACAGTGCTTTTACATCATTATTGATGCCAGGTTGTGAAGCTGGGTTTGGCCGTATCGTATGATTTTGAGAGTACGCAGCAATGATACCATGTCTCAATGCATATGAATCCCATGTTTGGGGCAGCTAGAAGTTTTAGAAGGGCCCTGGGAAGTTCATTTCCTTTTGAACCTATCTAACATTTTAACAGTTGTGAAAGTGAGATAGCTGGAATATTGGACTGCGTAAAACAACATTCACTGACTTGCTTTAGTTTGTCTTAATTAGGATGCAAGGACTCAAAAGGTAAGTAGTCCCCTCTCTTGCCTCAGGGCAGGATAATCCTGTCAATCTGAGGCATCCTAGTGTGCAGATCACTCACATGTGTAACAGTGGACAGGCTGGTCAACGTTGCCTCTGTTCAGATGTAGGGGGGGTTGGTTATAAGTCCTCAGTCGCACATAGAAGGAATGGCGGACAGTGACATCTTTTGTTGTGGACATAACATCTGCAGGTACTTGACCACTGCAGGTACTTGATCACTGCAGGTACTTGATCACTGCAGGTACTTGATCACTGCAGGTACTTGATCACTGCAGGTACTTGATCACTGCAGGTACTTGACCACTGCAGGTACTTGATCACTGCAGGTACTTGATCACTGCAGGTACTTGACCACTGCAGGTACTTGATCACTGCAGGTACTTGATCACTGCAGTGACTTGATCACTGCAGGTACTTGATCACTGCAGGTACTTGACCACTGCAGGTACTTGATCACTGCAGGTACTTGATCACTGCAGGTACTTGACCACTGCAGGTACTTGATCACTGCAGGTACTTGATCACTGCAGGTACTTGATCACTGCAGTGACTTGATCACTGCAGGTACTTGATCACTGCAGGTACTTGATCACTGCAGGTACTTGATCACTGCAGGTACTTGATCACTGCAGGTACTTGATCACTGCTGGTACTTGGTCACTGCAGGGACTTGATCACTGCTGGTACTTGATCACTGCAGGTACTTGATCACTGCTGGTACTTGGTCACTGCAGGTACTTGATCACTGCAGGTACTTGATCACTGCAGGTACTTGATCACTGCAGGTACTTTCTTCAAGTTTGTCCATTTTCCAAAGGTCACAGACTTTTCACAGTGACACAATTTGCACAAGTGACTCAAGTGTTTGTGGGTATACTTCTATAACATTCAATGTCCACGACAGAACATTTGACTGTTATGCCTTTTCTTGTATGTGAGGCTGTGACCTTCTCAACAAACCCCTGTAATCTTGCTATAACTAAAACTGGTAGTCACTGCTGGCTCGTAGCCTGTTCCTAGATTCAGTCTCCTGGGACTAAACCCTTGTCAGGATATACTCATAGTCTGGTCAGTGTGACGATCCAACCTGTTCTGTCTGTCTCTTCTTGTAATCGTTGTTTTCCTGTTTCCTGATCAGTCATTGTTCCAGCAGTGATGACAGATTTTGTTCTGAGTATTTACTTTAGCATCACAAATACCCAGATTACTGCAAATAGCAAGTAGTGTATGTACTGGTGTTAATTGATATAACATTCTAAAAAATGTCTTTGAAATATTTTTGATATTGTTTGAAATATTTGTGATGTTTAGTTTAGACAGGTAATGTTTTATAAATATAATCCCACTTAAGACTGGAGATCTTTATATATACATGTCCCCTTGCTTGTTCATTCATACCAAGCAACCCACACAGTTGTAAAGCCACCGCCTCATCCCGCATAGCTCTCCTAAAGCCATTACCTTGTCCCACATAGGTGTCTTAAAGCCATCGCCTCGTCCCACACAGGTGTCCTAAAGCCATTGCCTTGTCCCACATAGCTCTCCTAAAGCCATCGCCTCGTCCCACACAGGTGTCCTAAAGCCATTGCCTTGTCCCACATAGCTCTCCTAAAGCCATTGCCTTGTCCCACATAGCTGTCCTAAAGCCATTGCCTCGTCCCACATAGCTGTCCTAAAGCCATTGCCTCGTCCCACATAGCTGTCCTAAAGCCATCGCCTCGTCTCACATAGCTCTCCTAAAGCCATTGCCTTGTCCCACATAGCTGTCCTAAAGCCATCGCCTCATCCCACATAGGTGTCCTAAAGCCATTGCCTCATCCCACATAGCTGTCCTAAAGCCATTGCCTCGTCCCACATAGGTGTCCTAAAGCCATCGCCTCATCCCACATAGGTGTCCTTAAGCCATTGCCTCATCCCACATAGCTGTCCTAAAGCCATTGCCTTGTCCCACATAGCTGTCCTAAAGCCATTGCCTTGGCCCACATAGGTGTCCTAAAGCCATTGCCTTGTCCCACATAGCTGTCCTAAAGCCATTGCCTCGTCCCACATAGCTGTCCTAAAGCCATTTCCTTGCCCCACATATCTGTCCTAAAACCATCGCCTCATCCCAAATAGCTGTCCTAAAGCCATCGCCTCATCCCACATAGCTGTCTTAAAGCCATTTCCTTGTCCCACATAGCTCTCCTAAAGCCATCGCCTCATCCCACATAGGTGTCCTAAAGCCATTTCCTTGTCCCACATAGCTGTCCTAAAGCCATCGCCTCATCCCAAATAGCTGTCCTAAAGCCATCGCCTCATCCCACATAGCTGTCTTAAAGCCACCGCCTCATCCCACATAGCTGTCCTAAAGCCATCGCCTCGTCCCGCATAGCTGTGTCTAAAGCCAATGAAACAGGAATCTTTCATAACTTTTGTTGTAATGGGTTATAATCACCATTTATTTTTCGTCTTTTTTAACTTGATACTTTGAACTATGAAACCCTTCTGAATTCTAACAGAATATCATTTTGGTTTGACAAAATGGCTTCTCCTGAATCTGTAGTGCAAGAAAAATTATCTTTGATCATCACATGAGTTTTGTGAATCCAATTCTTGTTGGCCAGCCTTCACAAACATGAAGTCATATTTAATGTAACATCACTTGTTTGTCGAGACACGTTTTCCGCGTTCCTGGTGTGTTAGGAATGCATAAAAAAATATTTTGTGAACAATTTCCAAATTGCTATGTATATGTTGCATTTTGATTGCTTCCTCAGAGTAGTGAGACTCTTTCCTTTGTATTAAATGAAGCCTCCCCTGAGTCCCCCCGTCACCATGGGCGTGTCCTCTGTTGCAGTGTGTGGATCGGCAGTAAGTCGGCCAAGAGTTCCTCCCTGCAGTGGTCTCGCTGGTACTCCTCCGCCTTCGCTCTCCGACAACGCATGCTGAACTTTGTCCAGAACTTCGAGTACTACATGATGTTCGAGGTGGTGGAGCCCAACTGGCACATCTTTGGGCACAACATGGAGACAGTGAGTGTGAAGCAGGGAGCACCTGTTGTATGATGGAATTGCCCGGGGTAGCCAAGTGGTTCGGGTGTTTGTTAGTTGTGCTAAACACCTGGTTGGACTTCCCCATGGTACAATGTGTGGCCCCCTTTATAGTGTACTACACTGTTGATATAATAATCTAAAATTTGTGAGGTCCCAAATTCCCTGTTGTAGTAGGTGTAAGATCAGTCATGTGGAGATTCCAGTGCAGACCAGGTCTCCAGTAACCCATTCTTATCAACTAATGCAGCCCTCTAAGCAGCAACCATTTTTGTGGGCAAATGCGACTTAATTCTATGATTTGTGACCTTAATTTATCTACTGCTCGCCACTTGGCTACCTTAAAGTAAACAATACTGGCGACAATATCTGTTGGGTCCTTAAAACTTAGGTTTGGCTCCTAAAATATTCATGTTAGGAGCAGCTTGGCTCCTTAACAAAAAAAACAAACTTAGAGAGCTTCAATGTGGGATTTTGCTGGTTACAGTGGATGGCCTAGCTGTTGATCCTGGGGACTAAGTACTAGATGTCTATAAGCCTGATTGTTCATTCATAAGTACTTGCTTTGCCTGACCTCTTTAGGTATTTTTACATTGAGGTTATTCTGACCTCCAAACATGAAAGAACAAGGAAAGAGTTGTGGTTGTTGTAGGTGTCGAATGTGGACGATGTGTTGGCGTACCACACAGACTTCCTCAACAACTGCCTGAAGGACTGTATGCTGACGAACCCCGACCTGCTGAAGATTGTCCACAAGCTCATGATGGTGTGTGTCACCTTCTCCAACTTCATACAGGTCAGTACAAGAGCCATGTTTCTGAATGAGCTGCCAGGTGAGAATACGTCCCCAGTAGCCATGCAGGACGAGGATTGGGTGGACACGGTCAGTGGCTGGAGGTGGCTTCATACCCTTTCGACGGGAACATTGCTGCTGTGCCTGCTTGAGACTGTTGATTGGTTTTCGTGAAGTACCTGGAATACTGCTGACTGGGCGTAAAACAACATGGTGTTAAAATTACAAGAAGACGGTATAAATAAACTGGGGGTGGTAGGGTGTAGTGTATGTCTTGTCAACCCATGTTGTGTTATAATGTGGACCTTTTCTAACATTGTGTATTGTGATGTATATCCTGTCTAATCATGGTGTATTGTTATATAGCTCTCTACTCTTGTATCGGCAGAGGCTAAACCAGAGCACGTCGGTGGAGCGGGAGGTTGACCGTCTGACCCAGGCTACCCTCCAGGCCACTGGCAACGAGAGGAGGGAGGACTCCCAGAAGAAAAAGGCTGCTACCAAGGTCAGTCTCACACTGTCTAGGCCCTTTGGATTGTACACACACAAGGCCCTGTTTGGGTGAAAACACATTAAGCCCTGTTTGACTGTCCTCACACGAGGCCCTGTTTGATTGTACACACACACAAGGCTCTGTTTGATTGTACACACACACAAGGCCCTGTTTGATTGTACACAAACACACAAGGCCCTGTTTGTATATACACAAGGCCCGTTTGATTGAACTCAATCAAGGCCCTGTTTGTTTTTACACTCTAGGTCCTGTTTGATTGTACACACACACAAGGCAATGTTTGATTGTATACACACACAAGGCAGACTGTGTACGCAGACTAGGCCCTGTTTGGGTGAAAACATACACAAGGCCCTGTTTGATTGTACACACTCTAGGCCCTGATCAATTGCACACACTCTAGGCCATGATAGATTGTACACACACAAGGCCCTGTTGTACATACAGTAGGCCCTGTTTGATTGTACACAGACTAGGCCCTGTTTGATTGTACACAGACTAGGCCCTGTTTGATTGTACACAGACAAGGCCCTGATTAATTGTACACACTCAAGGCCCTGATTAATTGTACACACTCAAGGCCCTGATTAATTGTACACACACAAGGCCCTGATTAATAGTACACACACAAGGCCCTGATTAATTGTACACACACAAGGCCCTGATTAATTGTACACACACAAGGCCTTGATTGATTGTACACACACAAGGCCCTGATTAATTGTACAAGCTCTAGTCCCTGATTAATTGTACACACACACAAGGCCCTGATTAATTGTACACGCTCTAGTCCCTGATTGATTGTACACACACAAGGCCCTGATTAATTGTACACACAAAAGGCCCTGATTAATTGTACACACACAAGGACCTGATTAATTGTACACATACACATACACAAGGCCCTGATTGATTGTACACACACAAGGCCCTGATTAATAGTACACACACAAGGCCCTGATTAATTGTACACACACAAGGCCGTGATTAATTGTACACACACAAGGCCCTGATTAATTGTATACGCTCTAGTCCCTGATTAATTGTACACACACACAAGGCCCTGATTAATTGTACACGCTCTAGTCCCTGATTGATTGTACACACACAAGGCCCTGATTAATTGTACACACAAAAGGCCCTGATTAATTGTACACACAAAAGGCCCTGATTAATTGTACACACACACAAGGCCCTGATTAATTGCACACGCTCTAGTCCCTGATTGATTGTACACACACAAGGCCCTGATTAATTGTACTCACAAAAGGCCCTGATTAATTGTACACACACAAGGCCCTGATTAATTGTACATGCTCTAGTCCCTGATTAATTGTACACACACAAGGCCTTGATTGATTGTACACACACAAGGCCCTGATTAATTGTACATGCTCTAGTCCCTGATTAATTGTACACACACACAAGGCCCTGATTAATTGTACACACAAAAGGCCCTGATTAATTGTACACACAAAAGGCCCTGATTAATTGTACACACACACAAGGCCCTGATTAATTGTACACGCTCTAGTCCCTGATTGATTGTACACACACAAGGCCCTGATTAATTGTACTCACAAAAGGCCCTGATTAATTGTACACACACAAGGCCCTGATTAATTGTACACGCTCTAGTCCCTGATTAATTGTACACACACAAGGCCTTGATTGATTGTACACACACAAGGCCCTGATTAATTGTACACGCTCTAGTCCCTGATTAATTGTACACACACACAAGGCCCTGATTAATTGTACACGCTCTAGTCCCTGATTGATTGTACACACACAAGGCCCTGATTAATTGTACACACAAAAGGCCCTGATTAATTGTACACACACAAGGCCCTAATTGATTGTACACACAGTATATTGTGGCCACTGACAGCAGGGAACTGATACATCCCGGACATATTCTCAACAGGTTGTGACGGAACACGTGGATCAGTTGGCCAGCAGTGAGAACTTTGAGCGGACGATCCACAACTTTGACACCAACTTCTCCCGACTACTGGTGGACTTGCTGGATAAAATCATGGATTTCAGTAGCACAAACTATGAACACAAGCTCTTCAACATTCTGTACAGGTAGGCAGTAACACAAACCACCAGGCTTCATTGTATTATCTCAGTGGTGTTTGTTTATTTATTAACCCCCGTCACAAAGAGGAAGGGAGATATAGGAATGGGTGTTGTCCGTCCGTCCGTCCCTTCGTTTTCGGAGCAGAACTAAAAAAAATTGAGAGATATCTTAACTTAACCTTTTGCACTGGTGCCTTTTTGAGTTTAGAATTTAAAAAAAATTATGTTTCAAGCAGGGGTCCGGAAAATTTAAAATCCCAATTGGACATTTGCATTTAGGCCACGCCCCCTTCAAATAGCGTATTTTAGTACAACTTTTCACACACATTACAAGTTGTTACGTAAGCGTTCCTTGCGCGCTTCGGTTATAGCGAGTGGTAAAGCATGGCTCCCAAAATTTACTAACATTTTTAATAAACTCAAGTTTTCCAATGACACGATGTTTTCCCCCATCTCAGAAAACATTATCAGCTGATCACTGCGATCACATAACACTGGAAATACCAGGCAACAAATCCGAACTGAAGTACGCAATTCAATCCTATTATTATAATATCTGGTAATAAAAAAATTGTTCATTGTTTATCTGGACTAATGTTTGCAATATATTTGATTAATTGTATTCAAAATTTTATTCAATAATTATGATAAGGTTTACAATAATTTCAGCGAAATCGTATGCGAAGTGATCGGTAGATCGCACAACTCACCGTTATTTACAGCAAACACGGTCAGATTACCACTATTGACGCCTTGAAAACAAACTTTAGTTGCAAGAGAATGGATACACATATCATAAATGACGTACCATGACTCGCTAAAATCATATTTGAGGCAGATTGACTATTAAATGTCAACATAATGTTTTCGCAATCAAAATACCAAAGAGCTACGCTTATGGTTCTTATAATATTAAGTATATATGGTGGAAGCTGCAACTAAAATAACACGATATTGGAATATATTATTCCTGATAAAATAATAATTTCAGATACAATTTCTTCCGACCATTGCATCAAAATTCTTTGAAGTTGTATCATTGGGTACATTTTAACTGAATCACCTGTAGATTGGGAGAGACGTGTGCACAGCTGATTACTATTTCCGGCTTAGTTTACGAGAAAGTACACACGGTAATCGTAATCTCTGCATGTAAAACAATGCCTTAGAAAGCAGGAAATACATTTTAAAGGGTAAATCATCATGTCTAGTGATGTTTTATGTCAAATTTCATTCTCTTATTGACCAAGTTTGTTATACCTGTTTGTTCACCTGAATTTGCTGAAGGGATACGATAACGCTCATCAATTATTTGGACCCCGAAGGTGTTTTTTTTTAAAATGTCCAGACAGAAAAATGTAAAGATTCCCAGTCGGACATGTCCGGCGCATATGACCGTTTCCGGACCCCTGGTTTTGAGTTTCCATGGCAACAACTTTGATTTAGACTGAAAATGGCAGTAGTGCTCCACACAACCGAACAGGTCATATTGGCGGGGGATATGAGTATTTACTGCTTGTGACCGAGTTAATTAAAATCATGTGCAGTAGTACAAATATCACTTCACATGCACCAGTGTATTGTTTACGTCATCCGGACGTCATTCTTGACATTATTGGAATCTTATTGTAATGGGAGGTCGGAATGACGTCAACGATTGTGGCTATCTAAGACAGTGGTCGGGACCTAAAAGGGAATCGAAAGGATTAAGAATAAATGGTAATAAAGAAATCTTAACACTTGTCATGTGTCATACTGATTTTACAAAACTCATGTAGGAGTTCATGTTTTACCCTTGTTCTCGCTCTGGAGGTACAAGAATCCTGTACCTGTTTTCTGAAGTAACTTTGACACACATCCTGTTTGAGTAGTCTCTATGTTCGTCATGATGTCATGGTATGATGATGATGATGATGATGATGATGATGAGTGAGTGAGTTAGCAATATTCCAGCAATATCACAGCGGGGGACACCAGAAATTGGCTTCACACATTGTACCCATGTCGGGAACCGAACCTGGGTCTTCGGCGTGACAAGCGAACGCTTTCACCACTGGGCTACCCAACCGCCCCATGATGATGATGATGATGATGATGATGATGATGACTGTGTTGGCAACTCAATTTCAGATTGGATTTCAATGGGTTTTACACTGAGAGACTGGAGGCCAAGTCAGCTGAGAGGGTTCGTCTTGATGCATCCGTCAGTTCGGGGTCAAGTGAGTACTTCCATCTTTCAAAGCTTAATTAATTAAACGTGATATATTTAATGGCACGAAGAAGTCATTGATTATGTAACACAATACAAAAAAGATAGAATTCCAAATGAACAGTACTTTTTCATTTGGACATGTTATATGTCAGTTCCTGGAGTTCTGTGTAGATGTGTATGACTTTGTTTTCTTTGTTTTAGACTCGGTAGACGACTGATTTATACAAGCTGGTAATACTTATAGATTAGTTTGGAACAGTTTGTTTGAGTTGCTTATACTGCTAGTTGAGTTGACTCTCTGAGATTCAGATGTTACAGTTATATTAACATGTTATTTGAGTTGTTACAGTTGTACATGACATTTTACTAACTTGCAGTTGCGACATTCACATGGTGACGTCTCTAGGTAACACTGACGTCTCTAGGTAACACTGACGTCTCTAGGTAACACTGACATCTCTAGGTAACACTGACGTCTCTAGGTAACACTGACGTCTCTAGGTAACACTGACGTCTCTAGGTAACACTGACGTCCCTAGGTAACACTGACGTCTCTAGGTAACACTGACGTCTCTAGGTAACACTGACTTGATGGATGTTGTTCTGTACCCACTGTCACACTTGCCACAAGGCATCAGGGATTGTGTCCATCCTGTCTTGCTGTATGACAGACTGTATGTTGCTGCACACCTCGGCACTGTCACACTTGCCACAAGGCATCAGGGATTGTGTCCATCCTGTCTTGCTGCGTGACCGACTGTATGTTCCTGCACACCTCCGCACTCTCACACTTGCCACAAGGCATCAGGGATTGTGTCCATCCTGTCTTGCTGCGTGACCGACTGTATGTTCCTGCACACCTCCGCACTCTCACACTTGCCACAAGGCATCAGGGATTGTGTCCATCCTGCCTTGCTGTATGACAGACTGTATGTTCCTGCACACCTCGGCACTGGTCCACGGGGCACACAAGGCCCCAGTCACTCTGTTCACCTCCATGTATTCTGGGTCACAATTGCTCCAAGTAAATTGTTTGATAGGCATTTCTTAGAAGTTGACGGATGACAAAGTAGACAACAAACTTATGGATAACAACTTCTTTATTGGACTGTAATAGCGACATTTTGGTAGACCCTTATGCCGTTGTGAAGCAGTCTGGCAGTGTGATGAAGAAATTGTTATCCACTCCACTCATTCCTCCTCTCACTCACTCACTCACTCACTCACTCACTCACTCACTAAATCACTCACTCACTCACTCACTCACTCACTCACTCACTGTCTTAAAGAATACATTAAGTATGTATTCACCAGCTGTCAGAAATCTATTATGCCTGCCTGTCAGAGATCAACTTGCTTCCTTTCTGTCACTGGTTCCAGCATTAGCCAGCAATGTTTAACAATAAGAAAATGTAGTCCACTGGTTTGCCTGATCAAAACTCAGTGACTTACAGTAAGCCATGTTGTAGCTTGAATATTGTGGCTTTTAACCACATTCATTCATTCATTCATTCAGCCACACCCCCACACACCCCCTCAGAGGCGAGATACTGATAACAGCACTAACAAAGACAAAGAGGCTTAGTCCTTAGTTTTAGATTATTGCATTGAATGCAGTGCTGAAATACAATATCAAAAATACCTTTGCATTTAAGAAAATAAGAGCGAAAGAACGATTTTATTCCAATTTGCCTGCCATCATCACTAAGTTTGGAATCCCAGATACCTCCCTGCCCACTATGTGTGAGCAGTATGTACCAACTTGACTGAGGTTGTCATCACATCCTTGTGGTAAGGTGAGTGAGTTTTGTTTAATGCCGCTTTTAACAGTATTCCAGTTATATCACGGCATGTCAGCTTAATGTGGGAGGAAAGCCAGAAGTGATGCAGGTCTTAGATGTTTACAACTTCGGTGAAACCCACGAGGGTACGGTGTTGACAAACCTAAAACATAATTGGGGCGAACCGGGATTCGAACCCACAAGATTAGGTTTCTGGCGTGCCCAAGGGACGCAACTCTGCATAGCGAATTGCGGCGCCAGAGACGACTGAGCCACCCTTGCCCCCTTTTGGTAAGGATGCCCCCACCATGGGCAGTTGGACCCTATAACACAGTTGGACCCTATGGTGTAACACCCACTCACTCACTCACTCACTCACTCACTCACTCACTCACTCACTCTCACTTACACACAGTCACTCACTCACTCACTCACTCACAGTCACTCACTCACTCTCACTTACACACAGTCACTCACTCACTCAATCTCCCACTCACTCTCTCACTCAATCTCTCACTCACTCTCTCACTCAATCTCTCACTCACTCACTCACTCAACCTCTCTCACTCCCTCACTTACACACAGTCACTCACTCATCTCTTTGATCTACTAGCATCCACAGCACTAGTCTGGAGCTGTAAAGTAATTTATAATTAATGTCTCATGTTAATTACCTTAAACCATGCAAACAAACACAATGCAACCATAAGATTAATTTGAAACATTGTTAAGAAAATGTTACAAAATGATATAAAAATTGATATATTTTAAGTTTTTCAAGAGATTTTTTTTAATGCATACCTAAAACTCCAAGAACCACGGAAACATATCTTTGTTATGTTTTATATCACTTTTTTATACACCTGTTGTGAAACAGGCAGTGTCAGCCTATAAGGCCATAATAAATTAATTGCTAGATTATCATCCACTTTTCCAAATTTGGGGAGGGAGGCTTTTTATTTTTTATTTTCTATTTAAGTCGTCAAGTTGAAGACTGGACATGTTGGTATGAACACTCGATGAATGAAATAACAAAGATAATAAATAAACATCCATTTCAACAATAGCAGTCCGATCTATCTGTGTCAAACTTATTTTCGTTTTCCCTGCCCCAACGTGTACTCGTGTGTTCATAAATGTATCCTCAATTGACGTTAACTAGTCAAGTTCCCCACAAGAAAACTTGAATCGTTTGATAGACATTACTTAGTAGTTGATGGTTGACAAAGTAGACACAATTTATGGACACCAACTTCTTTAATACTGTAAAGGCGATATTTAGGTAGATTCTTATACCGTTGTCAAGCAAGGTCAACGGTATAAGGATCTATACCGGAACATCGGCTTTACAGTATTAAAGAAGTTGTTGTCCATAAATTGTGTCTACTTTGTCACAAGCAAACTTGTTGAAGATTTCCATAAGAGTAATAGACTCTGGTAAAGGACAGGCATTCCAGTCTTTAATGGTTTACACCCCCTCTCGTATTTTCAAAATAGCGAGCACCATCTTGACAGCTGACAACAAGCAGATGATAGGCAGGCATGCGCCGAGAGTCGGTTATAGACCACTTTACGGCAAGTCGTAAACATGAAATGGCTGTTTGACAACTGATGTCATTACAGTGCTCTAAACATTTCACTCGGCAAATAAGATGAACTTGTTGGGGAGTTTAGGCATGAGTCAGGATGATGACCTAGCACTTATTTTATTGTGGCCTTACAGAATATTCTGTGATGCCCACTCCATGACCGGATCTGCAGACTTGTGAAACCTGTGTGACTCGACCCTGGTTTCTATGTGACTGATTGAAATGGAAAACTATCTTGTGAATCTTTTTGCTTCTGTTAAGAAATCAATCGCTGTGTGCAGTTGCTGCCATGAGTGTTTTGTTGTTTGTCAGCTTCTTGTAGATGCTATGAAATTGAACAACACAGGTGGAAATATTGAAGTGAAATGGAGGCCTGACAGTATCCTAGGATGTAGATGCCGTGTGGACTGGGAATACTTTTCTGCTTACTTCATGACTGTTGTCGGTATTAAAAGTATTTTAGTTTTGAGATAGGTATTTGTAAGATCTAAATGATTTAATCCATCTGTTCCAATGAGAAGTGCAGGCTCCTTGTGCTTTTGTGTCTGGTGCCTTGATGAACTACTGTACTACACTGACACGTTGTAGAGGCATCTGGGGAAATGATACGTTGTAGAGGAATCTGGGGTATTTCTTCATTATCTTTGTGGAATTACCTAGGATTTGTTATACAGGGACTGCAACCTGACAGTCGTGAATCTGTAGTGTGAGATGTTTGTGTCTGCAGAATCTCCAGTGTGAGATGTTTGTGTCTGCAGAATCTCTAGTGTGAGATGTTTGTGTCTGCAGAATCTCCTGTGTGAAATGTTTGTGTCTGCAGAATCTCTAGTGTGAGATGTTTGTGTCTGCAGAATCTCCAGTGTGAAATGTTTGTGTCCACAGATTCTCTAGTGTCAAATGTTTGTGTCCACAGATTCTCTAGTGTCAAATGTTTGTGTCTGCAGATTCTCTAGTGTGAAATGTTTGTGTCGATAGATTCTCTAGTGTGAAATGTTTGTGTCCACAGATTCTCTAGTGTGAAATGTTTGTGTCTGCAGATTCTTAAGGGCGAAATGTTTGTCCACAGATTCTCTAGTGTGAGATGTTTGTGTCTGCAGAATCTCCAGTGTGAAATGTTTGTGTCCACAGATTCTCTAGTGTCAAATGTTTGTGTCCACAGATTCTCTAGTGTCAAATGTTTGTGTCTGCAGATTCTCTAGTGTGAAATGTTTGTGTCGATAGATTCTCTAGTGTGAAATGTTTGTGTCTGCAGATTCTTAAGGGCGAAATGTTTGTCCACAGATTCTCTAGTGTGAGATGTTTGTGTCTGCAGAATCTCCAGTGTGAAATGTTTGTGTCCACAGATTCTCTAGTGTCAAATGTTTGTGTCTGCAGATTCTCTAGTGTGAAATGTTTGTGTCGATAGATTCTCTAGTGTGAAATGTTTGTGTCCACAGATTCTCTAGTGTGAAATGTTTGTGTCTGCAGAATCTCTAGTGTGAGATGTTTGTGTCTGCAGAATCTCCAGTGTGAAATGTTTGTGTCCACAGAATCTCTAGTGTGAAATGTTTGTGTCTGCAGAATCTCTAGTGTGAAATGTTTGTGTCTGCAGGTTCCTCGGGGTCATGGCCCACGGCTACATTCACCAGTCAGAGACCCGACACTGCCAGGTACGTCCCTGGCATTCACAGGAACCTGCCCGGAGAATCTTGAGAGTTGGGGAGTCCCCCAGGATAATTATGGAAACGCTCTCTCCACAATCTTGTACAGCAACAGAAGTGCCAAGTCTCCTCATCATCGCGTTTCATGCCCTTACATTTCAGAATTGTGTGCCACAGACTATTGTTAAACAACACAACCAACACGAGCTCATAGTGACAAGCCTCTGTCAGGAGTATGATGATGGACATTGAACTTTTTGGGACTGATTTCATCATCTGAAGGTCAACAAGTTCAAGGTCAAACATGTTGAGGTCACAGACATATTTACAATTTCCCCACTCTGAAATATGTCGGTGAGTTGGTAGGAGCTCTTTGTTTTTATTAAATCTACCATGGCATTTGGGAGTGGGAGTCTTTGTTTTGTAATGGAGAAAAGTTGTTTGTTGCATTGTTATATGAAGATTTGTTATGGCATCACAGTCTGGTGTGTGAGTGTGGTGTTGAATGCATCACAGTCTGGTGTTGTGTTCATGAGTCAGTTGTAAAGGTCATGCAATAATGGTGATATTCCTGTTATACCCCCTGAAGCATTTGATACTGTATATATATCCTAATGTATCTGCCACAATGTATAATTTTGAATCTCAGAGGAAATTTGTCTCGGGATAATAAAACTCAATTTGTTTTTCACAGACTTTGAACACCTTGGGTAAAAATTATCCCCTTCTGCTAAAGCGAATGACAAGTATGTTAGTTTTACTGTGCCTGAGAGGATGTTTTATATTTTAAACCAGCCATGAAATGAGTAAGTGAGTACAGTTTTATGCCATTGTGAGCAATATTGTAACAATATCGTGGTGGGAGACACCAGAAATGGGCTTTACTCAATGTTCCAATATGGGGAATCAAAAGATACAATGAGTACTGAAAACAGTACTTTGACCCCAAGTTACTCCGCAGGATGTATTATCAGTGAAAGGTGAGTTCACTGGAACAGACTTTGCACCTTATCAGTGTCCTGCCTGCTGTGTTGAGTCATGTCTTGTATAGAGATAGGTGTGGACAATAAAAGGACACTTTGTGACTCAACGAGGACCAACGTAAGAGACAGTGAACTACAATTCATTTCTCCACAACAGATAGGCCACTAATCTAAAATCATTCTCTTGATGAAAAAGAGTGCACATCCTGTATTGATGATTCGTAATGCAGTTTAACTTATTTGATTTCTTTAGATTCCTTTTCAGTTTCCAACAGAGTAATCAGTCATATATTCTGATGGATAATCCTGTGAAAAATATGTATTTTATGAATTTGAGATTGATCATAAAGTTACATAAATAGTGTCAGAAGTATGGTACAGTCAAATCAAATTGAAGGCCTTTTGTGTGATTGTGTCCTGAATGTCAAGGCCTATTGTGTGATTGTGTCCTGAATGTCAAGGCCTATTGTGTGATTGTGTCCTGAATGTCAAGGCCTATTGTGTTTCTGAATGTCAAGGCCTATTGTGTGATTGTGTCCTGAATGTCAAGGCCTATTGTGTGATTGTGTCCTTAATGTCAAGGCCTATTGCATGATTGTGTTTGTTTGTTCTTCATTCACAGCTTTTGTTCCTGTTAGTCTGTGAAAGACATTTTGAGAGTTACATGATTTTGCATCTGATCTGGTACATGTCTTCATAAATAGACTAGGATAATAATCTCTGAAATATTTTATTAAATGTGTGTCAGTTCAGTTGTAAACTGAACCTGTATGATGACCCCCCCCTCTGAACCTGCGGACGTGATGGTACAGCAGTTACTATGGTGATGGGCTTCCTCCATTATTGACCATAGTTTGCTTTCCCTGGTGCAGTGAAGTGTAACACAAATAAATATGTTAAAACCAGCAGTGTGGCTTGTTTCCTTACCATGTCACTCTCTGGGGAGTCCGGTCAGAAATGTGTATTCCTGCATAAGGTCCACAGTTCCCAGTGCTCCCCGACATGAAAACTTGTGACCTGACAGCATGAGCACTGAACCACTATCAACCACTGGTAAGCCAGGATGGATTATTGGTACTGTGATGTAGGACGGAATATTGCTGTCTGCTTGGAGCAGTTGGATAATAATTGACTTTCGAATACTGCTGATGGTCGTGGAATAGCGCTAAATGTTTTGCAAGACATCACTCATTTCACCCGTGAAGATCAGTGTTAGAATAGGTCTTCAAAAAAAAATTCTTGCCTACCAAAGAGACTTCTGACATCACACCCGTTTCAGAATTTCATCCAAAGTAAAGGACAACAATTCAGTTTAAAATAAAAGTAACACAACAGCTTCATCCTTGCTAACCATACCAACACTTGTTTGTGATCTGGGGATATTGTAAATACCAACTTGATCTTTTGACAAGATACCAGTTAAATATCGACAAATCTGAATTAAAAAAATGTTGAATGGGTTATTTCTTTATATCCATTCCATCAAATGGACTGATATTAATGCTGAGAAGTATTACACAGTATAGGTTATTGTTAATGATCAGGCTGATACAATTCAGGCAATTGCCTTGCGAAATCTCTCAGTGAAACATGCAAATACGTTTATGTTTCTGACTTTCTGTCGACACATGATAAAGTGGTTCATTGTTATCGTGGTTGATCACCGAAACTGACGTTAAATTAATCATCTTATCTACATTTTAACAAAAATATACGTGTGAGAAGTAAGTTACCTGTGCCTTATCTTATGCATCACCGTTGGGAGTTAATGAATAGTTGAGACACAACAACGTGGTTACTTTATTGTGAGCATGTCTTGAGTCAATCTCTTTTGTGCCTGCTATATATTTAACTTGTTCCAAGTGGTATTATGATTGGCACATAAGGTAACGCTTACATACTTAAATAATTCCTGTCTACCCTAAAACTGGCTTCAAAATATTTGGACTCGTCATGAGATAGTTACAACTGCCAAGAGAAATATGATAAAATGTCGTTGTCTTTGAACACACAATCATTACGATCACACCTTTGTCAGCGTCTGAACATATTCAGTCGGTGTGTAACGTTTCCAGACAGTGATTTTACATGCACATTATCTGTATGGAGAAACCAGATGTTATCTCCGGTACGGCGTCTTTGGTTGGGATTCAGTTGAATGTTCTTAAAACGAACCACACTGAAGGTCCTCAAATGTTATCACCATCCTGATTCAATGATTAATCAGAACTCACAAGGCACGGCGATATCCATAACGAATTTCGAGGTAGTCGAAGTCAAACAGAAACGTTCCGATTGAATCTATCACCCGTGCTTCCGGTACAAGTGGACAAAACGCTTGGCATTTTTCTGTCGTCATCATCGATATTTCTGAAAAGGTGAATTCGTCCTCTACGAAGTTTTGCACCAACACTACAAACAATAATGTACACAGATTGTTAACTTACAGGTTATAATATGTGTTGATTGGTTCTGTAGATTCAGTAATTTGCATAGGCAGATTTGACCAATCGTTGTTGCTGAGTGACACAAACTGTTCCCCATGCAATAGTTGGACGGCCTCCATTTGTTGACGACGGAAATCTGATCGTCGGTTTATCCGCTAATTATGATGATCCATGACCACAATTCGTGTAGCCGTTATTGCTGGCTATGCTCACGAACCAACGCTGCTTTCATCCTTGCATCATTTTCAGCAGTTTGTGAATCTGTGATGCTGCTGGTCTCCCCCGTGTGTGGAGCTGTCTCCTGTGGAGATGGACTGATATCTTCTGTGGTGTCTGTGTTTGGAGCCATTTCCGTAGACTGGGAGCTGGACTCCGTATAATTGTCTGTATGTGGGACCGTCTGTCCGTTCAACGTACTGCATTCAACGGCTTCTGCTTGCCCTGTGTCTGGCTCTTTGGCCGCTGTAATGAAGACGTCATTGTCGGATACACTCTGTTGAGACGTTGACGTTGGCGGCTGTGCGGCGTTGATGTTGTTCACACTGGCGGACAGAGACTGGTGGCCTCCATCACGATGTAACAGGGCAAGAGAAGCCAGGATCTCATCCAGCGATTGTCTGAGAAGAAAGGTAACTGACATCAATGCCTTGAACATAACTTGGTAACTGTTGAAGATCCTTCTGTGTGTGGTGTAAGTATTTCACCTTGTCAAGTATACAATATAACCTACTATAACCTATAAAGGAAATCGTTTCATAACGCCGTCTTGTACACTATCTAGTGGTTCGCTGAAGACCCGGGTTCTATTCCCGATATGGGTACAATGTATGAAGCCCATTTCTGGTGTCTCCCCGTGATATTGCTGGAATATTGCTAAAAGCGGAGTAAAACCATACTCACTCACTCACTATCTTTAAGTGGTCTTTAGAAAGCTTTAGTATATGTTACTACACAGAGTTGCCACTGTCCGATTTCAATGTTTTAGTTCTTGATAAAGTAGCATCTGTATCGAAGTGGAAACCCTTAAGTCAACTCTGTCTTCCTGAACAAGAACACTCAATGACCCACTGCATCCTGATGATATTGCTCTACAACACTGCCACGTCCGCTATATAACCTACTGCATCCTGAGGACATAGCTCTGTAACACATTGTATAACCTACTGGATACTGAGGACATGGCTCTGTAACACATTGTATAACCTACTGCATCCTGAGGACATCGCTCTGTAACATTGTATAACCTACTGCATACTGATGACATCGTTCTGTCACACATTGTATAACCTATTGCATCCTGAGGACATCGCTCTGTCACACATTGTATAACCTACTGCATCCTGAGGACATCGCTCTGTAACATTGTATAACCTACTGCATACTGAGGACATCGCTCTGTAACATTGTATAACCTACTACATACTGAGGACATCGTTCTGTCACACATTGTATAACCTACTGCATTTTGAGGATGGCCTTCTCCTGGCGGGTGAGTCTGTTCTTGACAGTCAGCAGGTTCATTGTGTTCGACTCTGAACCCACCCAGATGTCACGGATGTTCTTGTTCATCTCATTCAAGGGAGGCGACTCCCACCTCTCCAGGAGATCATGGGGTTGTGACACCACCTCGGACTCGCAGTACTTCCGGATCCGGTAACTCTGTTGGGGGCAAACGGGTAGACTAACCTATTTGGTACTACTACTCCTAGTGCGTGTGTGGGTAGGTGGGTGGGTGCGCGGGTGCGTGCGTGCGTGCGTGCGTGTATAGGGGACTCAGTCGTATAAGGCGCCACAATTCGCTGTGCAGAGTTGCGTCCCTTGAGCACGCCAGACACCTATGGTCGTGGGTCCGAATCTTGGTTCGTCCCAATTATATTTCTAGGTTTGTCAGCACCATACCCGTGCTCTTGAGTTTCCGCAAAGTGGTAAACTGAGACCTGTATCACTTCGGGCTTTCCCCCAACATTTAGCTACCACTCCATGATACAACTTGAATACTCATTCTCTCCGCATGTAGAATACAGACTCACTCTCCGCATGTAGAACACTGACTCACTATCCGCATGTAGAACACAGACTCACCCTCCGCATGTAGAACACAGACTCACCCTCCGCACGTAGAACACAGACTCACCCTCCGCATGTAGAACACTGACTCACCCTCCGCACGTAGAACACAGACCCACCTTCCACATGTAGAACACTGACTCACCCTCCGCACGTAGAACACAGACCCACCTTCCACATGTAGAACACTGACTCACCCTCCGCACGTAGAACACAGACCCACCTTCCACATGTAGAACACTGACTCACCCTCCGCACGTAGAACACAGACCCACCTTCCACATGTAGAACACTGACTCACCCTCCGCACGTAGAACACAGACCCACCTTCCACATGTAGAACACTGACTCACCCTCCGCACGTAGAACACAGACCCACCTTCCACATGTAGAACACTGACTCACCCTCCGCACGTAGAACACAGACCCACCTTCCACATGTAGAACACAGACTCACCCTCCGCATGTAGATACTATTGAGCTCCACCCTCGCTATGATCCACGCCCTGTTGAGCTCGAGGGCACGTTGCGCATCAGTCTGTACGTTCTGGTAGGTGTCGCTGAGCTGGGCGATGAGGATGTTGAGGAGGACAACGATGCAGGTGAAGAGGAAGATAACCATGATGATGCAGCTCAGCGTGCTGTGGGGGGAAGCAAGCGCAGTCAGTACCAGGAGGAACTGCTGGTATGTTGTGTGAGAAGTACTTTAATAAGCCCGACATTGGATCATCAAAGTAGCTGTAACTGAGACTTACTCAAGATGTGAATTCTTCAACAAAAAGTAACCATATGGCGTGAAATTGAAATGATACTACAAAAGCCCAAATGCGATTTCGGGTCCTCGTTAGATCTCCAACTTCATCATCATCAACCATATTTGGACGAGGCACTGAGTTCTAGGGTCTGTAGCACATTTTCAATATGGATCTAGATGTAATTAATGTTGTGTGAAACTGAGACGTACATACTGTGTAATTAGGGTAAGCGTTTACTAACATAGATGATACAAATTAAGTGAGCAAAGTTGTTAGGCCTGCCAATCTGACCTAGACGAATCCCCCTTTAAAGTTGCCGTTACGCCCTCCGAAGATGTCAACTCACCTGTATCCACCTTGACCGTAGTAGGTGACGACGGGGTCGGACTCGATGAGGATGCGCACGCCGGTGAACATCACCTCCCAGAAGGTTCTGTAAAGACAACATATAGCGCTGGCTTGCTTCTTGCCGTATGGTGTACATCCAGCAAGATTGTTTGGTTTCTGCTGATTGCCGCACACGGTAATCTTACGACGGCGGGCGGTTTGATAATTGAGTCTGGACCAGACAATCCAGTGATTGTTATTATGAGCAACGATCCACGCCGTCGGGGTACGATGACACGTAGTAGCTGTTGGGGACCTATTCTAACACGAAATCCCCAGGGGCTATAAGTATAGTGATAAACCATGCATGTCTCACATGTGTTACTATAATAACATGATCGTGAGTACTTACCCTGTCTCAGAGTGCACCTGTAGAGAGTTCTCTCCCCTGAGTGCTAGGATGAAGGATCCGCTGAAGGCCAGTAGGATGACGGAGAAGAGGACAGTGAACTGTACGAAGTCGTGCCCCAGGATCCGCTTCAGGATGAGGGCATATGCACCCGTCTGCCTGGTGACAGGGGGAGTATAGTGTACACAAGGTGGAATGCGGGATGTGGCCGAGTGGAGAAAACCGACAGTCGAGGATGTGACTATTGACACACCGGCCCCCCCCCCCTCTCCCTCCTCCCTACATTCGGGGCAGGGTGACACACAATCAGAGGTCATAGCTGGGGATAGGAATAATGAGATCCCTTCACCTGACGCGAACTTGAACATCTAGATATATGCCCTTACCTGAAGACTACCAAATACGTGAAGAGCTTGAGTGCCAAAAACATATGTGACATTACCCGGAGACTGCTGCATACTAGAAGATCTTAAGCGTCCACAGCAGATAGAAATTAACCTGAAGACTGCTGCATACTAGAAGATCTTAAGCGTCCACAGCAGATAGAACTTTACCTGAAGACTGCTGCATACTTCAATATCTTAAGATGTGATCTTACCTGAAGACCGCAACATTCTCGAAGATCATGTGAACCCACATCAAATAGAACTTTACCTGAAAACTGCTGCAAACTTGAAGATCTTGAGTGTCCACAGCAGATAGAACTTTACCTGAAGACTGCTGCATACTAGAAGATCTTGAGTGTCCACAGCAGATAGAACTTTACCTGAAGACTGCTGCATACTTGAAGATCTTGAGTGTCCACAGCAGATAGAACTTTACCTGAAGACTGCTGCATACTTGAAGATCTTGAGTGTCCACAGCAGATAGAACTTTACCTGAAGACTGCTGCATACTTGAAGATCTTGAGTGTCCACAGCAGATAGAACTTTACCTGAAGACTGCTGCATACTTGAAGATCTTGAGTGTCCACAGCAGATAGAACTTTATCTGAAGACTGCTGCATACTTGAAGATCTTGAGTGTCCACAGCAGATAGAACTTTACCTGAAGACTGCTGCATACTTGAAGATCTTGAGTGTCCACAGCAGATATAACTTTATCTGAAGACTGCTGCATACTTGAAGATCTTGAGTGTCCACAGCAGATAGAACTTTACCTGAAGACTGCTGCATACTTGAAGATCTTGAGTGTCCACAGCAGATAGAAGTTTACCTGAAGACTGCTGCATACTTGAAGATCTTGAGTGTCCACAGCAGATAGAACTTTACCTGAAGACTGCTGCATACTTGAAGATCTTGAGTGTCCACAGCAGATAGAACTTTACCTGAAGACTGCTGCATACTTGAAGATCTTGAGTGTCCACGGCAGATAGAACTTTACCTGAAGACTGCTGCATACTTGAAGATCTTGAGGGTCCACGGCAGATAGAACTTTACCTGAAGACTGCTGCATACTTGGAGATCTTGAGGGCCCACAGCAGATAGAACTTTACCTGAAGGCTGCTGCATACTTGAAGATCTTGAGTGTCCACAGCAGATAGAACTTTATCTGAAGACTGCTGCATACTTGAAGATCTTGAGTGTCCACAGCAGATAGAACTTTACCTGAAGACTGCTGCATACTTGAAGATCTTGAGTGTCCACAGCAGATAGATCTTTACCTGAAGACTGCTGCATACTTGAAGATCTTGAGTGTCCACAGCAGATAGAACTTTACCTGAAGACTGCTGCATACTTGAAGATCTTGAGTGTCCACAGCAGATAGAACTTTACCTGAAAACTGCTGCAAACATGAAGATCTTGAGTGTCCACAGCAGATAGAAGTTTACCTGAAGACTGCTGCATACTTGAAGATCTTGAGTGTCCACAGCAGATAGAACTTTACCTGAAGACTGCTGCATACTTGAAGATCTTGAGTGTCCACAGCAGATAGAACTTTACCTGAAGACTGCTGCATACTTGAAGATCTTGAGTGTCCACAGCAGATAGAACTTTACCTGAAGACTGCTGCATACTTGAAGATCTTGAGTGTCCACAGCAGATAGATCTTTACCTGAAGACTGCTGCATACTTGAAGATCTTGAGGGCCCACAGCAGATAGAACTTTACCTGAAGACTGCTGCATACTTGAAGATCTTGAGTGTCCACAGCAGATAGAACTTTACCTGAAGACTGCTGCATACTTGAAGATCTTGAGGGTCCACAGCAGATAGCCGACGGAGAAGACCTGCCACTGCTCCTGGGTTTGCGTGAAGCGGAGCGGGATGACGGACAACAGCAGACATGACGAGGTCAGGTCCAGCCAGTTGAACATGTCTCGCCAGTAGTCCAGACGGTGTCTGGCGGAGGCAAATAACAGCATACATAGAGGCATCTGGTGATGGCACGTAAGGCAAACTCAATCTTTGCCGCCTTTTAAGTTCGTTACTAGTCAATCACGGTCATGAAACCTTGCAGGTTGACGATCAAAATACAAGCAATAAACTAATGTTGTTTTGTTTATAGACCAGTTGCGATTCAGGGGACTAAGCAGAGATCACAAGCTGCTGTAAAATGTACTTTAGTAGATTAGACGCATGTATGTTTGAAACAAAATTGTGTACTCGCCTCCTCATCTGATTGATCTCAAGGACAAGACTGAAGGCCACCGCACCACACGTCCACAACTCGGTCGCCGCACGCACCTTGTCCCGGGGGTCGGGGTACTGGGCGGGGTCAGGGGTCAAGGTCGCTACAGCCAGCGAGAAGGTGAGGCAGAGCAGGGTGAAACAGTATATGATGCTATTCACACTGCAGACAAAATGATCTCAATAGCACTGAGAATACCAACACTGTAGTATGAAGATAACCAGTTTCAGTAATTGTTACTGAGCATGAAATGTCTGATTCATGCTGACTGTTTGATTGACATTCTGGAAATTGATGAGTTAATAAGAAAAAATACATTTATTGATAACAACTTGTGGTTTACTACATTGAACCGGACCTCTTCACCAACGTCCCTGCGCTGCAAATCCTCTGTCAGCGCATCCCCAACCTAGATCAACCACTTATTGCCAACTCCATCATCGACCTCACCGAATCCTGCATAACCTCAACCTTCTTCACCTGGGGAGACGACACCTACGAGCAGATCCACGGCCTCGCAATGGGATCCCCTCTCTCCCCCTTCCTTACGGAAATCTACATGGTCAAGTTTGACGAACAAGCCTCTCCACATCCCCAATCCAACCCGTCTGCTGGTACAGGTAGGTAGACGACACCTTTGTCATCCTCAGAAAAGACCAGGCCCCCGCCTCACTACTCCAGCACCTCATCACCCCGAGTCAAGTTCACCACATCTCCCCTTCCAAGACGTTCTTGTATCCAGAGACCCCAGCAATAAGATCCGAACTACCGTCTACAAGAGCCTACCCATTCTGACCAGTACCTTCCCTTTAACTTTAACCATCCCCCTAAAACTAAGTCTGGCATCATGTCCATACTGACCAACCAAGCAAAGAAACCTGCTCCAGCAACCGTGACCTTGTCCATGAGCTTAATGATCCGCAGCATATTTCCACCCATCTCAACATGTGTCCTACCAAGCTTGTCAAGAGGACCTTGTCCACCACGCTCCAGCACAAACCCAAACCGACCAGCACAAGCCCACCCCCATCAGAATGACCCTACCTACATTGGCAAGACTTCACATCAAATCAGCAGATCACTTAAGCACCAAACAGGTATCAATGCCATCTTCACGGGCTCCCGAACTCTCCATGCTAATGGCCGTAACCTTCCATCGGAAAGGCAACCCCAAAAGTAGTGATCTATAAGATACATTGTGACTGTGGTGACTCGTACACTGGTGAAACCTCCCGCCCAATAAATACCCTCATCAACAGACATAAAGCTTCAACAGCCCAAACAGCCAGCAACTGAGTTCCCCGGCCCTCAAATCTAGTTATACACAGTCCAATGTCTCTCTACCAAACATCAGGGCTTCACAAAAGAAAACTCCCGGAAACCATAGAAGTCCACTGTCACAAACCAAAAGAGATGAAGGGTAACACATCCCGTCTGCCTGTGAAAATCTAATCAAGCAATAGACTCTTTCTATTTGTATCAAACAGCTTGTTCATTTTTTTTCAATTAGTTTCTAATAAGTTTGTGCAACCATTTTATGAAGTATCAAATCAGCTGGTTCAGCTTCTTAATCCTTACTGTAAATCTGGCTTCATCCAATTATCTGTGTGATATTTATTATTCAGTAACTGTTGTTAATGTTAAAGTGCTTCTTGTTACAACATAGGATGAAAAACCTATTATAACTTGGTTGTAGTCACTCCAGCTTGATAATGGTGTCAGAATTTACATCGTCGCTAAATGCAATAAACCAGAAGTTGTCATCTAAAATGTTGCATGCGATTCAATGTGGAGATAGTCGAAGCCCGAAGTTATTTTAATCATTAAACGCTATTATAATGAAGTGTACGTACACGAAGCGAAACCTGGCGTATTTCTTCCACTTCCGTCGTATGAGCAGCCGGACACAGTCATGGAACACAACCTCCTGGACAGACAGACAGACACACGTACATACAGTCATGGCTACAGTAGGATTTGTTTGTTTGTTTTCCAGCTATATGACGGCGGTCTGTAAATAATCGAGTCTGGATCAGACATTCCAGTGATTGACAACATGAGCATCGATCTTCGCCATTGGGCTACGATGACATGCATCAACCAAATCAGCGAGTCTGACCACCCGATACCGTTAGTCGCCTCTTACGACAAGCATAGTCTCCTGTCACGGCAAGACATATTCTACCCCGGATATTCACAGGTCGGCTACACTAGGAAGAACGGGATATACGTCATAGTAAGCAATATAGGAGCTATATCACAGTAAACAATATGACGTCTCCATGGTCCAGTGGACATAGGGTTTGCCTGGAGTTCGATCCCTTGGCAATGTAAAAAGCTTTTACGTGTTGTTACCCTGCCTGGTGCTCGGCATTCAGAGGATAAAACAACTCGGAAACTAACTCGGAGTCAGTATCCATGTTAAAATCCGGCATGGTATCTTAGTGGGCTAGCACTGTAACACCGGCCTTAGTCCGGACTATCATCATCCTTCCGAGGCAAAGGAGATAACGGACATTGGAATCTGGACATTTAGAGTCAGTTACCCCCTTGCTTCGGGAAGATTGGCCATTATAAGCAGCCGCACACACACACGTGCATGCACGTCGCTATGTAAGTACAATAAACCCAACGTTAACCCCACATCACATCAACCACCGTGATATGTCAAATGCATCACAGAAAACAACACATCAATGGATCACCGTAAGCAATATGTCATCCTTATCACCGAGAGACGGCGAAATAGTACCCGGCTCTTCCATCGTTTCATAACAGAATCATAAGAGACAAATATCTGATCTTTGTGTACCAGTTCACAACGAAAAGTAGGGAACCAAATCTACTCATTACCTTCAGGTTTCCCTTGGCGATGAGATTGAGGCAAGATTTGGACTCGTCCTCAAAGTCTTGGTGTGTGGGTGGTCTCCCTTCCTCGTCGGCCTCCAGCACGTGGTAGAACACCCTCACGTGACCTGTATCCCCGATAGGGTCCATCATACAGTCCAACACTCCCATAGCCGCGTGCTGGGGAGATCGAATCGGTGTGTACAGTTTGTTTATCGGTGTCAGTGACGCTTTAAACAAATCTTGCAAAGGAGATGAGAGTCGATGATTGAACAACACGGGACGGTGAAACGCTAAACAACGTGAGACGGTGAAACATTAAACAACACAGGATGGTGAAAGCATTTGCGTCTCACCTGCATTGCTTTACGAAGCAGGTCGTGAAGGTTGAACTCTGACCTTGTGGAGGTCCTGGTGATGTACATGTCTCTAATGCTGAAATATGGAACAGTGATTGGTTGAATCCGGTAACTATATGAACTTACACAGGCAGTGATTGGCTGAATCGAACACTTTACGAACGTACACAGACAGTGACTGGTTGAATCCAGTAACTATATGAACTTACACAGGCAGTGATTGGCTGAATCGAACACTTTACGAACGTACACAGGCAGTGATTGGTGGAATTGAACACTTTATGAACATACACAGGCAGTGATTGGTTGAATCTAACACTTTATTGACGTACACAGGCAGTGATTGGTTGAATCTAACACTTTATTGACGTACACAGGCAGTGATTGGTTGAATCTAACACTTTACAAACGTACACAGGCAGTGATTGGTAGAATCGAACACTTTACAAACGTACACAGGCAGTGATTCTCTGAAACCTATTGGCTCATTATTACACTGAGGTTGAAACATAATGATTGGCTGAGTTTAACACGTAAAAGCGATTGGTTGAACCTAACAATGAAACAACAGCAGCAGCAGTAACAACAACTGAGCCACAGCGAGTGATTGCCTTTGTTATCCTGGCGTAAAGGGACGTGGAGTTTTATACTTTTGTGCCTCTCACTACTGTTTTGACATGCAATTTTAGACAGGGTATACGTCATACAAGAGGTGGTTCCTACAGCAACGGTGGCAGCTTACACAGCGTTGGGCATGTAGCTGAGAATGAGGGCGGCGATGTCGTCGTTGTTGTTGTTGAGGGCCAGGTGGTAGGGCATGTTGCTGTCCTTGTCTCGGACGTGGGGGAGGGCGTCGTTCTCCAGCAGTTTACTACACACACCCTTGAAGTTCCTCTTGACGGCGTGGTGGAGGGGGGTCTGCCAGGAGCTGTCGCACGTCGACGGGTTGGCGCCGCGTTGTAGAAGCATGTTGACAAACAGCTGGACCTGTCGGAACACATTAAATAAAATATAGTAGGTAAATAGAATAGAATAAAATAGTTTATTAATGTGGCAGCCATACCAGAATGTGAAATACAAAAGATCGGCCATCCAGGTCAGGGAGGACCTGCGAAAGATCAGCCAAACATGTTTCTCAAGATGCAGCGATAGTAGAGAAATGTCAAAGTCGAACCTTGTACTCTGTTGGGAATTCTGAGACCACGAACATGAGCGCCTTCTCCTTGTCGCCATACTTGTCCACCAGTCTGTCCATCACCACCTCCCTCTCCGCCTCCTGGCGGCCGATCAGCAGCGTCCGAGTCTTGACCGCCACCTAGGGAGGATGAGGCAGTGGTCAACTGTAGGGAAGGGGTGTGTGTGCGTGTGTGTATGTAGTGTGTGTTTGTGTAGTGTGTGTTTGTGAAGTGTGTGTGTGTAGTGTAGTGTGTGTGTGTGCGTGCGTGCGTGCGTGCGTGGTTTTTGTTTGTTTAATTGTTTGTGTTTGTGTGTTTGTATAGCGTGTGTGTTTGTCTCTTTGTGTATATGTAGCGGCCATAAAATTTCCGAGTCCCGTGATGGGATTCGAACCACGGACCTTCTGATCCGAGGTCGGACGCCTTGTCCACATGACCAAAGAGGTTAACCCCGTCAGCAAGCTGACAAGGTAAGGATGTCATCTGTGGGACGACTCGACGCCCTGCTACATACTCCCCCGTCGACAGAAGGCACGTCCCGGGCCGCATAGTAGGGTACTGAGGCAGATTTTGCTCAAATTTAATATGAACGTGCTCAGCCCCACGTTGGGCGCCAATGTAGCGGCCATAAAATTTCCGAGTTCCGTGATGGGATTCGAATCACGGACCTTCTGATCCGAGGTCGAACGCCTTGTCCACATGACGAAAGAGGTTAACCCCGTCAGCAAGCTGACAAGGTAAGGATGTCATCTGTGGGACGACTCCACGCCCTGCTACATATATATGTTTGTGTGTGCATGTGAGTGCTGCGTGTGTGTGTAGCGTTTGTCTGTGTGTGTGTGTGTGTAGCATGAGTTCGTGTAGTGTGTGTGAATGTGCGCGCGCGTGCGCGTGTGTGTTTGTGAGTGTGTAGCATGTGTGTGTTTGTGTTGAGCGCGTGTGTCATTGTGTGGAGCGTGTATGTGCGTGGAGGGTCTGTGTGTGTGTGTGTGTGTGTGTGTGTGTGTGTGTGTGTGTGTGTGTGTGTGTGTGTGTGTGTGTGTTTCTCTGTGAAGGGTGTGTGTGTTTGTTCGTGGAAGGTGTGTGAGGGGGTTTGTTTGCGTTTGTGTGTGGAGTGTGTGTGTCGAGGGTTGAGTGTATCTGTGTGAGGCGTGTGGTTATGTGTGTGTGTGGAGGGATGGGGGGGGGGGGGGGGGGGGGGGGGGCATGTCGAGGGTGTATGTGACTGTGTTTGGAAGGCGTGCATGTGTCTCTTTGTGTGGAGGGCGTATTTGTGTGGAGCGTGTGTGTGTATGGGGGTGGGGAAGTGAGCGTGTGTGTGTTTGTGTTTGGTGATTTTGGTGTGTTTGTGTGTGAAGGTCGTGTGTGTGAAGGTCGTTAGTGTGTGTGTGTGTGTATGTGTGCTTGTTGTGGTATTGTGGATGTTTTGATTTGTATTATGAATTTCTTTTGTGAAAGTTCACCTTACTGTTTCATTATTAGTATTTTATTCATATCATGTTTATCACCGCGATGCCCAATCCCAGCCAACGACCGACCCCATGGCACCGCCGAGAGACCTACACCGGGCGCAACAGAAAGACCTACACCGGGCGCAACAGAAAGACCTACACCGGGCGACACAGAAAGACCTACACCGGGCGCCACAGAAAGACCTACCCCGGGCGCAACAGAAAGACCTACACCGGGCGACACAGAAAGACCTACGACGGGCGACACAGAAAGACCTACCCCGGGCGACACAGAAAGACCTACACCGGGCGACACAGAAAGACCTACACCGGGCGCAACAGAAAGACCTACACCGGGCGCAACAGAAAGACCTACACCGGGCGACACAGAAAGACCTACACCGGGCGACACAGAAAGACCTACCCCGGGCGACACAGAAAGACCTACACCGGGCGACACAGAAAGACCTACACCGGGCGACACAGAAAGACCTACACCGGGCGACACAGAAAGACCTACACCGGGCGACACAGAAAGACCTACCCCGGGCGACACAGAAAGACCTACCCCGGGCGACACAGAAAGACCTACACCGGGCGACACAGAAAGACCTACCCCGGGCGACACAGAAAGACCTACCCCGGGCGACACAGAAAGACCTACACCGGGCGACACAGAAAGACCTACCCCGGGCGACACAGAAAGACCTACACCGGGCGACACAGAAAGACCTACACCGGGCAACACAGAAAGACCTACACCGGGCAACACAGAAAGACCTACACCGGGCGACACAGAAAGACCTACACCGGGCGACACAGAAAGACCTACACCGGGCGACACAGAAAGACCTACCCCGGGCGACACAGACAGACCTACACCGGGCGCCACAGAAAGACCTACACCGGGCGACACAGAAAGACCTACCCCGGGCGACACAGAAAGACCTACCCCGGGCGACACAGAAAGACCTACCCCGGGCGACACAGAAAGACCTACCCCGGGCGCCACAGAAAGACCTACACCGGGCGCCACAGAAAGACCTACCCCGGGCGACACAGAAAGACCTACACCGGGCGCCACAGAAAGACCTACCCCGGGCGACACAGAAAGACCTACACCGGGCGCCACAGATAGACCTACCTCTTGCTGGAACTCATCCTCCGTCACCTCCTCCCCCAGCAGGTCGGAGAACGAGGGGGTCTGGGGCAGGTGCGTCGGGGGGATGCGGCTACATGCACCACAGAACCCAGCATCTTCGGGGTAGGCGTAATCTGTAGCAGGAAGGACGTGTGAGATGTGTAACCATGTGTACACGGTAAACACACACGGATACACCGAGGCAATCAGACACTCAGACACTCAGACACACAGCCGCTCAGACACTGAGACTCAGACACTCACACACACAGGCACTCAGGCGCTCAGACGCTCTTACTCACAGGCACAGATACACGGAAACACAGACAGTTACACGGAATCAGACACTCCGACATACAGACTCAGGCATACACACGGACTCCATGAACACAAAGACACACGAGGCTGCCGCATAAGTGTCACAACCCTCTCCCATGTTACACTTTCATTTGTTACACTCACTAGGGCTGATCGGTAGCTGTGGAATACTCAGTACAGGCCTCTGCGAAGACGCGCTTAAAACACCTCTAAATCAATAAGTGGCCACGTGAGCTTCTTAATTGTCGCTGGTAATTATGGATTGGTCTGAGAGTGTATATTCCCGAACGCAACACAGAGGATATGACTTAACATAATCGATGTCAGCACTAATACTGTTAGTATAATGTTGTTACTCGTCCCCGAGTGTTTCAGGTGCATCTCCCTGTACAGCCTGATTCGCCAAGGAGGACGGGACAGATGCCACCTGTGATGACATGTGATGTTCCCCTCTCTGATGTTCCCCACCCCTGATGTTCCCCACCCCTGATGTTCCCCACCCCTGACGTTCCCCACCCCTGACGTTCCCCACCCCTGATGTTCCCCACCCCTGATGTCCCCCACACCTGACGTTCCCCATACCTGATGTTCCCCATACCTGATGTTCCCCACCTCTGACGTTCCCCACCCCTGATGTTCCCCACCCCTGATGTTCCCCACCCCTGATGTTCCCCGGCCCTGATGTCCCCACCCCTGATGTTCCCCACCTGTGATGTTCCCCACCTGTGATGACATGTGATGTTCCCCGCCCCTGATGTTCCTCACCTCTGATGTCCCCCACCCCTGATGTTCCCCACCTGTGATGTTCCCCACCTGTGATGACATGTGATGTTCCCCACCCCTGATGTCCCCAACCCCTGATGTTCCCCACCTGTGATGTTCCCCACCTGTGATGACATGTGATGTCCCCCACCCCTGATGTCCCCCACCCCTGATGTCCCCCACCCCTGATGTTCCCCACCTCTGATGTCCCTCACCTCTGATGTCCCTCACCTCTGATGTTCCCCACCTCTGATGTCCCCAACCCCTGATGTTCCCCACCTGTGATGTTCCCCACCTGTGATGACATGTGATGTTCCTCACCTCTGATGTCCCCCACCCCTGATGTTCCCCACCTGTGATGTTCCCCACCTGTGATGACATGTGATGTTCCCCACCCCTGATGTCCCCCACCCCTGATGTTCCCCACCCCTGATGTCCCCCACCCCTGATGTTCCCCACCCCTGATGTTCCCCACCCCTGATGTTCCCCACCCCTGATGTTCCCCACCCCTGATGTCCCCAACCCCTGATGTCCCCCACCCCTGATGTTCCCCACCCCTGATGTTCCCCACCCCTGATGTTCCCCACCTCTGATGTCCCTCACCTCTGATGTCCCTCACCTCTGATGTTCCCCACCTCTGATGTCCCCAACCCCTGATGTTCCCCACCTGTGATGTTCCCCACCTGTGATGACATGTGATGTTCCCCACCCCTGATGTCCCCCCCCCCCCCCCTGATGTTCCCCACCTCTGATGTCCCTCACCTCTGATGTTCCCCACCCCTGATGTTCCCTACCCCTGATGTTCCCCACCCCTGATGTTCCCCTCCCCTGATGTCCCTCACCTCCGATGTCCCCCACCCTTGATGTCGCCTACCTGTTGTATCGAGATGTCCAAGGGCGATGCTCCTGTGTTTCTGTCTTCTCATTGTCCAGGCCGTGTTACCATGACAACACAGGTGAACTCAGGTACTGGCTGTATGTACGGTGGGCTATACGGGAGCTGCCGGTGCATACCACGACATGACGGCCCTGTACGTCCAGGCTAATGCTTCAGTGACAGTGATCGATGTCGTGTCCTCTTCCACAGATCCCCAATTCCCGTCCTATAGCGGCACGTACAGTCATCACGGCCTGAAATAGTCGCAGGAAAATCACGCAGCCGGGTAGCAACGGATTGTCACAAAGTATATGCCAGTGACAGAAACGTCTTCAGACGTCAGTTCTCCAGGAATACCTCCACCCATATAGGTCCTCACTAGGTCTAGCGTCTGTTCTGAGGGGCGGGGATTACTCGCCGGGGTTATAACGCAGGCAGATAACAGATAACGGCACTAATTTATTGTACAAATACTTACTATCGTGTCGAAGAAAGTATGCCAGCCTAGGTACCGGAGACGTTTAATCGTCTTGCGGCCCGGGAACAGCCTCGCTATGTCATGGGTCGGCGTCTAGTTCAATGTGACCAAGCTGTAGTTCTACAGTGTGGTTGTTTAGTTGATACTGATCTCAGATACTGTACATGCTTCCTAGTAATCGTTGCTGCACGTAGAAGTGTAGTAGTGCATTATTAACGAACCAAAGGTCAGTGTACTTGTGTTGCCATCTCAGCGTATGCCTTCGCAGGCGTTTGTCGCTTACATTACAATTGATTATGTTTTGTAATAACTCGTATGCAACGTTAAACGAGATAGGAGCTGAATACAATCTGCCTGTCTATAGTTGGCTTTTAAGTAGGTAATAACAATAATAATCATCATAATTATCATTACAATAGTTCGGTTTGTGAAATGTGGTATTGTACTGCGTTACGCTCGCAGTTGTGATAAAGTTTTACATCCTGTCTGTATAAGAATAAAGCGAAGCCTGAATACTGAGGATGAAGATAACTTTGTTCAGTGGTCGCATTGTTCAGTGGGCGGTCAAACATCGCGATCATACATCAAATATCACGATCATACATCACTGATCGGGCGATGCCAATGTATACATATTTCTCATCGTTGCTCAGCCGTGCATATCCATGCTCTCACTAAAACACGCAGTTCCTGGTTGTGCACTTTTCTCCTGTGGTGGGCTGTGAGTATAGTGTGTGATTTGCATGTGCCCTCTCCTTGTCCGTCACTGATGTGTTGTACACCATCATGTGGTATCGAACCGTAACGGGTATTTGTAGGTAGATATTCTGATGAGCTTAACCAATTAATGATCTTTACCGGGTACAGCCGACTATTTGTATTAAGGTCAGGTGAGGTGAAATGGGATTGAACATAGCGACGTGCATGCGCGCGCGTGCGTGCGTGCGTGCGTGCGTGCGTGCGTGTGTGTGTGTGTGGCTGCGTGCGTGTGTGTGTGGCTGCTTGTACTAGTCCAGACAGTTGCCGCTTTCATAGTGCCAGCCAACTGAAATTCCTTGCCGCAGTTTAACATGAATACCCCATTCAGACACAGTATACTGACTCCGAGCCGACCAGTCCTTGTTTTAGTCCCTTCATGCCGGGCACCAGGCAGGGTAACAACAAGTACCATCTTTTACCGTCTTATGGTATGACGCGTTTTAAGGTTAAATAAAGCAATGTCAGCACGGTCACTGGGGTGTTTCGGTAGTGTGTGTCCCTCGGGACTGGGGTGTCTCAGTAGTGTGTGTCCCTCGGTACTGGGGTGTCTCAGTAGTGTGTGTTCCTCGGGGCTGGGGTGTTTCAGTAGTGTGTGTCCCTCGGGACTGGGGTGTTTCAGTAGTGTGTGTTCCTCGGGGCTGGGGTGTTTCAGTAGTGTGTGTCCCTCGGGACTGGGGTGTCTCAGTAGTGTGTGTCCCTCGGGGCTGGAGTGTTTCAGTAGTGTGTGTCCCTCGGGACTGGGGTGTCTCAGTAGTGTGTGTCCCTCGGGACTTGGGTGTTTCAGTAGTGTGTGTTCCTCGGGGCTGGGGTGTTTCAGTAGTGTGTGTCCCTCGGGGCTGGAGTGTTTCAGTAGTGTGTGTTCCTCGGGACTGGGGTGTTTCAGTAGTGTGTGTCCCTCTGGGGTGGGGTGTTTCAGTAGTGTGTGTCCCTCGGGGCTGGAGTGTTTCAGTAGTGTGTGTTCCTCGGGACTGGGGTGTTTCAGTAGTGTGTGTCCCTCGGGGCTGGAGTGTCTCAGTAGTGTGTGTCCCTCGGGGCTGGGGTGTTTCAGTAATGTGTGTCCCTCGGGACTGGGGTGTTTCAGTAGTGTGTGTCCCTCGGTACTGGGGTGTCTCAGTAGTGTGTGTCCCTCGGTACTGGGGTGTCTCAGTAGTGTGTGTCCCTCGGTACTGGGGTGTTTCAGTAATGTGTGTCCCTCGGTACTGGGGTGTTTCAGTAGTGTGTGTTCCTCGGGACTGGGGTGTTTCAGTAGTGTGTGTCCCTCGGTACTGGGGTGTTTCAGTAGTGTGTGTCCCTCGGTACTGGGGTGTTTCAGTAGTATCAAGTTGACCAAGTTTAGTTTCTAAAGACGGGGTAGTCTCCCTTTAAGCACAGTAGATGTTGCAATGATGATATTCGGTAAGGATGGGATTTATGGATGAACTCGGTGTAGGTTCTAACACCGTTATCAAGCAAGTGGTGTTAGAACCTACACCGACACGTCGCTCTTAATTGTAATAAAGAAGTTGTCATCCATGAATCCTATCCTTACTTAGTACTCCAACTTCTAAATGCCTATCAAAGAAGAATTTTTTTATGATATTCAAACCGACAAAAGCGAGGTGAATTTACAGGCTGTACAGTATTTAAACCACGACATTCAAAAGTCCGTCGGCTCACAGTATATTATGCAGATCAGTGAATGCCATCCTGTCAGCAAACCCCCTGCATAGGCCCGCACAGCATAGGCATAACGCATGAAATCCTGATTTTATGGACGCTTCTGTCACTGCCTGTCGTTGGTTTAAAACAAGACAACTCTGAAATACCGTGTATAAAACTTTATTTCTCAGTTCGTGGGTACACGTATGGGTGCAGTTGGAGAACACGGCAGTCAGTTTCAGGGATTATATGGTGGTAGGATAAATGTTATGTTGTAACTTATGCACTTTTGAGAAGACAAATATGGGATGTGTGTGTTGTTGATTTGGTCATGGATGGCGGCTGGTGTCTGTTCATGTAGCACAGTTGTGTTGTGTTGCCGTGTCACGGAAAGGATACACACTCACATGTAGCTGTGGCTCATCAAGCTAACTTTCAGCAATAAAGATCCAACAAAGTTCAAGATGTAAAGATGTTTGTGATGGTCGTTTATCTCTACGATGATGGGGGTAAGTGGGCTTTCCCGGAAAGCATGGTGGATTGTCTCCCCTTTGGACCAGACAGTCTCACAATTAACACACGACTGGTCAGATGAGATCAGACATTCCCCTCCCATGAGACAAACCACGCGAGAAGCCTGAATCTTGCTGTACAGTGTGTATTCTCATGCACGTGAGACACTCCTTGAAGTCGAGACGTATACCAGTCCCCGCTATACCGCTGTATCAGTGTAAGCACTCACGTGTCATGTGCTGATGGAGGTGATAGTTGCTCAAAAATACCGCGTTGACGACGATGATAACGACGATCGTGATGATGATGATCTTGACGATGATGGTGATGGTGATGGAGATGCTGGTGGTGGGAATGATGGTGATGACAATGGAGTGAGTGAGTTTGATTTTACACCGCTTTTAGCAATATCCCAGCAATGTTACGTCGGGGGACACCAGAAATGGACTCCACACATTGTACCATGTCGGGAATCGAACCCGGCGTGACGAAGACAATGGGGATGACGGTGGTGATGATGATGTTGACGACAATGGTTATGACAGCGGTGACAGTAGTGACGACGATGGTGATGATGATTGTGATGATGATGGCGATGACAATGGTGGTGATGACAGTGATGACGATGACGTGACGACGATGATGATGACAGAGGTGACGACGATGGTGATGACGATATTGATGACGTCCCTGGGTCGATGCAGGATCTGCATGTGTGACAAGGAGTTACTGAGACACATCAGTTACAGTCTAGGTCACTACTTGGTGTCATGTCCTTCGGTCCTTCCGGGCCGTTCCTAGCTTGTCACGTGATTCTGAATTTACCAGGTGCTCCAGATACTCTCTGAAACATGACGACACGAACGTGATGTTCTTTATGAAACATTGCCACAAAAATGTGATGTACTCTCTGAAACAGATCCAAAAACACGTGACGTACTCTTTGAAACATTGCCACAATAACGAGATGTACTCTTTGAAACATTACCACAATAACGTGATGTACTCTTTGAAACATTGCCACAATAACGTGATGTACTCTGTGAAACATGGCCACAATAACATATATCCAGTAGCACCTATTTACTCGGGCCATGTAGAAAATTCACTCACTGGATGAGCACGAGGCTGTTCTCCTGTCTGGCGAGTCTGGACTGGATGGTCAGAAGGGTCATCCTGTTTGAGTCCAGATGATCCCACAGGTCCCGGATGTTCTTGTTCATCTGACTCAGCTCCGGGCCGTCCCAGCGTTTAAGGATGTCACGTGGGTTATTTATCTCCTCCATCTCTATGTACGTCTTGAACCTGCTGCTCTGAAACACGGACACGTGGCAGTGGATGTAGGCACGCCCTGAGTAGGGGATCCACGGACCCACCTTGCCGACATATATACTGTTGAGTTCGACTCTGATGATAACCCACCTTGCCGACATATATACTGTTGAGTTCGACTCTGGTGATAACCCACCTTGCCGACATATATACTGTTGAGTTCGACTCTGGTGATAACCCACCTTGCCGACATATATACTGTTGAGTTCGACTCTGGTGATAACCCACCTTGCCGACATATATACTGTTGAGTTCGACTCTGTTGATAACCCACCTTGCCGACATATATACTGTTGAGTTCGACTCTGGTGATAACCCACCTTGCCGACATATATACTGTTGAGTTCGACTCTGCTGATGATCCACGCCCTATTGAGCTCCAGCCCACGCTGTGCGTCTCTCTGTACGTAGTGGTAGGTGTCGCTGAGCTGGGCGATGAGGATGCTGAGGAGTACCACGCAGCAGAAGAATAGGAAGGTCACCATGAGGAAAGTGCTCATCGGCCTGAAGACGACGACAGTGATGACAGAGTGAAAGACAAACAATTGTGGTGTCCAAGTATAACGATGATGGTGACGTAAATTGGCATTTATACAATGATAAAGAAGTTTGCATATTAGCGAAGTTAAATTGTCATGACAGCGTAACTATGGTATCATATAAAAGAATCGGATGTTCTCCTCTTTTATGGGTACTTGTACATCATATAGGCTGAGGTATCATTGACGACATGTTGCAGGAAATCATCATCAGCTGGTAGGTTTATTATTGCTGTCTTGACTGTCTAACATTTACACGGAACCGGCAAATAACCTCTCATGCTGCCACCGAATTAAACCAAACAGTTATCACATAGTTGTAACTACTTGTCAATCATAATCTGCACTTTAGTTTTAAAACACTCCGTGCCCTCAATTTTAATATTTCTCAGATATTGACTTCTATACTATATTGATATTGGTTGGGGTTGGGAAGAACGTGCTTTCTTTAAAATACGTCCTTTCTGGGCGATGAGTTTCCTGTAATTTACTGTATTATATAATGCAGATCTCTCTATACTATTGCACAATCAGAATATTTCTGTGATGGAAAGGGGGCACGCGTGGCCCAGTCGTCTAAGACGCCGCAGTTCGCAACCTATGATTGTGGGTTCGAATCCCGGTTCGCCCCGATAATGTTTCTAGGTTTGTCAGCACCATACCCGTGCTCGTGGGTTTCACCGAAGTGGTAAACGCCAGAGACCTGCACCACTGACACGCCGTGATATAACTGGAATACTGTTAAAAGCGGCGTTAAACTCAACTCACTCACTCACTCACTGACTGTGATGGAAAAATGAATTGTTCACATACGGGTATCCTCCCTCGCCTGCATACTCCACTACAGCGTATGCCTCTATCAGTGTCCGTACACCGACAAACATGACATTCCAGTAGTTGCTGAAAAACACGAAGACAAGACGTGTAGAAGCTGAAAAGTGGCAGTCGTGGCTCCCCTGAACCCCTGAACATAAGGATATCAGACATCAGCTGCTGAAACATGAAAAACATATCTACCCCGTAGTAAATATAGTAACCATATCAATCCCGTAGATGCTGAAACATGGTATCTAAATCTACCCCTAGATGCTGGTTAGATCAGGGTTAGAATTGGTCTTCAGCAACCCATGGCATCTAACGGGATCGGTGGTCAGGCTCGCTGACTTTGTTGATGCATGTCATCGTACCCCAAATGCGTAGATCGCTGCTCATGATATCAACCACAGGATTGCCTGGTCTAGACTCTTTACAGACCACCGTCATATAGATGGAATATTGCCGAGAGCGGCGTTAAACAACAAACAGACACACAAACAACAAGAAACCTGGAAACTACAGTTACCCTGTAGATGCTGAAACATGGAAACCATAGCTACCCGTTAGATGCTGAAACATGGAATCTATAGCTACCCTGTAGATGCTGAAACATGGAAACCATAGCTACCCGTTAGAAGCTGAAACATGGAATCTATAGCTACCCTGTAGATACTGAAACATGGAATGTATAGCTACCCTGTAGATGCTGAAACATGGAAACCATAGTTACCCTGTAGATGCTGAAATATGGAATTTATAGCTACCCTGTAGATGCTGAAACATGGAAACCATAGCTAACCTGTAGATGCTGAAACATTGAATCTATAGCTACCCTGTTGATGCTGAAACATGGAATCTATTATAGCTACCCTGTAGATGCTGAAACATGGAAACCATAGCTACCCGTTAGAAGCTAAAACATGGAATCTATAGCTACCCTGTAGATGCTGAAACATGGATTCTATAGCTACCCTGTAGATGCTGAAACATGGAAACCATAGTAACCCTGTAGATGCTGAAATATGGAATTTATAGCTACCCTGTAGATGCTGAAACATGGAAACCATAGCTAACCCGTAGATGCTGAAACATGGAATCTATAGCTACCCTGTGGATGCTGAAACATGGAAACCATAGCTACCCTGTAGATGCTGAAACATGGAAACCATGGCTACCCTGTATATGCTGAAACATGGAATCTATAGCTACCCTGTAGATGCTGAAACATGGAAACCACAGTTACCCTGTAGATGCTGAAATATGGAATTTATAGCTACCCTGTAGATGCTGAAACATGGAAACCATAGCTAACCTGTAGATGCTGAAACATTGAATCTATAGCTACCCTGTTGATGCTGAAACATGGAAACCATAGCTACCCGTTAGATGCTGAAACATGGAATCTATAGCTACCCTGTGGATGCTGAAACATGGAATCTATAGCTACCCTGTAGATGCTGAAACATGGAAACCATAGCTACCCGTTAGAAGCTAAAACATGGAATCTATAGCTACCCTGTAGATCCTGAAACATGGATTCTATAGCTACCCTGTAGATGCTGAAACATGGAAACCATAGCTACCCTGTAGATGCTGAAACATGGAAACCATAGCTACCCTGTAGATGCTGAAACATGGAAACCATGGCTACCCTGTATATGCTGTAACATGGAATTTATAGCTACCCTGTAGATGCTGAAACATGGAAACCATAGCTAACCTGTAGATGCTGAAACATTGAATCTATAGCTACCCTGTTGATGCTGAAACATGGAAACCATAGCTACCCGTTAGATGCTGAAACATGGAAACCATAGTAACCCTGTAGATGCTGAAATATGGAATTTATAGCTACCCTGTAGATGCTGAAACATGGAAACCATAGCTAACCCGTAGATGCTGAAACATGGAATCTATAGCTACCCTGTGGATGCTGAAACATGGAAACCATAGTTACCCTGTGGATGCTGAAATATGGAATTTATAGCTACCCTGTAGATGCTGAAACATGGAAACTTTAGCTAACCCGTAGATGCTGAAACATTGAATCTATAGCTACCCTGTAGATGCTGAAACATGGAATCTATAGCTACCCTGTAGATGCTGAAACATGGAATCTATAGCTACCCTGTAGATGCTGAAACATGGAAACCATAGCTACCCTGTAGATGCTGAAATATGGAATTTATAGCTACCCTGTAGATGCTGAAACATGGAAACCATAGCTAACCCGTAGATGCTGAAACATGGAATCTATAGCTACCCTGTAGATGCTGAAACATGGAAACCATAGCTACCCTGTAGATGCTGAAACATGGAAACCATAGCTACCCTGTAGATGCTGAAACATGGAAACCATGGCTACCCTGTATATGCTGAAACATGGAATCTATAGCTACCCTGTAGATGCTGAAACATGGAAACCATAGCTACCCTGTAGATGCTGAAATATGGAATTTATAGCTACCCTGTAGATGCTGAAACATGGTTACCTTGTCGTCCCTGTCGGTGATCACATTCCTATCAGCGTCTTCCTCAGCCAGGGAACCTATTGCTATTGGATGATCTGTTGCATTGCAGTTCAATAACTCTCGCCAACACATACGTCTGTGGTGTGTTATGTATATAGTGCTACAGCAATATGAAACTGCCCACCTGGTTTCGTTATGCACGGTCAGGGCGTTCTCTCCCTTGAGTGCCAAGGTGAAGGACCCGGTGAAAGCAAGGAGGATGACGAGGAAGAACAGGATGAACTGGAGGATGTCCCTGCTGATGATGCGCCACAGGATCAGGGCGTAGGCTCCCGTCCGCCTGCAGGGAAATGGCCATCTATCAGTTACCCGAACACCTGGTGTCATCGTGCAGTTACCTGAACAGCTGGTGTGCATCTATCAGTTACCTGAACACCTGGTGTTATCTTGCAGTTACCTGAACACCTGGTGTTATCTCGCAGTTACCTGAACACCTGGTGTTATCTCGCAGTTATCTGAACACCTGGTGTGCATCTATCAGTTACCTGAACACCTGGTGTTATCTCGCAGTTACCTGATTACCTGCAGCTGGTGTGCATCTATAAGTTACCTGAACACCTGGTGTTATCTTGCAGTTACCTGAACACCTGGTGTTATCTCGCAGTTACCTGATTACCTGGTGTTATCTCGCAGTTACCTGATTACCTGGTATTATCTCGCAGTTACCTGAACACCTGGTGTTATCTCGCAGTTACCTGAACACCTGGTGTTATCTCGCAGTTACCTGATCACCTGATGTGCATCTATCAGTTACCTGAACACCTGGTGTTATCTCGCAGTTACCTGAACACCTGGTGTTATCTCGCAGTTACCTGAACACCTGGTGTTATGTCGCAGTTACCTGAACACCTGGTGTTATCTCGCAGTTACCTGAACACCTGGTGTTATCTCGCAGTTACCTGAACACCTGGTGTTATCTCGCAGTTACCTGAACACCTGGTGTTATCTTGCAGTTACCTGAACACCTGGTGTTATCTCGCAGTTACCTGAACACCTGGTGTTATCTCGCAGTTACCTGAACACCTGGTGTTATCTCGCAGTTACCTGAACACCTGGTGTTATCTCGCAGTTACCTGAACACCTGGTGTGCATCTATCAGTTACCTGAACACCTGGTGTTATCTTGCAGTTACCTGATTACCTGGTGTTATCTCGCAGTTACCTGATTACCTGGTATTATCTCGCAGTTACCTGAACACCTGGTGTTATCTCGCAGTTACCTGAACACCTGGTGTTATCTTGCAGTTACCTGAACACCTGGTGTTATCTCGCAGTTACCTGAACACCTGGTGTTATCTTGCAGTTACCTGAACACCTGTGTTATCTTGCAGTTACCTGAACACCTGGTGTTATCTCGCAGTTACCTGAACACCTGGTGTTATCTTGCAGTTACCTGAACACCTGGTGTTATCTCGCAGTTACCTGAACACCTGGCGTTATCTCGCAGTTACCTGAACACCTGGTGTTATCTCGCAGTTACCTGAACACCTGGTGTTATCTCGCAGTTACCTGAACACCTGGTGTTATCTCGCAGTTACCTGAACACCTGGTGTTATCTCGCAGTTACCTGAACACCTGGTGTTATCTTGCAGTTACCTGAACACCTGGTGTTATCTCGCAGTTACCTGAACACCTGATGTGCATCTATCAGTTACCTGAACACCTGGTGTTATCTTGCAGTTACCTGAACAGCTGGTGTTATCTTGCAGTTACCTGAACACCTGGTGTTATCTTGCAGTTACCTGAACACCTGGTGTTATCTTGCAGTTACCTGAACAGATGGTGTTATCTTGCAGTTACCTGAAGACAGCGGCATACTTGAACATCCTGAGCGTCCACAGCAGATAGCCCATTGAGAAGACATGCCACTGCTCCTGTCTGTGAGTGAAGCGGAGCGGGATCACCATCAGCAGCAGGAAGGAGGACGACAGGTCGATCCAGTTAAACTTATCCCTCCAGTAGTCTCCTCGATGTCTGGAACATGTCATATATCTCACACTAGACATCTTGTCAGAAGTGATATTACTTTGTCATTGTTTGAAGAAAGGAGTAAAACAGTTGTTAATATTTTGTTGTGGTAAAACGGCGTTACTGTGTTAGTGTAACTATGTCTAGCCCAGTGTATGTATTACTGCGCATGTCCACACACTGTGGGAGGACAGACCTACCTCCGCATTTGGTTCAGCTCCAACACCAGGGTGGCGAGGACGAGGACGGCCCCAAAGCATTCCGCCACCCCCCGGGCGATCTGCAGGGGGTCCGAGTATAAGGCGGGGTCAGAGGTCAGGGTAGATACAGCCACGGAGAAGGTCAAACACAGCAGCGTGACGCAGAACAGCAAACAGTTCAGTCTGAAGGGAAGTCAAACACACTACGTTACGGCATATTGTAATAAAGTCAAACATAATTCGTCAAACTGAAGACAAGTCAAACACGTTTGATCATACTGAAGAGAAGTCAAACAGGATACGTCATATTGTAGAGATGTCAAACACGCTACGTCATATTGTAGAGAAGTCAAACACGCTACGTCATATTGTAGAGATGTCAAACACGCTACGTCATATTGTAGAGAAGTCAAACACGCTACGCCACACTGCAGACAAGTCAAACACGTTACGTCTTACTTTAGTGAAGTAAAAAACACGATACGTCATATTTTAGAGAAGTTAAACACGCTACATCACGCTGCAGCATACAGAGTACACTGACGACTCCGTACATTCACTAGCTCACACCACATACCTACACTAACACTGATGTCAGCTGATATTATATAAAGCGCCAACGCCAGAGAATAACCAGTCTCGCTTATGCGACAAAACAGATTTCACTTGGCGTAGAAATCAAAAGAGGAAGGAAAATATTTCTGGATGGATCACTGAAAACCAGTGATGACATCAGGTGTTCGCGATAAAAGACATCATACAGAGTCTTGTTAAAGATAGTAATAGACCGCCTTCGTGGAAGGTCCGGGGTTCGATCCCCGGCCACGTCATGTCGGGGGGCTTGTTGTTACCCTGTCTGACGCTCGGCATTAAGGGGCTAAAACAAGGACTGGTCGGCTCGGAGTCAGTATACTGTGTCTGAGTGGGGTATTCATGTTAAACTGCGGCATGGTATCTCAGTGGGCATTTGTCCGGACTAGTACAAGCTGTCACACCAACAGACACACACACCAACACACACCAACACACGCACACACACACACACACACATAATATACCCTTACTCGAATCTGAGTCTGGCGTATTTCTTCCACTTCCGGCGTATTAGGAGACGGACGACGTCATGGAAGACAAGCGACTGCAACACAACACGACAACACATACAATCGTTGATGAGTCAGCAAGTTTTCGGACAGAGTTGCCGGACAATTGGTGCACGGACACTAGAGACAACAGACTGTTTCCAGGCCATCGATGGGTAAGTTTTCGGATTAACTTGCCTTGAGATTTAAAAATTGGAACGGATCTTTCTTTAGTAGCTGACAGCACAACGCATCCATCTCCGTCATTGCTGGCCTACCTTCAGACCTCGCTGTGAGATCAGATGGAGACAGGACTTGTCGTGGGATTCAAACTCGGGGTGGGATGGGGAGCGCCCTTTTGCATCTACTTCCAGCACGTGATAGAACACCCTCACGTGACCACTGTCACCCAGACGGTCCATCATGGCGTCTAGGACGCCCAGTGCCGCATGCTGTAATACAAATATTCATAATATCTGAGGAATGTATTTACTGAAACCGAGGAGATTCTATCACACGGTATCGAGGTTATTACATAATGAGCCATACACCCAACGGAAACACCCTAGAATCTATCGCACTGATACCCATCTACCCGTATAACGTCATCTGTACCTGCACTTATACCAACCTGCCTGTATAACGTCATCTGTAACTGCACCTAGGGCTATTTACCTGTATAACGTCATCTGTACCTGCACTTACATCAATCTACCTGTATAACGTCATCTGTACCTGGAATTATATCTACCTGCCTGTATAACGTCATCTGTACCTGCACTTACATCAATCTACCTGTATAACGTCATCTGTACCTGGAATTATACCCACCTACCTGTATAACGTCATCTGTACCTGGAATTATACCCACCTACCTGCCTGTATAACGTCCATGCACTTTGTTCCATCTACCAATATAACGTCATATGTACCTGCACTTAGTTACGTCACCCGTATACACGGTGATCTGTAAGATAATGCGTCAAAGACCATTACCTGCATGTTGTTGTTTATGAGATCATGTAGACTGCACTCGGCGGCCGATCCGGCATCCTCGGTAGCCACAAACAGACTCCGTACTCTGAAAACAGACACAACAGGTAAGTAATCGTCCTTGGCATCCGTTACTGAACATAACACACATCTATGTTACACTACTGACCGTCTACAGACATTGTCAGTAAACAATGAATCTTTGAAGCCGTACGACCCCCTTTTTCTACTCGTGCGTCAAGTGACGCTCGACTTACACCGTATGTGGCATGACCGACAGCAACATCGCAGCGATGTCGTCGTTGTTGTTGTTGAGGGCCAAGTGGTAGGGCATGTTGTTGTCCTTGTCTCGGACGTGAGGGAGGGCCTCATTCTCCAGCAGTTTACTACACACACCCTTGAAGTTCCTCTTGACGGCGTGGTGGAGGGGGGTCTGCCAGGCGCTGTCGCACGTCGACGGGTTGGCGCCGCGGTGCAGCAGGGTGTTCACGAAGATCTGCACCTGAACACGAACCCAACATATTGCACGATAATAAGTGTCTACCTTAGCTTCAGTAGGGAAGTGTGGATGTGAAACAACAGTGTCTGCCTTAGCTTCTTGTAGGGAAGAGCGGATGTCAAACAACAGTGTCTACCTTAGCTTCAGTAGGGAAGTGTGTGATGGCGTACAACAGTGTCTACCTTATCTTCCCGTAGGGAAGTGTGGATGTCAAACAATAGTGTCTACCTTAGCTTCAGTAGGGAAGTGTGTGATGGCGTACAACAGTGTCTACCTTATCTTCCCGTAGGGAAGTGTGGATGTCAAACAACAGTGTCTACCTTAGCTTCAGTAGGGAAGTGTGTGATGGCGTACAACAGTGTCTACCTTAGCTTCAGCAGGGAAGTGTGTGTGGCGTACAACAGTGTCTACCTTAGCTTCAGCAGGGAAGTGTGTGATGGCGTACAACAGTGTCTACCTTATCTTCCCGTAGGGAAGTGTGGATGTCAAACAACAGTGTCTACCTTAGCTTCAGTAGGAAGTGTGTGATGGCGTACAACAGTGTCTACCTTAGCTTCAGCAGGGAAGTGTGTGATGGCGTACAACAGTGTCTACCTTATCTTCCCGTAGGGAAGTGTGGATGTCAAACAACAGTGTCTACCTAAGCTTCAGCAGGGAAGTGTGTGATGGCGTACAACAGTGTCTACCTTATCTTCCCGTAGGGAAGTGTGGATGTCAAACAACAGTGTCTACCTTAGCTTCAGTAGGGAAGTGTGTGATGGCGTACAACAGTGTCTACCTTAGCTTCAGCAGGGAAGTGTGTGTGGCGTACAACAGTGTCTGCCTTAGCTTCAGTAGGGAAGTGTGGATGTCAAACAACAGTGTCTACCTTAGCTTCAGTAGGGAAGTGTGTGATGGCGTACAACAGTGTCTACCTTATCTTCCCGTAGGGAAGTGTGGATGTCAAACAACAATGTCTACTTTAGCTTCAGTAGGGAAGTGTGTGATGGCGTACAACAGTGTCTACCTTATCTTCAGCAGGGAAGTGTGTGATGGCGTACACCAGTGTCTACCTTATCTTCAGCAGGGAAGTGTGTGTGGCGTACAACAGTGTCTACCTTATCTTCCCGTAGGGAAGTGTGGATGTCAAACAACAGTGTCTACCTTAGCTTCAGTAGGGAAGTGTGTGATGGCGTACAACAGTGTCTGCCTTAGCTTCAGTAGGGAAGTGTGGATGTCAAACAACAGTGTCTACCTTAGCTTCAGTAGGGAAGTGTGTGATGGCGTACAACAGTGTCTACCTTAGCTTCAGTAGGGAAGTGTGTGATGGCGTACAACAGTGTCTACCTTATCTTCCCGTAGGGAAGTGTGGATGTCAAACAACAGTGTCTACCTTAGCTTCAGTAGGGAAGTGTGTGATGGCGTACAACAGTGTCTACCTTAGCTTCAGTAGGGAAGTGTGTGATGGCGTACAACAGTGTCTACCTTAGCTTCAGTAGGGAAGTGTGGATGTCAAACAATAGTGTCTACCTTAGCTTCAGTAGGGAAGTGTGTGATGGCGTACAACAGTGTCTACCTTATCTTCCCGTAGGGAAGTGTGGATGTCAAACAACAGTGTCTACCTTAGCTTCAGTAGGGAAGTGTGTGATGGCGTACACCAGTGTCTGCCTTAGCTTCAGCAGGGAAGTGTGTGATGGCGTACAACAGTGTCTACCTTAGCTTCAGTAGGGAAGTGTGGATGTCAAACAACAGTGTCTACCTTAGCTTCAATAGGGAAGTGTGTGATGGCGTACAACAGTGTCTACCTTAGCTTCAGTAGGGAAGTGTGTGATGGCGTACAACAGTGTCTACCTTAGCTTCAGTAGGGAAGTGTGTGATGGCGTACAACAGTGTCTACCTTAGCTTCAGCAGGGAAGTGTGTGATGGCGTACAACAGTGTCTACCTTATCTTCCCGTAGGGAAGTGTGGATGTCAAACAACAGTGTCTACCTTAGCTTCAGTAGGGAAGTGTGTGATGGCGTACAACAGTGTCTACCTTAGCTTCAGTAGGGAAGTGTGTGATGGCGTACAACAGTGTCTGCCTTAGCTTCAGTAGGGAAGTGTGGATGTCAAACAACAGTGTCTACCTTAGCTTCAGTAGGGAAGTGTGTGATGGCGTACAACAGTGTCTACCTTATCTTTAGTAGGGAAGTGTGTGATGGCGTACAACAGTGTCTACCTTATCTTCCCGTAGGGAAGTGTGGATGTCAAACAACAGTGTCTACCTTAGCTTCAATAGGGAAGTGTGTGATGGCGTACAACAGTGTCTGCCTCAGCTTCAGTAGGGAAGTGTGGATGTCAAACAACAGTGTCTACCTTATCTTCAGTAGGGAAGTGTGTGATGGCGTACAACAGTGTCTACCTTATCTTCCCGTAGGGAAGTGTGGATGTCAAACAACAGTGTCTACCTTAGCTTCAGTAGGGAAGTGTGTGATGGCGTACACCAGTGTCTGCCTTAGCTTCAGCAGGGAAGTGTGTGATGGCGTACAACAGTGTCTACCTTAGCTTCAGTAGGGAAGTGTGGATGTCAAACAACAGTGTCTACCTTAGCTTCAATAGGGAAGTGTGTGATGGCGTACAACAGTGTCTACCTTAGCTTCAGTAGGGAAGTGTGTGATGGCGTACAACAGTGTCTACCTTAGCTTCAGTAGGGAAGTGTGGATGTCAAACAACAGTGTCTACCTTAGCTTCAGTAGGGAAGTGTGTGATGGCGTACAACAGTGTCTACCTTAGCTTCAGCAGGGAAGTGTGTGATGGCGTACAACAGTGTCTACCTTATCTTCCCGTAGGGAAGTGTTGATGTCAAACAACAGTGTCTACCTTAGCTTCAGTAGGGAAGTGTGTGGTGGCGTACAACAGTGTCTACCTTAGCTTCAGTAGGGAAGTGTGTGATGGCGTACAACAGTGTCTGCCTTAGCTTCAGTAGGGAAGTGTGGATGTCAAACAACAGTGTCTACCTTAGCTTCAATAGGGAAGTGTGTGATGGCGTACAACAGTGTCTGCCTCAGCTTCAGTAGGGAAGTGTGGATGTCAAACAACAGTGTCTACCTTATCTTCAGTAGGGAAGTGTGTGATGGCGTACAACAGTGTCTACCTTAGCTTCAGTAGGGAAGTGTGTGATGGCGTACAACAGTGTCTACCTTATCTTCCCGTAGGGAAGTGTGGATGTCAAACAACAGTGTCTACCTCAGCTTCAGTAGGGAAGTGTGTGATGGCGTACAACAGTGTCTACCTTAGCTTCAGTAGGGAAGTGTGGATGTCAAACAATAGTGTCTACCTTAGCTTCATTAGGGAAGTGTGGATGTCAAACAAACAGTGTCTACCTTAGCTTCAGCAGGGAAGTGTGTGATGGCGTACAACAGTGTCTACCTTATCTTCCCGTAGGGAAGTGTGGATGTCAAACAACAGTGTCTACCTTAGCTTCAGTTGGGAAGTGTGTGATGGCGTACAGCAGTGTCTACCTTATCTTCCCGTAGGGAAGTGTGGATGTCAAACAACAGTGTCTACCTTAGCTTCAGTAGGGAAGTGTGTGATGGCGTACAACAGTGTCTACCTTAGCTTCAGTAGGGAAGTGTGGATGTCAAACAACAGTGTCTACCTTAGCTTCAGTAGGAAGTGTGTGATGGCGTACAACAGTGTCTACCTTAGCTTCAGTAGGGAAGTGTGTGATGGCGTACAACTGTGTCTACCTTATCTTCCCGTAGGGAAGTGTGGATGTCAAACAACAGTGTCTACCTTAGCTTCAGTAGGGAAGTGTGTGATGGCGTACAACAGTGTCTACCTTATCTTCAGTAGGGAAGTGTGGATGTCAAACAACAGTGTCTACCTTAGCTTCAGTAGGGAAGTGTGTGATGGCGTACAACAGTGTCTACCTTAGCTTCAGTAGGGAAGTGTGTGATGGCGTACAACAGTGTCTACCTTAGCTTCAGTAGGGAAGTGTGTGATGGCGTACAACAGCGCTTTCTCCTTGGTTCCATGGTTTCTGATCAGGCGGTCTATGATGGTCTCCAACTCAGCCTCCTGTCGTCCTATCAACAGCAGCTGACTTTTGTGTGCGACCTGCAGCATAGAACCCACAGTGTCATCCTTACAATCTACTGCCTCTATGACCTCTGACTGTACAACAATAGCAGCATAGAACCCACAGTGACATCCTGACCATCGACTGACCCTGTGACTTCTGACTGTACGATAATAGCAGCATAGAAACCAGTAACATCCTGGCCATCTACTGACTCTGTGACCTCTGACTGTACGTTAAGAGCAGCATGGAAACCAGTGACATCCTGGCAATCTACTGACCCTGTGACCTCTGACTGTACGTTAAGAGCAGCATGGAAGCCAGTGACATCCTGACCATCGACTACCTATGTGACCTCTGACTGTACGATAATAGCAGCATGGAAGCCAGTGACATCCTGACCATCGACTACCTATGTGACCTCTGACTGTACGTTAAGAGCAGCATGGAAGCCACAATGACATCCTGACCATCGACTACCTATGTGACCTCTGACTGTACGATAATAGCAGCATAGAACCCACAGTGACATCCTGACCATCGACTACCTATATGACCTCTGACTGTACGATAATAGCAGCATGGAACCCACAGTGACACCCTGACCATCGACTACCTATGTGACCTCTGACTGTACGATAATAGCAGCATAGAACCCACAGTGCGCTTGACCACCGACTGCCAGTAGGTGTAAATGTTACTGTAGACACGTGGACGTTGTTCAACGTGTACGAGTGTTACTATAGTCACAGCACTGACTTAATTACCTCGGTCTGAAAGTCGTCGCCCGTGACGTCCTCTCCGAGCAGGTCCGACAACGAAGGCACCGACGTGATATTTTCACAGGATCGACATCGGCCGTCTTCACATACGTCCACACTACCCCCGCGGCACGAGTAGCGGGGGATCTTGTTCTTACAGAGGGGGCAGTGTCGGTCTTCCCCCGGGACAGGCGGGTGGGAGGCAGGAGGGGTGACAGGGGGAGGTGTTCCAGGCTGGTCCGGGGGGGACGCTGTGTTACCCTCTTCCTTCTCCCTCTCTGTGTCATCCTCTGGGGTGGTTGCTGAAAACGACAGAACACTAGTGAATAAGTGAATATGGTTTTACGCCGCTTTTATCCATATTCCAGCAATATTTCGGCGGGTAACACCAGAAATGGGCTTCACACATTGTACCCATGTGGGGAGTCGAAGCCGGGCCTTCGACGTTACGAACGAACGCTTTAACCACTAGGCTACTACCCCGATTATTACCAAATATATCTCAACAACATTGTCGATTGTCACCAAATATATCCCAACAACATTGTCGATTATTACCAAATATATCTCAACAACATTGTCGATTATTACTAAATATATCCCAACAACATTGTCGATTTTTACTAAATATATCCCAACAACATTGTCGATTATTACCAAATATATCCCAACAATATTGTCGATTATTACCAAATATATATCACAGCACCCACTCACTCTGTATTACCCGATGTTAGTCCTAGGGCGCTTGCGGCTGAAGGTAATGTTTCTCCACCGACGACAATGAGGTTTATGTAACTTTTATGTTACAATAACGCCTCCAGCTAGTGGCAACATGTTTCCGCATTTTTATCAGAACTATTTTTTCCTCATCTATATGATGAATGTTATACTGATTACATTCCCACCAGCCGTTTAGCGGGCGAGTGATAAGGTTGTTTATTGTGTGATCTACTAGATTTGTGACAATGTACAAGAATACTTTTAAAATAGATATTTTCGTGATAATAAACAATGATATAACAACAAGAAGTAAGCGTGTGTGTTTATTAGCGCAAATAGACGGCGTATATATCCCCATTAACATTGACCTGGGTCACTACTGACAGTAGCTCGTGAGCTCGTGAGTGAGTGAGTGAGTGAGCTCGTGAGCTCGTGAGTGAGTGAGTGAGTGAGCTCGTGAGTGAGTGAGCTCGTGAGTGAGTGAGTGAGTGAGTGAGTGAGTGAGTGATTGAGTGAGTGAGTGAGTGAGTGAGTGAGTGAGGTTTAATGCCGCTTTGAACAGTATTCCAGTTATATCACGGCGTATCAGCTGGACATGGGAGGAAAGCTAGACGTGATGCAGGTCTCGGACGCTTACCACTTTGGTGAAACCCACGAGCGCTGTGCAGACAAACCAAGAAACATATTCAGGGCGGTACCTGGATTCGAACCCCCAATCGTGGGTTTCTGGCATGTCTGTACAGGCAGCTAGACGGCTCTTCCAGCCTTGCCCCTAATTAGTGAAATACGTATCGCCATATCCATTACAGGATATGCATCCATCATAACGTTCAACGATCCCACCGATTTTACATCAATCACCTTGTTTCAGAACCAGTATCAAAGTGTCATACAATATGGAATATATACTCACCGGTCTTTCATGTAAAACAGTAAGTAGTTTGGTAAAACATTAAATTCACATCAGTGCTATGGTTTAATGATTTCAACCTTAACCAAGAAAATCTTAGTTGCTCACCTTTGCCGTTCAGGTCATCCAGGACTATGTCGCCGTGGTCAACGTCGCTCATGTTTAGTTAGGTCCTTGACAGGCACCGGATCAAGCGTCTGTTACACACCGGACAACCCTATACTCCACTTCCTCATTAGACAGGAAGGGTGAAGCCTGTTGCCTGTATAAATAACTCTATTTTATTGGATAGTGATTGTTGAGCTGTATGAACTACTTCCGTGGTTACTGTACAGATGTACAGTTATTGTACAGCTGTTGATGACGTAGTTACACATAGTAACAGCTGACGGTCACATAGTAACAGCTGTCGGTCACAAAGTAATAGGTGTCGGTTACATAGTAACACAGGTGTCGGCCACATGCCAACAGCTATCGGTCACATAGTAACACAGGTGTTGGTCGCATAGTAACAGCTGTAGGTCACATTGTGATAGCTGTCGGTCACATAGTAACAGCTGTCGGTCACATAGTAACAGCTGTCGGTCACATAGTAACACAGCTGTCGGTCACATAGTAACAGCTGTCGGTAACAAAGTAACAGCTGTAGGTCACATTGTGATAGCTGTCGGTCACATAGTAACAGCTGTCGGTCACATATTTACAGATGTCGGTCACATAGTAACACAGCTGTCGGTCACATAGTAACAGCTGTCAGTCACATAGTAACAGCTGTCGGTCACAAAGTAACAGCTGTCGGTTACATAGTAACAGCTGTAGGTCACATTGTGATAGCTGTCGGTCACGTGGTAATAGCTGTAGGTCACATAGTAACAGCTGTCGGTCACAAAGTAATAGCTGTCGGTCAGATAGTAATAGCTGTAAGTCACATAGTAGCAGCTGTCAGTCACATAGTAACAGCTGTCGGTCATATAGTAACAGCTGTAGGTCACATTGTGATAGCTGTCGGTCACATAGTTATAGCTGTCGGTCAGATAGTAATAGCTGTAGGTCACATAGTAGCAGCTGTCAGTCAAATAGTAACAGCTGTCGGTCATATAGTAACAGCTGTAGGTCACATTGTGATAGCTGTCGGTCACATAGTTATAGCTGTCGGTCACATAGTAACAGCTGTCGGTCAAATAGTAACAGCTGTCGGTCACATAGTAACAGCTGTCGGTCACAAAGTAATAGGTGTCGGTTACATAGTAACACAGGTGTCGGCCACATGCCAACAGCTATCGGTCACATAGTAACACAGGTGTTGGTCACATAGTAACAGCTGTAGGGCACATTGTGATAGCTGTCGGTCACATAGTAACAGATGTCGGTCACAAAGTAACAGATGTCGGTCACATATCAACACAGCTGTCGGTCACATAGTAACAGCTGTCGGTCACATAGTAACAGCTGTAGGTCACATTGTGGTAGCTGTCGGTCACATAGTAACAGCTGTCGGTCACATAGTAACAGATGTCGGTCACATAGTAACACAGCTGTCGGTCACATAGAAACAGCTGTCGGTTATATAGTAACAGCTGTAGGTCACATTGTGATAGCTGTCGGTCACATAGTAATAGGTGTAGGTCACATAGTAACAGCTGCCAGTCACATAGTAACAGCTGTCGGTCACAAAGTAACAGCTGTCGGTTACAAAGTAACACCTGTAGGTCACATTGTGATAGCTGTCGGTCACGTGGTAATAGCTGTAGGTCACATAGTAACAGCTGTCGGTCACATAGTGATAGCTGTCGGTCACATAGTAATAGATGTAGGTCACATAGTAACAGCTGCCAGTCACATAGTAACAGCTGTCGGTCACAAAGTAATAGCTGTCGGTCAGATAGTAATAGCTGTAGGTCACATAGCAACAGCTGTCAGTCAAATAGTAACAGCTGTCGGTCATATAGTAACATCTGTAGGTCACATTGTGCTAGCTGTCGGTCACATAGTTATAGCTGTCGGTCACATAGTAACAGCTGTCGGTCAAATAGTAACAGCTGTCGGTCACATAGTAACAGCTGTCGGTCACAAAGTAATAGGTGTTGGTTACATAGTAACACAGGTGTCGGCCACATGCCAACAGCTGTAGGTCACATAGTAACACAGGTGTTGGTCACACAGTAACAGCTGTAGGTCACATTGTGATAGCTCTCGGTCACATAGTAACAGCTGTCGGTCACACAGTAACAGCTGTCGGTCACATAGTAACAGCTGTAGGTCATATTGTGATAGCTGTCGGTCACATAGTAACACAGCTGTCGGTCACATAGTAACAGCTGTCGGTCACATAGTAACACCTGTAGGTCACACTGTGATAGCTGTCGGTCACATAGTAACAGCTGTCGGTCACATAGTAACAGATGTTGGTCACATAGTAACACAGATGTCGGTCACATAGAAATAGCTGTCGGTCACATAGTAACAGGTGTCGGTCACATAGTAACACAGATGTCGGTCACATCGCTAGGTGTTGTCGACAATGAGTGCTAGGTTGTTGTACGGTAACAGTGCTTTATTGCACCGCTTGTTCTATGTTTGTCTGGTTTACAACACATGTTGCCAATGGTACAGACATCACTGACATATCATTCAACATTCTTTAGAATACCCGCTTGTGAATATCTAAGCCAAACTTCATGGCATTAAGTGAATGAGATCGTCAACGTATCTGTATTGAAATAGGGATGACTGTCTGTCAGTGGGTGTGAGCACACTCTGACTCCCTCACACACAGCACTGCTTCCCCTTAAACATCAGTTAATCCCCATCTAGAAACAGGGATCATCTATACCTAACGAGCGTTTGACAATGACAGCCCTTTAAAATTTTAAATTCTTAACTAATTATTATCCCGCGTTAAAACTGTCTAAACTTGAGTAACATGATAAGACGCAAGAGTAGTCTTCCTTGAAGGAAAGTATGAAGTCGTAGGATAACCAATCATTTATGTAACATTGACTATCATGCCTCGCAAGATACCTTCGTCTCCACGTGTAATCACATAGCGCCAGGTGAAGCAGGTAGGATATCGAACCTCGTGAAAACTGACTGTACACGTGACCAGATTAGCACGTCACTGCAGAATAACTCAACTATGGCCTCATTGTGACAGACACGACCACGACACGAAGGCGGGCGCGACATGCCGAAACTGCATTGCTGTTCACGAAATACTTGAATATTCATTAACAAAGTCTCACTGAAATGACGTCAACCTTTGCCCACTCACAAGTCCACGGGAACAACCGCCAGCGCATGAATAATACAGAAGTGTTAATTCCTTGTGTTTAATTTGGTCTTAATGTAGGAGGAAATCATTGTACATGTCCATAGTGTGAGTTATAACAGTGTTTACTACCTTGTACATGCCCATAGTATGAGTTATAACAGTGTTTACTACCTTGTACATGTCCATAGTATGGGTTATAACAGTGTTTACTACCCTGTACATGTCCATAGTATGAGTTATAACAGTGTTTACTACCTTGTACATGTCCATAGTGTGGGTTATAACAATGTTTTCTCTCTGGTTGATGTCATTAGTGTCACCTGCCTCCGTGGACGCCGGGTGTTGGGTTTGGTTCTAAAGTTCTATCAAATACCCCTATGATTCGGCACAAGTCAACGGTGCCAACTCTCGCTACTTCTCGCAAGGAAGAACATCATGGTCATCATCTACCTACCGGGTTAAGGGCTGCTCCAGAGGCTGGGGGTAACAATCCGGGGTTGCAGAGAACAGCGCGGGGAGAATCACGCCAAAGGTCAGAGTTTAGCGCTTCAGTTGGCCACGTGTCTAACAGACTCACGTGGTTCTGCTCTGAGTATCCACCAAAACGACTTTGTTCAGTAACCACTGGGACACAGTTTGGAGTTCCCTGTCGTCCATGCAGCGGCCTCCAGCTGCCGTAACGCGGGAACCTCAGCGTTCACATCACACCCATCGGCGGGGAGGGGCAGATATGTGAGAAAGCTTGAATAAACACTTGCAGGCCAGCTCGCGGTGCAGACTGTCTGGCTCTCCCTCCGCTCTGTATCCCGGGGCCATGCGCCATGACTGAAGCAGTCGGTGCGGTGTGATAAACCCCACGTGCAAACACGCACCGCCATCTTACACTGCCTAATGGCAGCAGCAATGATGGGGACACAATTGAAATGTGATGTGATGTTATGTTATGTGATGTGACGTGATGTGACGTGATGTTATGTGATGTTATGTGATGTGTGTTTTTATTACTCCTCTGTTTATGAGCCGCTGTGTATAAATATGTCCTTTGTTAGACCAATGACAAAACTGTATTGATTGATAATGTTATCTGTTGCTATCTTTGAATATATTCATTGATAACACAATTCGTTGAGAAATATCAGTGAACGAATTATTTATATCATTAAATAGAAAGTAAAGAGTAAAATTGGGCCTCAAAACTATCAAATGTGATGTGATGATTGCATGTGTTTTGATGCCTGAGTCATGTCTCGCTGAGTTTGTGGTGCCTGTCAATCATCACACCACAAGGTTGCTGTCAACTGGGAGTATAACGAGCCTGGTCGGGGCGACATGGGGTTGTTGTGATGACGCACCTCAGGCAGTGTTAACGAGCCTCCTTGTTCTTATGAAGAAAAAGCTTACATCACTGTCTGCATGTGGGCCCCAGGTCCCTTAACTTGGTGTGATCAGTGTGGTCACTTCTACTCTACTCGGTATAGCGAGGAGGCTCAGTTGTGTCACTGATTCAATGACGGTATAGCGAGTGGGCTCAGTTGTGTCACTGATTCAATGACGGTATAGTGTGAGTGAGTATGGTTTTTACGCCGCTTTTAGCAATATTCCAGCAATATCACGGCGGGGGACACCAGAAATGGGCTTCACACAATGTACCCATGTCGGGAATCGAACCCGGGTCTTCGGCGTGACGAGCGAACGCTTTAACCACTAGGCTACCCAACCGCCCCCAATGACGGTATAGCGAGGGGGCTCAGTTGTGTCACTGATTCAATGACGGTATAGCGAGGGGGCTCAGTTGTGTCACTGATTCAATGACGGTATAGCGAGGGGGCTCAGTTGTGTCACTGATTCAATGACGGTATAGCGAGGGGGCTCAGTTGTGTCACTGATTCAATGACGGTATAGCGAGGGGGCTCAGTTGTGTCACTGATTCAATGACGGTATAGCGAGTGGGCTCAGTTGTGTCACTGATTCAATGACGGTATAGCGAGAGGGCTCAGTTGTGTCACTGATTCAATGACAGTATGGCGAGGGGGCTCAGTTATGTCACTGATTCAATGACGGTATGGCGAGTGGGCTCAGTTGTGTCACTGATTCAATGACGGTATAGCGAGGGGGCTCAGTTGTGTCACTGATTCAATGACGGTATGGCGAGTGGGCTCAGTTGTGTCACTGATTCAATGACGGTATAGCGAGTGGGCTCAGTTGCGTCACTGATTTAATGACGGTATAGCGAGTGGGCTCACTTGTGTCACTGATTCAATGACGGTATAGCGAGGGGGCTCAGTTGTGTCACTGATTCAATGACGGTATAGCGAGGAGGCTCAGTTGTGTCACTGATTCAATGACGGTATAGCGAGGAGGCTCAGTTGTGTCACTGATTCAATGACGGTATAGCGAGGAGGCTCAGTTGCGTCACTGATTCAATGACGGTATAGCGAGGAGGCTCAGTTGCGTCACTGATTCAATGACGGTATGGCGAGTGGGCTCAGTTGTGTCACTGATTCAATGACGGTATAGCGAGGGGGCTCAGTTGTGTCACTGATTCAATGACGGTATAGCGAGAGGGCTCAGTTGTGTCACTGATTCAATGACAGTATGGCGAGGGGGCTCAGTTATGTCACTGATTCAATGACGGTATGGCGAGTGGGCTCACTTGTGTCACTGATTCAATGACGGTATAGCGAGGGGGCTCAGTTGTGTCACTGATTCAATGACGGTATAGCGAGGAGGCTCAGTTGTGTCACTGATTCAATGACGGTATAGCGAGGAGGCTCAGTTGTGTCACTGATTCAATGACGGTATAGCGAGGAGGCTCAGTTGCGTCACTGATTCAATGACGGTATAGCGAGGAGGCTCAGTTGCGTCACTGATTCAATGACGGTATGGCGAGTGGGCTCAGTTGTGTCACTGATTCAATGACGGTATAGCGAGGGGGCTCAGTTGTGTCACTGATTCAATGACGGTATAGCGAGGAGGCTCAGTTGTGTCACTGATTCAATGACGGTATAGCGAGGAGGCTCAGTTGTGTCACTGATTCAATGACGGTATAGCGAGGAGGCTCAGTTGCGTCACTGATTCAATGACGGTATAGCAAGGAGGCTCAGTTGCGTCACTGATTCAATGACGGTATGGCGAGTGGGCTCAGTTGTGTCACTGATTCAATGACGGTATAGCGAGGGGGCTCAGTTGCGTCACTGATTCAATGACGGTATAGCGAGTGGGCTCACTTGTGTCACTGATTCAATGACGATATGGCGAGGGGGCTCAGTTGTGTCACTGATTCAATGACGGTATAGCGAGGAGGCTCAGTTGTGTCACTGATTCAATGACGGTATAGCGAGGAGGCTCAGTTGCGTCACTGATTCAATGACGGTATAGCAAGGAGGCTCAGTTGCGTCACTGATTCAATGACGGTATGGCGAGTGGGCTCAGTTGTGTCACTGATTCAATGACGGTATAGCGAGGGGGCTCAGTTGTGTCACTGATTCAATGACGATATGGCGAGTGGGCTCAGTTGTGTCACTGATTCAATGACGGTATAGCGAGGACAACACGGGCTAACGTCACCGTTACGACATGGAGTGTATCGGTCAATGCTCGGACCAGAACGTGGGTTACAAAACAATCATTAGTTTGATATTTCATATAGATTATTGTTGGGGTCAAAATATTTGTGCAGGTGCCTCATTCTTTCATTAAATTTTAACATTAAAAAATGAAGTGGAATTCGTCACCGATTTGACTTGGACCGGTTTGACAATATCTTTGGTCGTGGGGAATACTTTCCCAGCGACCAGTTTCGATTGGTAATTTATGGTATGAGGTTTTATATTTTAACAATATGCTATGATTCTTTGTGCCCAGTTTAGTCTGAAGCCATGAAATATTACAACATGATTTCGCACAAAGGTAAGTGACACCTTTAGAGGAAGATGCTACTTATTCACTCCTATATTGGAGCGACTGGTGGGAAATTCGTAGATTAACTGCATGTTTAAACCGTGTGGGTGAAATACTATTTTGGGGTTGCCAGATAATGGATAGTCTAATGTTACCCAGAGATACTTCAATAAACTGGAGCCAGTTACGTGGTAGTCGTATTTCAGTAAGTGTTTTCAGTGCTATTTGGTATAATGTAGGTAGAGTAACAGTTTCCTAATACTATTTTGGACCAGTAGCAGAGTGTACGGGATTTGATATTGTGTGTTAGGGGTGACCGACCAGTTACTCCGTCCAGCATGTATAAGGGAGTACTACGACTGATATAAAGTATCTTAGAAAGTCGGTATGTACCTTTTCGATGGAACTAACATTTTCGAAACCCCATATTTCTTATCCGCATAACAAAAAGGACATAACGTATGGTGAAATAAATAAAGTTTACATTCAATGGACATATAAATATACCAGACACGTTGGCATAACAAATGCATAGCTTTATTGGCTTGTAACAAATGTTATATTTGGGATAACGCTTTCTTAGTAAAATACAGATTACAATACTTTTTGGGTCGAGTCCCGTCTGGGATTCGAACACACACTTCCAGAGTGAAGCGCCTAGTCGCCAGCAAACAAAGCTCAGAAAGTCTCAACTTAAAAGGTGTATTAACCTGCATGTTTTCTACTGCCAAGTATAAACATCTTTGGTAAATCCAGGTAAACTGCCAGTTTGTTTACTTTACAATAATTATGAAAAGAATCAAGTGGTTTCTGTAATTTATGAGGGCTATCAGCTTGAAGCACGCCTCGTCCGCATATAACACTACAAGCAGACGGATACATATCCAGTTCATCATCATCTGGTCTAAGTGTTACACCTTCCACCTTATTGGATGTCAGTCAGGTTTCTAAGTCATTTATGTATAATGCAAAAATAACTGGCGATAAATT